GCGAGGTAAAGAACGCGGAAAGTGTGGCCGGTCAACGAGACAATTTGTTCCATACGTGGGTATTTCCAAATGACGATTTGGTTCTGGCTATAACCGTGTGTGCTGATGATCTCATCTGAGTTTTTGGACCAAGAGAGGTTGCAGACCTGACTACCAGTGTCGACCTCTTTGATCATCGAGCCAGTTTGTGTGTTCCAGAACTTGATGGTGCGATCAGCGGTACCACCGCCGGAAGCAAGAAGGTGATGTTGGTGAGGAGACCATGCAATTGCCTTGACTGCGGCATTGTGGTCGGAGAAACGGTAGAGGGGTGTCTCGCTCAGCTTATCCCAAACCATCAGTTTGTTGTCGTTTCCGCCGGATGCTAGTTGGCCATCTTCAGTATTCCACTTCAAACCACAAACTTCTTGTTTGTGGCCAGAAAGCTTTCGAATGTACTGATCCGGAGACCGAACATCACGGTGATAAATGAGACGGTCTCGAGACCCTGATGTGAGAATGTGATCGTTCCACGCCAAAGCACCAACTCGGTTGGTATGTCCAATCATGGTTCGTAGCCGCCGGCAATGCTCGGCGTCCCATATTTGTACCAGACCTTTACCTGTGCCGATTGCAAGATGAGTACCCTATAGTCCCTAGTGTGAGTATCATGTATGGAGCGTTGGCATGGAGATTTCTAGCTCACCCTTTGAATCCAGCTCACGCTAGTCACGGTATCATCCTTCAGCTCGCACAACCTCGTCACTCCACCTGTGTGAGAGTTCCACATGTAGACAGAACTGGCCAATCCAACGCCAAGAACATTACTACTGCCCCAGTCCACCAAGTTCAAATAGAAATCATCTTGAAGATCCGGCGCATCCAGGACCTTGTAAGGCACCTTGTTTACATACCGGGCCTGTTTTCGGGGTGTTTCGAGGATACGCTGACTGTCATATCGAATAGGAGAGAGACTGTAGAGCTCAGAGCGTACGTCTAAGTTGGGGCCATGCACACTTCGTGGGGTTTTGGAGGGAGTTGGATGTCCCGATCCGGGCCGTGAAGGTCCATAATTGAAGAGGTTCTTGTGTGGGGTAGTGGGGGTGATGCTAGCGGGTGGGAGATTGGCAGCGATATGAGCCGGGGGTGTATGGGATCGAGTCTTGTCATTGATTCCATTGCTGAAACCGAGCAATGGGTCGGGTGGCGCAGAGTTCAAGTCGGGCTGGGGGACCGTGTTTCCGAACAACTCGCTGCGCAAAACTCGAGAAAATGTACGGTTGGCTTCCTCGGCTGCAACTAAACATCAGTTCAAATCTACCACACATTGTGTTCCGGTATATAACATACTCTTTTGAAAATGGAGCTCAGAGTGAGGCGGGCGTTTCTTGGCCTTGGAAGGAGTAGATGGGCAACCATCTTCATGCAACAGACTATAAGTCGCTTGTAGATCTTGTCCATCGCGATTAGGAATGAATCTGAATTATAGTCAGTAGCTGAGAGACGACTGCCATTGTTTTGACTCAGGCTTTCTGATTGTAGACAATCAAAAATGTGAAGTGTGGCGTACCGGTCCCCATAGACTCGCTGTCTCTTGCGACATGGGCTGGATGCCGGGGTCCTGTCGCGGCGACCCCCAGCAGTCTCGTAATCCTTCAATGCTTTTGCCAGCGCACTAGGGTCGACTGGCTCTGCTCCATCTTGTCGTTGGCGGCTGCCCGAATTTGAATTGTCTGGAAAATACAGCGTGCGCTTTGATGGCATGCTTGGCGGTGTTTTCGATCCAGGTGGTGATGCAATGTTTGAGATCTGTGATATTTGAGGTTTTGTTGCCGACTTATTCCCGGTCTTCCCAGAATTCTGAGGTTTGTCCGCCATGGCAATACCTGGTTATCTGTACAAGCCCCAGAGACAAAGTGCAACCGATCACGACAGAGGTAAGAGTTGCATAAGACTAGAGTGAAGTATCTGCCAACCGGGGATGTCAAAATATTCAGAGATTCGGGTGTAAGGTCAAGGATATTTGAAGGGCGATTCGCAGAGGGTCCGTTGTTGTTGATCCAGAGGCGAAATGATGGCCTCAGCCGCTGACGCCTGAAGAGGAAATATGTTCCAGAATAAAGCACGGGTAGACACTGTTTCACCAGGCAGATCAACAAAGAAGTGTCTGAACTGCAGACATGTGAATGAATGAATGTCTTCAAGGGAGTGACGGAGTTGCGCAGGGCGACTCTCTGGGTCACGCGTCGGGTACGCTAACCCGATTTAGCGAAGGCAATCGGGCCCCATCAAGGTCAAATCAGTCTTTGTCCTTTGCCCTTTGACCACACCTGATATTAATATGCTAACTATCTCAAAAGTGGAGACCATATCTTTGATTTTACTCCCACAAAGGTTGTCATGCTGGTTGCCGATAATGTTAGAAACGTTCCGTGTCAGCATGGCTTTGTTACAATCGAGACTAATGCCACTCCTGTTGTTTACTGGAATTCCATGGACGCGCCCAACCTCTAACTGGAACACTAAAAGTGGGGTTGATGTGAGGGATGTGTACTCCGTATGGGCCGTTTCACTGACGCGAAATCCGCAGATTGATTTGCTATACGCGCTTGGTTGGACGCGACGCGATGAAGCTTGGGCCATGGCAACGACAATACCAATCAATGAAATTATGCCCAGCTTCTATAGTGGGGTTGACCATATCCTTTGTAACCAACAATCTATATATACATAGTAATACTCCATACTCCATATAATAGTAATAACTCAAACAGCAATGTCTACCTGAGTTAATGAATATTAACAGCTTCAAGACTGCGCTTTGGTTTCACTAGTGGTTTTGTTACGTGACATTGCCCATCCGCAGTCACCGCCAAACCAATAAAACCTCCGGCGGCAAAAGCCAAGTTTCTTTCTTTGTCCCCCTGCAATGGTCCTCAGACGACTTTATCCCGATATTATTGGTTGTTCTCAACGTTATTCTACAATGGCCGCCAAGCAATCTGCTCTGGACTTCTTGTCCTTTGTGAATGCTGCTCCTACCCGTATGTACAAAGTGGTCCCCATCCGATGACGCGGAATGTCGCTGACGTATCTCTCCTCCAGCTTTCCATGCTGTCCACGAAGCCAAGGAGCTTCTGGGCAAGGCTGGATTCCAAGAAATTAAGGTTTGTTCGAATTCAACACCGGAGTAATAGAATTGGGGCTCATCGATCAATAGGAAAGAGACTCTTGGGCATCAACCTGCCAACCGGGAGGCAAGTACTACTTGACTCGCAACACTACTACCCTTGTGGCTTTTGCCATTGGCAAGAAATGGCAGGTATGTATCCATTGCGTAAATTTTATATCAATCTTTCAACTAATCATGGATATAGCCTGGCAATTCCATCTCTATGATCGGTGCTCACACCGACTCTCCGGTATTGAGGGTCAAACCCGTTAGCAAGAAGAGCGGGGAAGGTTTCGTCCAGGTCGGTGTTGAGACATACGGCGGAGGCATTTGGCACACCTGTAAGTGCCATCCATCACCCTAGAACTATTACTGCTGCTAATTTCATACAGGGTTCGATCGTGATCTGGGTGTCGCTGGCCGGGTTATGACTCGTGAAAGCGATGGATCCATCGTGCAGAAACTGGTCAAGATTGACCGTCCCAGTATGTTCTATGTTGACCCGCTAAATGTTCCTTGCTAACATGCTAGTCCTCCGTATTCCAACTTTGGCCATTCATCTGGACCGCCAGGAGACCTTTGGATTCAACAAGGAAACACAGCTGTTCCCCATCGCTGGCCTTGTTGCTGCAGAGCTCAACCGTAATGGAGGAACCGACACCCCTGACACAGACAAGGGTTCTGAATTATTCTCGCCATTGAAGTCTGTCACAGAACGTCACCACTCTCACTTTGTTGAGCTTATTGCTGCTGAGGCGGGCGTCAAGCCTGGCGACATTCTAGACTTCGAAATGATTCTCTTCGACACTCACAAGTCCTGCCTCGGTGGTTTGCGGGATGAGTTCATCTTTTCCCCTCGCCTAGACAACCTGAACAGCACCTTCTGTGCTACAGTTGGTCTCATTGACTCTGTGGCCGACAAGTCAGCCCTCGATGACGAAGAAGCCATCCGCCTGATTGCCTTGTTCGACCACGAGGAGATCGGAAGCCGCACAGCACAAGGCGCGGACTCGAACGTTCTTCCGTCGATCATTCGCCGTCTGTCCGTTCTCCCGTCCTCCTCCTCAAAGGGCACCGACGTGTCGACCGCCTATGAACAGACCCTGTCTACCTCCTTCCTTGTCTCCGCTGACATGGCCCACTCCGTCAACCCCAACTATGCAGCAAAGTACGAATCAGACCATAAGCCGGAGATGAACAAGGGCCCGGTGATTAAGATTAACGCCAACGCTCGCTATGCGACAAACTCTCCTGGAATTGTTCTCCTAGAGGAGATTGCACGCAAGACTTCCAAGGAGACTGGCGAGCACGTTCCTCTCCAGCTATTTGTGGTTCGTAATGACTCCAGTTGTGGCAGCACCATTGGTCCCATGCTGTCTGCTGCGCTGGGCGCGCGGACACTGGATCTGGGCAATCCCCAGCTCAGCATGCACAGTATCCGTGAAACAGGCGGTACCTATGATGTTGCCCATGCCATTCGTCTGTTCACTGGCTTCTTCAAGCATTACTCGGAGCTATCGAAGACGATCCTTGTGGATTAAGCTGTGGATAAGAATATGAAGTAGCACAAATAATAAACTACATTCAAACAGAGTACTATTGCTTTTTAACCCATTGCAGCGTCCACCTCATTGTACATACTTTGTAACTTAAAAATACAACAGAGAGATCCTGTGCCTTAAAGAGGAGCACGTGGTCCGGACCGAGGAAAGTCCGCCTCGACAGATGTTCCCGGGCCGTCTCCAACCCATTCATAGTTACCCCAGCTCTCACCAAACCAACGGGGAGTCTCCACCTCGACTCCTTACACCTCGCTTGTTGGATACCGTCCAAGCCCTCATGACCCTCTATGACAGACGTTGATGCCTATCGGGATGCGGAATACATCGGCGACGTGTCCGGCATATCCTATGACGATGCGGAGCCCCCAAGGCCAACAGGCACGCTCAGTAGCCAAAACGCACGTGTGAAGAAAGTCAAGTCGACTGCCAAAGTCGCCTTCATTGATCGATTGCTGCGCGACCTCGATATATTAATTTATTGTCAACTCTCCGCCCTGTATTACATGGAGTAAGCTCACCCCAAAGCCAGCAATGCTCCGCACCCCTCTTTCCACCGCGACAAACTCCTAACATGTCTCCCGCTTGGTCTAGCTGCTCGATTATCCTATTTGCCTTCCGTGCCATCGTCGAACTGATCTTCTTTACGCCAAAAGTACCCCCCTTTGAGCCCACACGCAATCAGCCGTTTGTTGGCGTCATCATCTGCAGTAACCTCATCTGCATGCTCTTTCATGCCTTCCTGATCCGTCCCGAGGCTAGCGAGGAAACACGCGGCTACCTACACGGGGGGCTGTTCATTGATTTCATCGGGCAGGCTCCCGTCTCTGTTTACCGGCTTCTCTCGTTCGACCTTGTAATCTTTCTAATCGAGTTTATCATGCTGGGCTTGATCATCGAGCGGGTGAAGACTAATGGGACCCCCGCCTTAACCCCTACAACACCGAATACAGATTCAGCGACAAATACAACCACGAATACAACCACAAATACAAGCCCAGATGCGGAGTCCCAATCACAAGACCATGACGCCGAAGAGCGTGGCACTCTACGCCAAGAGGATAGCGATGAAACAACATCCCCCGCTCATTATAGTTCCGATTCACATCACAGTAGCGGACTCGACGAGGAGGTTGAAGAAGAGCGCACAACTCTCTTGGCCGACCCGGCCGACACTGAATCTGGCAGTGGCGCTCGGGGCGAGCACCCGATGGATGAGTTCGCCGCTGGCGAGGCTGTCATTGTCAATATGAGCTTCCTAGGTACAATTCGTGATCAGTGGCGCCATTCAAATGCGCAGGCGCCGCCGACGTCGGGCTTTGTACCATCTCCCGAAACGGCAACCTTCCTCCGCCAGCGCTTTGGTCTCCAGGTTGGGACTAATGGTCGCATTGAGCGTGCAAATCCAATATGATGCAAATGTGTATTTCAGCCCCGGTAGTAGACTGTACATATGTACTAGTAAATTCCCATGAACAAAAGTTTACTACCATGCTTATAGGTTGTTTCATTGGATTTACATCCATCAACACATCCCCATTACCCAAGCGTTCCTACCCGTGAACCGGTGGACTAAAACTTACCTTACATGTACATTGGGGCAATTGGTGGCACATTAGGGTCGTCACAGATTCAGAGAAATTACATTCTTTGATATTGGCTCAATGTTGGGCTTATATACATCCCAGCAGTATCCAGAACCAAAACTACTAGAAATTGGGGGGCAACCCCCCAAGTAGCTGAAACAAAATGACTATGGCTAGTTTTATTAACACGTAATCCTACAAAGCAGTTGATAATCCTACGGGTTAAACAGAGACACCAAAAACCCCTAGTATATATCAAGGCCCCATAAACATATGATGCAATTTACGCAGTAGGAGGCTTAGACTCTTCCCCAGCGCCGTCCTTGCCTTGGACTCTACGGTCCAAGATCTCATCAATGACACCCAGCTCGAGTGCCTCTTTAGCACCCATGAAGTAATCGCGCTCCATAAGCTTCTCAATCTCATCGAGAGACAACTGCTTCTTGCCGGTAAGATGGCGTTGGTAAATCTCATTGAGCTGAGTGCGCACGCGCAGGATCTCTTTCGCATGGATAGCGATGTCGGACGCCTGTCCGAAGTAGCCGCCCGAGGGCTGGTGCACCATGATCGAGGAGTGCGGGAGACAGTAACGTTTGCCTGCTTCGCCGCCAGCGAGAAGAAGAGAGCCCATCGAAGCGGCTTGGCCAACGCAGATAGTGCTCACGGGAGAGGCGATATATGTCATTGTATCATAGATCGCAAGGCCTGCGAAATTGATAGTCAGTATAGGTCGGACATAACCATTGGAGGATGTTCACGTACCGGCAGTTACTGAGCCTCCTGGCGAGTTGATGTAAAGGTGGATTGGTTTGGCAGGGTTATCTGCTTCGAGGAAAAGCAGTTGTGCGACTATCGATGCGGAGAGGGTGTCGTCGACTTCGCCGTTAAGACAGATGATGCGTTCCTGGAGGCTTGATTAGCACAGGGACGTTGCGGAGAGAGTATCTTTCCGGGCTTGGGTTACCTTCATTAATCGAGAAAATATGTCATCTGGAGTGCGCCATACAGGTTAGTATGTTGATCATGCTTCGGGTCATATACAGGCTTCGTCGACCGATTCAATTGTGCAACATACAAGTGTGCCAACCTCCTCCCTGTTCAATGTGGTCAGTATATCAGCATTGGGTAATTTCCTGCCAATATATGGCATCCAACATACCACTGTCTCCGTCACGAATGGCGTCGGTGTCCAACTCCGCGGGGGCTGCGCAAGTGAGCGTCCTTGGTTCGAGAAGCACCGTGCGAATCTGGCGGTGGGTCGGGCGATAGCAACGGGGGAATGTTGAAAAGACCGCCCGAGCTGGTGTAAAGAAGCTTTTGGAAGCATCTTCATAAATGTGTGAAAGCAATTTGTAGATTTATGGAGGTGGAAATGCAGGGTTGGGAAACCCTGGAAAGTGAACTGTCTAATACGATAAGAGCGGCGCTAAGATAAAGCGCTTAGCTGAACAACGGCAGCAATATCGCCAGCGACGGTCATCTTCTAATAACAACCTTCTCCAGAGAATAGAACGGTTCTGGGACAAAACATTGACTAGCCTCTGAGAATACAATTAGGTCGTCTGATAACACCACCTGTAACGCTATTCGGCAACCACTATTCGATCAACAACTTCTCCGCAAATAAGGGGCTCCGATTGGCTCCTGTCAACAGCTCCGAGATCATCTTTTCCGCCTTGAATCGAACTCAACTCACAATTAGCTCTACTCCCCTAACCTTCTAGACCATGGAGTGTGTGGGAACGCGAATCCCGTACGCAAAATGGCGTCTAATTGCGTTCCGACATTTGCTAGCGACTTCACATGCTCAGTCAGTCAGTCGGGGCATCTCGACCTCGCGACGAACAGACCAACTCAATGAAACTGCGTTGGAAGCAAAGACATGCGATTCAAATGCGAACTCCATACTTCCTTCACAGCGGCTTCCGCAGTCTCCTCTCCTCACATATCCTCGCGCTGGGACGGTGAAGAATCGCAAGAGGCGCCCCACGACACAGGAGGAAGCCGACCTGCTCAAGAACCCATGGGCCTTAATGCTGGCTTCGCCGGCACGTATGTGCTCTGTAACTGGTGCACGAATGCCATCTGCGCTGATGGGGACTTGGGGGCTTGTTAGACAACCAAAGGAAGACATGCTTTATATGATGCCTGTGGGTCTGCTACAAGACTCGCTGCAAAGCAATAAGACTCAGAATCTCGGCTCATCATCAAATCCAATCATTCCAAGCCAACATGAAAGCACAAGGATGGAAATACAAGCCCCGGAAGAGGATTCCTTGGATGCATCACCAATTCCAACATTCCCAGATAAGCAGACTGGACGCCAGCTCGTCCTTCGCATTGCTGATCTCCTTCCACTTATTCGATCCATCTCAGTGCCACTCTCCAAGCAGAGCGGAAAAAGACCAGCTATTATGCGCTTGTTACCGTTCCGATGGAAGCATCCCCAGGGCCCTGTGACGGCGCACGAAGAGAAAAAAATAATCTGGTCGGAGAATACACCGGAAGTTATGCTGCGGAGTATGAGGGATGTCGTTGTCAAGAAGCTGGGCGCAGTCCTCGAGAAATACAAGCGCGTTGGCACTCCCAATGGGGTCTGGAGGGCTCTGGATCTACCCGAGTACTCGGATGCTGCGCTGAAGGAGGCACTGGAAAGTCTAGAGCCATTTGATCGTATGGAATGTGGTGGAGTCCTGCTTCTTGGTTCAAAGAATTCCACGTCTGCCGGGGATATGTCTCGATCGAATGGCTCTTTGGACTCAGTGGCTCTCACGCAAACCGGGTCGAAGGTTCCGGTATTTGATCTGTCAGTGCTTTTTTCCGAGTCTGATATAAACAAACTCCGTGAATCCCACGGCCAGTTTCAACACACTGCACTGTTCTTCAGGCCAGAGGATCCGCTTGGCATTGATGCAATGATATTCCTCTGGAGAATCAAACGACTTCTTGATGGTGTTGATCTCACAAAGCAATGAGATCGCCGGATAATCAAATAGTTAAGCGATCCATGCACTCAGTCGCTCGACTATAGTGTGATGAGAAGTATATCGGACTGTCAGGCCATAGGTACGGGAGTCATGTCGGGGTGGAGCGCAAATTGATGTGGATTAGAGTTATACAAATGACATTGAATAAGAATATAGTGAAATGAAAAGTGATGTCTATCACCAACGCTAGACACAGCTATATGACAATGAAAAGAGCCATATCTTGATGAGGACCGGGATCATGAGTGCGTGTTTACATTTGATATAAGTGTTTACCATCATCCACTTCCACTTTTCTCTTTGAGCCAGTTTCTGATAATCCTATCTCGTACAAGATCCGCATCTGATCAGTATCATTTTATGGTTGTACTCATATCACTTCACTTCTTGCGGAGTCAATGTTTACTTTGCCTGGGTTTTTTACCTTTCCGATCAGGTCTTCATCTCAGCCTATTTTATATAACTAAAGCTAGTCCTAGCAGTTTCCTAGGAATTCAACTGCCCTGCCTCTCTCTCCCTCTGTCTGTCAACATCAGACACCTATATTCATACGTTCGCTTATACGTTTGACATATCTAGCCTTTTGAAAGTTTTTACCATCCTCCGAATTAGAATTTAATCATTGTCTCCTGAAGTACGCCTAGCTCTCTAGTTACAAAGGGGTGATATGGAATGTTATATTGTGCCTTCTTATAATCCAAGATCAGCCGTTCCGACATAGGCAGCGAGTACTAGGTGCACGTCCCTTCGACTATAAACTAAGGATATAGATATCCTTAGATGAATGTAGATGGACATGAAAGAGAGCCAATGGGCTTCTTCCTATTGGTTCTCTTTCATCTAGTTTTCATTTGTCATAATGAATACCTGTAGATCTAACAAGATAATTTCCAGCCTCGTATTATGTTCAACCACATGAAGTTAAGATACGATAAGATCCTCTTCGTTGCCTCATCCTCCTATCCCCACAATATAATCACTTCCTCATTTGCCACATCTCTACATTCTGTTTTTTATGTAATGACTGAAACAAAATTGGTCCTCTCAGAGCTAATAGTGAGGTAGTCAATCTGCTGGTTGAAGTGGTATCTATGGTATATTTGCTGGGCATTGATAACTCAGAGGTCAGAGCCAATGATGATGAATTGAGATTCCTGAATGCAGGGGATCGAGTGAGTGCGCTACCCATCGCTTCGTGAGAGCCATATCTCATAGCAAGTGCCAGCGATCATAACTTTTGTGAAGCAGAAGTCAAGATCTAGCTAACAGACTTCTTGGGTGGATCATTCACGTTCTTCGAGTCCTCACTCGTCGCACTGTGAAAATTCGCCGCATATCAGTGTTCTGTTATACTAGCTCGTGAGCACTCAACTTACTGAGCGTCTTCAGTGCTCATGTTAGAAGCAGTGGGATAAGTGATGAGTGTTTTGTCAATTCCATAGGTTTCCTGCTCCGATTCCTGTGGTGGAATGATAAGCGGAGATGTTTCACGCGGGGAAACCAACAGTGGAAGCGTGGTATCTATAACTCTCAATACCCGGGGCGCAAGTGGCACTGGCGCGCGATAGATGGGAGAGTCCCCAGGTTGTGGAAAGGAATTTCGAAACTGTGGCGGACCGTCTTCAGCTACAGCCCGGCGCTACTCGTAGTTTAGCACTTAAGATAATCTTTATCTGCTCGTAGGTAGAATAGCCCCTACCCACGAATATCACCAAAGGTGTGTATCGTACCTGGAAAATCATCGGGCCCTCCCTAAGGCCAAAAAGGATGGCAAATGGGCATCTCGAACTAGTGTGGCTCGTACTTCTGCAGATGTGGCAATCTGCGTTCTAAAGATTGACATGTTATGTTAGCCAACAGTGGAACCTTGCAGAGTAGTATTGTATAGTAGGATTTGATAGCATTGTGCATGCTAATAACGTAGCTAGCTCTAGTCCCAAGAGCCACGACAACTGAAGTCACACAATAAGGACATGGGAGGTAGGAGTCTAGTCAGAGTGCGCGCAGTTTCCAAATGCAGACTTGCCTTTTCAGTGCCTCCTTTGAAAGAAGAGGCTTCTGGTTTATCTGAATGAGCTCCCCCATTCCCAGGGGGACCTGAAGTTGCCATAGTGGATGTTTAAGAAGAAATCACAGAGCGAGAGTGAGGGTTTATGAAGAAAGGAAAGAAGAGGGTTAATGAAAAAGGTAAAGAAGAGAAGAGAAGCAAAATATCAGGCGCAACTGACTTTGGGCCAAATGAGGAAACACCAAAATGGGATAGACATCCTCAATTGGAATGAAAAGAGATAGGGGACGAGCTATGGAATAGAAGGTGTTTAACTACTACACACACGGATCTAATCTACGGCAAACCAACGCCATAGTGTGCTATTCCTCTCACTTTCCTTTCAAATTTGAATCAAATCTCTTACCCATCCCATATGGTCATGATGTAGGCATATGGTTAGGCGCGACGCATCCATAGATATTTTATTCAGCCTCCTAATTGGAACTAAAAGTGAACTTTTCACCTATCATAATTCTCAGAGTCATTATAATCCCGCTCGCCCTGCTGTATTTCAATCTTACTATATATCGTAAATGGTCTGAGATAGACTTGGTCCTCCAAACTAGTAGTGATGTGGTCAATCTGGTCGGAGTAGTATCATGGCATATTTGCTAGGCATTGACACCTCGGAGGTCAGAGCCAATAATGATGAGTTCAGTTTCTGGAACTAAAGGGATTGGAGTGGGTGCGCTACCTGTCCCTTCGTGGGAGCCATCAGGCATTAGAGCTAGATGAGAGCATTCAATAGTAATCAGTATAGAGAAAGTAGGCGTCCGGTGAAGGAAAATCACAAGTCCATAAAGGTCATATCCCGGTCTGATTCCTAGAAGTTGCGAAGTATACACTTTCAGGTGGCCGATTGGGCTGCACATTGGACACAGACGTGTGGCTTCCTTTGAATATATATGAATCAAGTCAGCCACCAGTTCAATAATGAACAAACTTCTGTGTATCAAAGTGTGTATAACAGTATCCCCGATCTATATTGGCAGACATTGGGGTGCCTGAGGCGTACCTATCCAGGATGACAGAGCACAAATCAAAGGCCATAATAGGAGTAGTACAGCATAATGTCATACTAGAAAATCTTAAATGGCAGTACCGATGGTATGGCCCCCTAGAGTTTTGCGAACGAGGTTGTAGATGGAGAAAGGTTGATGGAGGTGGTCTGTGATGAAAACGGGGACCTGGATGCTGAAGTAACCTAGTATGTACACAGTAACTGTGAAATACAAGAGCTTGAAAATATAACTTCCGGACTACTATAGACATCTCTAGTTACGAATACAAATATAGAGATACAAATTTACAACAGAGTGAGTCGATAGGATCTCAGTTTCCATTAAAACTTGAATTAGGTTTCATTGCCCATTAAGTGGCACTAATCTCACTCACAACAGGTGCCACTTGCACCGATCACGATATTTGCTCCATAAATTGAAGATCTAGGTAGCAATATGCTTGGTAGAATCGTTCGCTCTATTCAAGTCCTCGCTCTTCACACTATAAAAATGTCCCTGTATTAGCTTTCTGTTGTACCAGATCGCGTGCACTCGAACTTACCGAGTCTTTTCGGTGCTCACACCGGAAGTAGTGGAATCGATTATCGGTATGTTATTAGCCGCATCGGGAACAAGTAGCGGGAGGGCGGAGTTCATCCACCTCAACGCGCGAGGTACAAGCGGCATCTGTGGACGGTATACCGGAGCATCCCCGGGTTGTGGATAGGGATTTTGAACTCGTAGCTGAGCTTCTTCGGCGGCAGCTCGGCGCTACTCGGTCTTTAGCATCATGGGAAACGTTTATCCGCTCATAGGAAGAATAGTCACTTCATTTAAACAAAACGAAGTATGTGAATCTTACCCAGAAAGTCACTGGGCCATTTCTAAGACCAAAGAGTATTCCAAGTGGGAATTCCAAATTATGATGGCTACCATTTTTGCAGAAGTGGCAGGCTTCGCCCTAGAAATGTCCACATATTATATTAGTCACTGGTCAGATCTCGTAGGGATATTGCAGCCTAGTATAGCATTGTGCATTCTGATAACATAGGTAGCTTCAGTTTCAAGAGGCACGACAGCCGAAGTCAAACAAAAGATATGGGAGGCGTGAGCCTAATTGAGCAGAATGCACACAGTATCAAAATACAGACTTACCTTTGCAGGATCACGTTCATGGGAGTTGCCCAGTTTATTCAAAGAGCTTCCTCCATTTCTGGGAAGACCTGCACTTGCCATGATGATTATCAGAGAGAGAAATCACAAAATGGGAGAGTTAATGAAGGAAAAAAGAGGGTGAGTGAAGAAAGAAGAGGAAGCAAGCAAGATCTCAGGTATAACTGACGTTGGGTCCAAAAGGGGAAACACCAAATGCAAGCATTCTGAACCTATATTAAAACGAAAGAGATAGTGGTTTGACTACAAACACAGATATAATTTTATGGCACAAGAACGCCATACTGCGCTATTAACCTCTCACTTTCCTTTCAAATTGGAATCAAATTTCATTTACCCATCTCGTCTGGTCATGATATAGGCATCTATGTATGCACAACCCATCCATGAGGGTTTTGTTGAGCTTTATATGTGATTAAAAAATATATGGAAGGGGTACACGTGGTGAAGGAGTAGCAGAAGCGCGGAGCTCATGAATATCTACGCGCGTGGTGTAAGAGGCACCAGTGGGCGATATAACAGAGAGTCGTCAGGTTCTGGGCCATTTCTAAGATCAAGCAAGACCAGCAATGCTCTTACCGCAATTTATCACGACCCTCGCGCATATCTTGATAACCCCGTGCCATCACCAATCGTCACGCCTCTGGGTGCTTGAATAAAACCCCTCAACGCGCTTTGGAAGCACCGACCTCAATATCCCCCAATACCATACTGTACTCTGTCGCATAAACCCTCCAGCGGTCAACACCCTTTCATCGCCACCATTCAGACATTTTGCCGCTATCGTCGCAGTCTTCAGATCTTCAATTGTATAATACCTAGAACAACCCATATATGTAATGGGAGATAGCTAGAACTAGTGTGCTAAGTAAGATAAAGCCAGCCTTACCTATGTACCTATCTAGGCCCCAGAAGGCTTTTTAAGCGGCTTGTTTTACAGGGGATATGCACTTTTGCTGATAGCCAACCGTTGAGCGCCTTGGAATTTTGAATGCTCTGCCCTTTCGACATTTTTATCGCCCGAGGAGAGAGTTACTCCGGCATATATACTAAGCGTGCATCGGCTATTAAACAATCTGACACCAGCGCAACCTAAACCATAGTATCTCCTACCTTTCGCCAAAATGTCTGGATGGGTGACAGCGGTTATGGACGCACTCAATTATGCGGGTGCAGTGAGCTTCACACCCGAAAAGGATATCCCAGACCTGACTGGAAAGGTCATCTTGGTCACAGGTGGTGGGTTGAACCGTACATCAATGGGGGATTAATGCCGCATCTAACGCTTTGTACCTCTACAGGAAATGCTGGGTTGGGCAAAGAAACAGTCTTCCAGCTGAGCAAGCACAACCCGCAGAAGATCTTCCTCGGCGCGCGTTCAGAAGCAAAGGCAGATGAAGCCATCAAGTCGCTGAAATCATCCGTTTCAAATGATGTCGAAATTATCTGGATACCGCTGGACTTGATGTCGGGTAAATCGATCAAGAACGCAGCAGAGCAAGTCAACACCCACTCATCCCATCTCGATATCCTCATCCTTAATGCTGGTGTGATGGCTCTGCCCCCCGGCGAGACTGAAATGGGCCATGAGATCCAGCTTGGCACAAATCACACCGGTCACTTCTATCTCACCAAATTGTTGCTGCCAATACTGCTCAATACAGCCAAGCAGCCTGGCTCAGATGTCCGCGTCGTGTCGCTCGCTTCTGTGGGGCATAATTTCGCGCCGGCATTCGAGAAAATCTTAGACCAAGAGAAGCTTAAGAAGGTTAACACAACTGCTCGGTACGGAGCGTCAAAAGCTGCCAATATTCTTTTCGCCGCGGAACTTGCCAGGCGTTACCCGTCAATAACATCAGTGTCGGTTCATCCAGGTATTATCTTAACGAACCTTTATGGCTCTCTAAGCTCACGTTCTCCGTTTGTTGCTTTGGGCTCCAGGTTTTTGCGCTTATCTGGCTCGACAGTGTACCAGGGTGCGTGTAACTCACTGTGGGCTGCTGCTGGCGCGAAGAAGGAGGAGCTCACCAATGGAGGATATTATGTGCCTGTTGGAATTTTGAAGCGGCAAAACAAATGGTCAAGCAGTGAGGATATGGGGAAGCGCTTGTGGGAGTGGACCGAGTTGGAACTTATCAAGGCCAATCTGTAATAAGATTCATGTCATCTCTTCCCAAGCTGGCAGATGATATATCTGTATGTATTACCACCTAGTCAGGTGATATGAACTCAAATTTCTTTTGCCCTGTGATTTCCAAGTATGAGCAAACTTGCCGTATAGCTGATAAGGATATATTTTGAGGTACATTACTTGGAAAAACTACCGACTGGCAACTTTAACAACCACTTTCCCGAGACCTCCCTTCCCGCTGTAAACGATCTGGCATGCAGATCGCACCGCTTCAATGTCGGAAAGCTCAACAGTCTTTCCAACCACTGTTCTCAATCTGTGTTCCTCAACATAGTTCCTCAACTCGTCCAGAGCTCGACCACTCGATCCCAAAAACATATATGAATACTCAACGCCATACCGCCGTGCCCTTAGTTTACGCACACAATCGAAAGCATTGAGTGCCATTCGGAACGCGATCGGAATGCTAGGTTTATGGGGCAGATCCATAATTGAAGAGTTCTGGAGCTGATTACCCGATGGCAAAGTCGAAACCGAAATGATAGATCCTGATTGTGGTTTCATTAGGCAGAGGTACTCCATCGCAGAGCCAACTGTGTCGAAGAGGAAGTCCACAGAGCCAAACTCGATGACCTCTCTTGGGTCGGATTTTGTGTAGTCAATTACTATGAAATTGTAAGCAAGAATTCAGCCAGGCAAAATTCGACTCTTTACTCTGATCGACTGTTCCTTCGCCTAGGAAGTCGCTGATCCTTTCCACCTTTGAAGTCGAGACTGTAGTTATGACTTTGCCTGCATGAAAAATATTCTTTGCCAATTGGCATGCAAATAAACCTGTCCCACTCACTTCAACCATATTAGAATCATACACAACAGTTTGCAGGACGAAAGCAACATACGGCCGGCGGGCACAAAGACAGTCTTTCCAGCCAGGTCTCCTTTATATTTTTTGAGTGCTTGAAGTGCAGTCATTGCTGCCAGGGGAATTGAAGCTGCATCCTCGAATGATAACGAAGGCGGCTTCAGGGCAATTTCTTCCTCTGCACATTTAACAAATTCACTGCAAGATCCTAGTAATTGAATTGAATATCAGTGAGATACTATTTGATCGTCGGGCCCGAAAATACCTCGAGAAACCTCTGGTAGCCTAGTATAAACTTCAGCCCCGACTTGGACCCGGGTCACATCCGATCCAACCTCTGTGACTATACCGGCACAGTCATAGCCGATTTTATATGGAAAGCTATTCGTGTCAGGTACGATTTTCGCAATGTACATAAAATCACATACGAGTCTTTTAGCGCCAACTTCAGCATCCCATTAGCCCTCTTCACATCAATTGGATTGATGCTTGCTGCGTGAACCTTAATGATCACATCTTTTGAATCGCTGAGTTCCGGCTTGGCTAACTCAGAAAGCTGGTAGCCCGATGGGTTTGAGTATGACGTGATATTCAAGGCCAACATATCAAGCTGAAATTTTTTCAAGATGTAGAAATGTGAAAAATGATAAGTCGCGACCACATTATATAGATTAGTTGAGGGTTGAGGTGAAATAAAGATTCAGATTCCGGATCGGTCTCATACAAAGTAGCTCAACCCCAGGACCCACACAGCAACAGCCCACAGCAACGGGTAAACGGGCCAACTATCTATCCGGTGCTGTCCACGGAGATTATTCAACATCCCAACTCTGATCAACTCTTTGCGAGAATAGATCGTAGAGGTTACCTATTATTGAACGTGGGATGTTTGGGGTATGGCCAATTTAATAAAGAAATTTTCTAAAGCATTTGTTTGTTTGGTATGCAAGATGGTATATATATCGGTTTACCTCGACACAATTATTGCAGACAATTGCAACAACTTTCTACAATATATATCTTATAAAGCTCAACCAAAAGCCTAGGAGCAGGCTAACAAGCGTCTCAATACCTACAATATAGTACTATACTACCTTAGAAGCGTGAAGCTGGGCAGGTTCACGGATAGATACCTCATCACTGAGCTGGAACCTTATCTTGCTAGACGGGTAGATACCGTCTGCTCACTCATGGCAAAATCCACCACCATTTCAACTCAGTTATATAATGCATGTTGTATAACTTGGGAAAACCATTGGATATGGCTGAATTTCATATTGACTAGACTTTCCACTACGATATGATCTGGTGGTTTCTACTGTAAATCCTAGCCACTGGACTATATATATACGGTACGGTACGAAATAGCTGTATCTCATGCGCGATGCCGATAAACACCACTAGTGTTAGTACGGAGTACTCCGTCTTCTATAAATTCTCTACAAACACGAGCCCTGCGCTAGCCAAGGTAGGTGGCCACAAGTGAAACCGACTCAGACTGGCAAAGGTGACCTGATGATCGGTCACTGTGCTAAGGGGAATTCTCCCCTCTGCAAATGTATGGGCCACAGAATACAAATCTTTACATGATGTCAGAATTCTCGCTCCGTTGTACATCGTAGGCAGGGGGAAGGGGTTGACATTCTCAGGGGCTGGTTAACAGGAGGCTGTTCGTTCGGAATGATCATTTGAACCGAAAAGGCGGCTGTAAAGTCTAACCAATGTAGCGAGTGACGATCACGGGTCACTGCGAGGAACTACTGAGATAAGTAACTAGTTATGCACTCATATATTATTAATTTCAGCTACGCAGATGGAGTAGTATGATGAGTAGTGTTTGCGGATCAAATCATCCATGGGCAATTTAGTACTCCGTATTGATTGATATTCTGTATATCGAAAACTGTCTTATCGGAACACTACGCACTTCCAGGCTCTCGTGTTGTTGCATACCCAATCTAGAAAATCTTGGTGATCCACGTCAATCATCTGGAAATGATCTGAGCTCTAGGCAAGGTTTGACCTGTACTTGAGACACTGGAACATATTATTAGACTCCAAGCAAGGTAGAATCTACCGAAACCCTCATGGAAACGTTAAAACTATGATGTATGATTGGTTCAAATTCTCTAGTGATTTATGTACTCACCACTCCGTATTGTAGTGTCAAATCCCTAGGCGTTGGGTTAGCTGATGCCTGTAGCCTCAGCCTCAGTTCTCAGCCACAGCCACAATCCTTGATTGAAGCCACTATGGTATTGTATGCTACAGTATTGTACGATCTACATGGAGTACGGAGTACTCCGAACTCCCTGTCAATTCTTTTTGTTTTGAAATAATATCAGAGATCAATATCACTATTTTGACAAAGACGAAGCGTATTGATTTATAAAACCGCAGTGATAATTAGCTTCTTGTACAACGAGTAACCACGTGGACAGAATAGTGATTGGGATCCATACGGAGTACGGAGTACATACTCCCAATAACTTTTGTCTAACAGATGTCAGCTGTATTCATCATGCCTCGGCGTTTTCAGCTTCTACAACGGACTAAGCCAAGATGGAGCTGGCAGCACTCGTTTCGGAGATCCGGTGGTCGTTGGTTAATATATCTTAATAAACTATACAATCCTTTTTTGAATAAAGATTACTTCGGGATACTCTTTGATCAATTCTAACATCAAATCCTGCAGGCTTTCTTTCAGGTTATTGCAGGCGCTTTGAAGGCCTGTAACTATAGCGATCGAGTTAAGGCATAAGCTTGGACCCTTGATACGATCTCTAATGCGAGGTGAATTCACAAAAATTGATCGTAATTGCAAATCCCGAGGTGTTACAAAGCGATCATAGATCACTGATGGCTGATGGCCTGGCCTCATGTCCTAGATTTCTGGTTAGATGCGTGGATATGGAGTAGGTCTTCGGTCCATCATTGTCATGCTTCCTGTGCATAATATGCTGTATTGAATTGCATGAATCAGCCTCGGAAGTCCGAAGCCGCATTTGCGATGAAGGCTCGGCACCGGAGGCGATTGATCCGACCGAAATTATTATTGATAGACTCATATTACTTCGGAGAGGACAAAGCAAGTAGGTGTACAACATACACTCCTCGAGATGAAAGTGAAAGAGACCAAGAAATGAATAAGTGGTGATCAGCCCCCACCTTCTATTGTGGATTAGCCAAGGCGGAGGAGTACGCGTTAACAGTTAAAAGAACTTTGTTTTACCGGTGAGCCTAGCAGACTGATCGTCCCCACTGCACTATGGATAATCCTCAGGATGACATCGTGTTCGTGTCTCTTAGTGTGACTTGTGTATTGCAAGGTTGACGTGGTTCATTGCAAGCGTAAAAAGGTGGATCTAATTGGGCTAAAATTCTACAGGCCGGGTAGAACCATAATGCATAATACAATGGTCTTAATAGGACTGAGTAGGATCAATCGAGATAATACTCTCTGTACCATGATCAATAATTACCGTAAGAAAATGGAAGAAAGAACGAAAGATTCATCTTTGTTTAAGTGAGACCACATGGTAGGACGAGTTAGGTAGGATTAGCGTACTGTGCCTGAGAGAACGGGCCACAATTAGCCACCAGCGCCTCGTCGGTTATTTGTTTCGATGTAACCCTACAAGTACATCGCCTCTTTGTTCGGCTTATTTTGTGAAACAGACTAGGTCCTATACCTTTAGATCTGAAGCAATTGACCATTCGAATTCAAGGCTTAATGTGATAATGTGATAAAGTTGCCGGACGAGTACCCGTCACATGCAATGAAACCCTGGAAGCACACGGGTGAAGCCCCAGGTACCAGGGGGAGAAATTCAGGAACACAACCAACCGGAATTCAAAATTTCAACGTCTATTGTCTCCCTGATCAGCCACTCGGGAGGGCCAGAGGAGGAGGGGAAAAGGACGAAGTTTGCCATCGGAGTTCCACATGGATGATCCTAGCCTCCCCACATAGGGCCAATCACCAGCCCATGAACGGGGGGATGAACGCCATCAACTTGAAGCGCCAACTAGGTTCGCCCACAGGGGCTTAATGCTATCTGAAACAGACCAATCGCTCCATACCCAAAGGACTGGGTCCCCTCGGACAGTGTTTCAACCCTTGCTCCGTACAGGTACTGTACAAAGTATACCCTACTGCGCAAGGCCCTAAGCCCGCTATTGGACCACTTTCTCAGCCACCTCTGAACGTAATTCGATTCTGCTGCGGGCCTCGACTGATCACTTTATCCAACGAGAAAGGACGGGCAAAGGGCACACAGTTACTCGTGAGTACATATACTTTCTTTACCCGTCTCCTCTTTTCTTTCTCTCGACCGTGCAAGCAGGGCTTCTTCCACAGTTCTTCAACGTTTCTTTGTCGCTTTGATTTCGTCGTTCCACATTCCCTCTATAAAAATGTTCTTTCCTTCATTGGTATGTCTACACTTCGCATGAATCGATGGCTGAGTGCGACATGGTCCACAGCTCCACCCCCAACCAACCATACAGCCATGACTAATTTCGTAATAGATCCTGGCTGCTGGCAGCCTACCGACTCTCATTCAAGCCATTCCTCATGGCGCGAAGCCCCATCACTCTTTGCACCGTCGCGCCGCTGCCACCTATGCTGTCATGGGTGGTACCGGAGATGCCTCCGACGGATGGCCGTCCATGAGTCAATGGTCGGACTACGAAACTCTGTAAGTAGAGAAATATAAAACGACAAGAGCGTAAAGCTAATAGTTCCTTCTAGTTGGGGTCTCAACCAAATTCTCATTGCCGCATCATGCGACAACTCTGACGACGAAACAAGCGACATTAACACCAGTATCAAGTCGATTGCCGGGGAAACGGGCATCGACGCTCGATTTGTCCTTGCAATCGTTATGCAAGAAAGCAAGGGCTGCGTTCGTGTCCATTCCACTAACAACGGTGTTCAGAACACTGGTCTCATGCAGAGTCACGCCGGCGAGGGCTCCTGCAATAAGGACGGGAACATGGCAACTCCTTGCCCCTCCTCCATGATTCAACAAATGATCAAAGACGGTACCGCTGGAACTACCCAAGGTGACGGTCTCAAGCAGTGCTTTGAGGCCCAGAGCGGCGCCGAGGCGGCCAAGTACTATAAGGCCGCGCGCACCTACAACTCGGGCTCCATCGACTCGTCTGGTAACCTGGGCCAGGGTGGTGCAACCCACTGCTACGCCTCCGACATTGCTAATCGTGTCCGTGGCTGGGCCGGGGACATGAGCGAGTGTAGCGAAGCTACCATTGGAAGTGTTACCAGCGGCTCGGAGCCCGCCCTCGGTGGTAGCGATGCTCCGAGTAGCTCCTCTTCCTCGACCACTACTGAGCAGCCCACTGAGACTGCTGAGTCTACGCAGACCTCTCCGGCTCCTGTCGAACCCGCCCAGCCTACCAAGACTACCTCCTCCACATCCACTGAGACCACCACCAAGGCTTCTCGGCCCACCTGGTTCCCACACCTGCACGTAAACGTGGCCGAGCAGACCCCAACCACCACCCCAGCCTGGACAACCAAGGCCACACCAGCCGCGACAACTGCACCAGCAGCCTCCAGTTCATCCTCCGCAACAGCCCCTCTCTACCCCTACGCCACTCCATCATGCCAAAAATATTACACCGTCAGCCGCGGTGATTTCTGCGACAGATTGACCGAGACCATTGGGGTCTCCTTCCCCGATCTCCGCAGATTGAACAGTGGTCTTGATGAGGAATGTTCGGATCTGTGGCTTGGATATCAGTATTGTATCAAGGCTTAAGTACGGGCCTCTGGTTGATCTACTTTTGGATCTATCTTTACCCTTCTTTCCTCTCCTTAAGGCGGTGCCTTCTTTGTACATAGCATGAGCTTGCTCTGCAAAAAGAATGGCTGTGGGTGATTCTGGCACTTGCCCATAGTCCCTTTATGACGAATGACACTAGCGAACATTTTCTTTCCATATTTTTGGGCTTTCTACCCTTCTTTGATCTTTCTAAAGTAGATACACGGAATAACACTTTGGCAAGCTTCATTCTAAATTGTGAAGCATAGGTACCACCGCTTGTAATGGGCAAATCCCCACCCACAAGGCTACAGCTTTTGCTATGACTTAAGGTTGCTTGTGTTTTGTATTGCGGCAATTCTACCACGATTTTCGCAAGCACTGTGGCCGCCATTCTCCCATAAAGGAACAGAGGAAACCACATTTATGCGTATTTGCAGCCTCTAGAAATGGGAATCTCTGAATATCTGTGATGCTATTTGAAATGAGGTTTAGTTGAGATTGTCACATGTCGCTTGTGCGTTAGGTACAAAAGAAGACAAAGAGCAACCCGAGACTCTGGCCATATGAAAGGCATTGGAAAGGTTTACAAAGCTGTTGTTTTGAATGAAAGATCACTATCTCTACTAAAGGCCGGAAATCAAACAATATGGTCAAAGATTCATCATGACTGTCTCTGGTCTTCTATATAAGCACGTTTGAGCTCTATCTACTTGCCTATAATCACTCATTGCACTCAGCGGTTCGATCTACTATACGAGTAAGCAATAAACTAACTAGCCAACAGGTTCGCCAAAAAGCTCACAACATGATGCAATCAGGTATGTTCAGGTATAGATTTGGGGGTCCGGGTCTTCCTGAGTGGGAGATAAGTAGTCATGAATGTGTTTATTTTGTCACAGTGCAATTCGACGAGAGATACAGGGGGTATTCCAGTGAAAAGCTCATGGAAAGTATGATCCGTCGAATCAAAGATGGGAGAGCCGAAGTTAGCCTTAGACCTCTCCATCGCCTCACTCCACAATGCATCTCGTTGCCAGTTTATGGGCCCTGTGACGCTCCGAGTGCCGTCATTCTTGCAACCGCTGTAATAGTTGCGGAAACGCGCTTGAATGAAATCCAGCAAGGCTTTGTGGAGATCGACATGGATCTTCTCTTCGGCCGTTAATATTAGAAATACTAGAGTTCGATTATTTTCAAGCTCGTTATTTTAGTTTGCAGTCTACGAGTAAAGGTTTCAGCTATTCTGATCCAATCCTAAAGCGCTGCATATTATCTAAACTAACTGGTTAGTCGAAAGCAACACAAATAGAACAGACTGCCTCTTCTATAAGTTTCTACTATAATAGTGATTTTTCTACTAGGTGAATTGTGTAAATATCCAATGACAACCAGATCATTTCAACTGAAGTTCTCCCCCTTCTACAACCAGCCGAATAACCTCCTTGTTCAATCCCTCCCAGCGAGTCCGTCCCTTGATAAACCAGTAAATAAAAGCAAACAAAGTTGTCGCACCAAATATTGGTGCCGCATAATTCATGTTCTCGGCAGTAACCGGTAATGCTGACGGAAATGCCAGCCATACTGTTACCCAGGCAGTATATAGCAAAGCAAAAATATTAACCGGAAGTCCCCAGATCCCCATATTCCAGTTTCCCAGAGGCGCCGCATGCTTCTGAAACCGATTATGCACCATGCAACTAATAGCAATAAAATATGACACAAAGAGGCCAATTGATCCCAGTGCAACGAATGCCCCGAAGGCGGCACCATTCGCAATGTTCAAACACGCTAGAATCATGACAACGAGTACTGGGAGCCAAACAGCACGAATTGGCACGTTGTGTTCGCGGTCGATCTGCCATTTTTGTCAGCAAATATCTTCTACATGATCTTATATGCCGCTGATACATACATAACTAAACCACCGAGGCAGGGCTCCGTCACGAGCCCATGCCCACGTCAGTCTTGATACAGACGCGATACTCGCCAGATTGACCGACAGCGAGATTACAAGTAACCCGCTGACCATTGCGGTGGCGGCTTTCACGGACCCGGTTGCTTGCCGGCAGATTTCGATTATTGGGAACCCTGATTTCTGGGCTTCCTCCACCGAGCCCATCGTAAAGAGCATACAAACAACCATTGCATACGCCAGGATACCGTTGGCAACCACAGTATAGAATATAGAGCTAGGAACAGCTTGTTTTGCTCGACGGACTTCTTCACTCATATGTACAGCGCCGTCAAATCCTGCGATATTTAGCTTGCTGTCTTTGGTTCATTTTTGGTTCAATCATGTAGTGTGTACGTACCGACGAACCCCCAGGCAGGGGTGAGCAGAGCTATGTTCCATGCGGGGAATTTTGCCCATCCTGAAGTACTTTGCGTGTGTAGAAAGACAAACTCTGGTGTGTGACGAGGTGCTAGAGCTGTGAATACAACCAGAAACACAATCAAAAGGCAGATGTGCAGAATACCCGCCATCATTTCAATCCACGGAATCAGCCAAAATGTATACATGTTCATCAAAGCTTCGACAATAAGCATGCCAACAATAATGAGGGTGATATGCCATTGCTTTGGTTCGTACTCTGGGTAGTTCACACTTGCTAGCCCCTGGATCATGGTAGCGGTGGTGTTGGCAACACCGGCGAGCGTAGATATCCACGCAAACCAGGTTACCCAACCTGTATAATGTTAGTATCTAGCTAGGAAGTACGCGATTAGTGACATACCTTGCATCCAAGTGATAAACTTCTTCTGGCTCGTGGGTGCCAGGTAGTGTGTCCAGTGGTACTGAGCCCCAGCAATTGGTTGCATCGATGCCATCTCGGCTAGCGAGGCAGATTGAGCCATTGCACCGAAAACCACAATCACTATACCCCAAGCTAAGGCTTCAGGGCCACCATTTGACAGGACGGTACTCAAATTCCTAAAATTCGGTTGTGTTATTAGTGCCGAAGCACAAGGAGGGATAAGATTCTCTAACAAAGCCTGAGTTTCCCAGCTTGACAAGTAAGTAAGTGAGAAAAAGAATATCTGGGTGAAATTGAAAAGCCGCTGTATACTGTATCAGCCGGGAAAACTTCATCGACTTAACAAATCGTACCTTAGGCGCAGCCTGCGCTATGGATCCAGTTTTACGCGGGCGGTCATAGGCATTGGAGGCATTTGCACCTTGATCTAGTGCGATTTTTCCGGTCCCTATATTTTCCCTTTCCAAAGACTGCATCTCCAAGCGCTCCATTTGTTCTCGACAGCAAAAAGGCAGTTAATGACAGGAAGCAACAAAGCACCACATCAGACAACGTCCCGAAGGAAGATCGGAGAAAAGAAAGCAAAAAAATGACATAAAGGCCATAAACCAAAAAAACATGGATTACGCAGAATTCTTGTCTTACGATGAATTTTCCTTGTCTTGCCTGGATGGAATCGGCGTATGCTGCAGCACCAGTAGGGACTGGAAGACGCACGGTTGTGGAACTTAATTTAGACTGATCAGTCGCAAGACAGGAATAATCATGCTCGTGTGCCTTTGGTGTGGAAGATCCAATAAAGAACCCGATATGAAGGCACTCGGACAATAGTTCTACATATGTCCTGTAATGCCTCCTCTGCTAATGAACGGTGTAAAAATGATACTGTTTAATCATGTCCAATGAAGACCTTTCGACTGCCATGCCATCCAGGATAACGACTCTCCTACCGCCACTCTTACCTGTCACCGAGCATGATCATGGTGCTTGGGTTATCACCGTGAGCACCATTCTGCTTATCATTACTATTCTTGCAACAACAGTGACCTTTATATCTCGCATCCGCGTTTTGCGCAAAGTTTCGTGGAGTGATTCAACTCTATTTTTAAGTTGTGTAAGTATCTTTGCCTTCCACAGTTACATTTTCTGATCAATCCACTAGATTATACTTATTCCCCAGACTGTGTGTGTGAATTTAGCTAGCTCCCATGGCATTGGCAAGCACCGATATGCATTGAGCAAGTCCTCATTTGAGAAATACAGCAAGGTAAGAAGCTTACACACACCAAAAGGGTTATATTCTAACAGAATCAAGACACTCTTTGCTAGCCAGCTTCTTGCCGTTCTCATTTTAGGGTGTTCCAAAGCCGCCGTTGCACTTCTCGTCTTATCTTTGCAACCCTTTGAGAAAATAACGCTCGCATGCAAGGCTGTTTTGGGCTTGATCGGCACATGGATCCTGGCTGCACTCATAGCGCTCGGAAAACAATGCGATCAACCGCAACCATGGAACTTCAGTCCCGAGCGATGCGTGAACCAAGAAGCTTTATACATCGCATTGGGGGGTACCCACATATTATTAGATGTGGTAGTCATTGGGCTGCCAGTGACTCTACTACATCAAGTTCAAATAATACGGTGGAAGCGCCACCAAATCTCTGCCCTGTTTGCGATGCGGATCCTGTGCGTATATTTTTAAAGATTAATAAAAGCCCCATCTAATCTCACACAGAGTTCCAGCTCTGACCATTGCTGGTCTGCACTCCCTCCGACCAGTATATGCCTCCAAGCCCCTAGACGAAACATGGAATGCTCTCATGCCAGCTATCTGGCTACAATTAATCCTCAGCTCCTCGATTCTCTGCACATGCATCCCAACCCTCAAAAGGGTACTCGCTGAGCTCCAGACAGGCATGATGGCCGGCATCGTCTCAGACTTTTTTGAGCAATCCGTCTCTGGTCACACCAACTCGGGAGATCGATCAGCATCCAAGTCTGACAATACCAATGGGCAAAGATCAGAACCAGTGTCAGCGTCCCGCTCCCGAATTCAAACAGACTCGTTCGATGTTGAGCGCATGGACAGTCAAAGGAATCTGCGCGAAAACGCCATTGTGCGAACGATCGACTATGAGGCCTTTTACGAAGGATCTGGTTCTTCTAGGGCCTCTTCTATTCATAACTATGACAGTAATGGTCTAAATACATATTCACATGGCGGAACCTTAAGGCAACAGGCGCTGAACGGTTGAGATTCCTGGAAAAGTACATCCTACTATGGTGGATATGTTTGAATATTTGTCGATTATATACCTAATTAGATTATAATATTATTTTTGAAGTTCATCAACCTACATACCTATGTCGATACTTCGATATATCAGTGAATTTCCGAGTGATTCGTGAGCAATGTTGACTCACAGGGACTTAGTGGGGCAATGTGGGTTATATCCACTCGAGCCAGGAACGTAAGAGAGTTTAAAGGCATCGCATATCAAAACTACATGTACTCTTGTGTTTTCTAAACAATGTCAGACAACGTTCTTGATGTGTTGGGTCAAACTCCAGGCCTCTATAAGCTATATACACAGATATGTTCCATTTACCGCGTTCCCAACGCATCTTCTCATGACGACATCGTCAATACTTTATCGAACGGACTTGACCGATTGGCAAAACATTTCCCATGGCTTACTGGCCAAGTTTTCAACGATGGCGCAGGGGATGGTAATACGGGTGTCTTTAAAATAACTCCCCTCGACAAAATCCAGCTCGTGGTGAAAGATCTACGACATGACCCCTCCGCACCCACAATGGACGGGCTTCGCCAGGCAAAGTACCCTTTAACCATGCTCGACGAGAACATCATTGCTCCTTGCACGACTCTAAACCTACCGGGTAATTTGCCGAGTATCACGACCGAGTCAGCATTAGTTTTCTGTGTTCAGGCGAATTTCATCAAGGGCGGTTTGATGCTCACGCTGGTTGCTCAGCATAATGTCATGGACATGACTGGCCAAGATTTTATCATCAGATTGCTGTCCAAGGCTTGCCACAATGAGCCTTTCACAAGTGAGGAAATTGCAGTCGGTAACATGGATCGGGGTCATGTCATTCCCCTACTGGATGATTCGTACACCCCGGGCCCTGAGCTCGCTCGCCAGATTGTGAAACCCCCGCCAAGTGTCAAAGATGTTGTCTCGAATCCTGTTACACCCCCAAAGTCCACCTGGGCTTACATTGAGCTATCTACCGCACAACTTGCCTCCCTCAAAGCTCTCGCCACGAATACATTGCCCGCCACCACGGACTTCATCTCTACCGACGATGCTGTCAGCGCTTTTATCTGGCAATCTATCACCCGCGCCCGGGCTTCTCGCCTGGAAGGGAATTCCGAATCAATGTTTACGCGCGCAGTCGATATGAGACAGCGTTTTGGTATCCCTCAGGGCTATCCAGGTCTCTTGCAGACTTTGACATACAACACCGACACTATCCAGAAGCTATGCGAAGAGCCTTTGGGCATCGTTGCCGCCGAGCTTCGGTCCCAGCTCGATCCTAAGAAGAATGACCTTGTATTCAAAACCCGTGCTCTCGCCACGTTTCTTAGCCGCTCGGCTGACAGGACCAAGGCGTCTTTTACAGCCACAGTCAATGTTTCATCTGATTTTATGCTTAGTTCGTGGTCGAGGATTAGCTGCTATGATCTCGATTTCAATCTAGGATTGGGCAAACCCGAAGCCGTGCGGAGACCCCACTTTACCCCTGTGGAGGGATTGGGGTACTTGATGCCTCGATCAGCTGCTGGCGAGATGCCTGTTGCTATTTGTCTAAGAAATGAAGATTGGGAGCAGCTAAAGGTAGATGGGGAGTTCACGAAGTATGCCAAGTATATTGGGTAGTAGTATATTTTGTTGAAGAATAATTATCAAAACACTTACTCTAATGTATTTACTATCCAGGTACGGAGTATGTACATAGTTCAGGGTATAGGTAGCATCCACTGTCGATCACTGTCTCCGCATTCCGTCATGTCTCCGCATTTGGGAGAGTCCAGGGCGGGCTCCTTCTTTCACCTCTCATCATCTCCTCTCTGGGGCTGTTTCACTCGATTACTTGCTATACTGCTACTTAGATTTTTGTTCAATCATATTATATTATCGTTGTTTCTTTCTTATACCTGAAGCCGTCATCATGGGTGGGGAAGTTCCCTTTCACCCCGCTTCTCCAGCTTTACCCCAGTTAGCTGAACGCCCGGTCGGCCAACGTATCAAGAAGATCTACACCGATCGTCTGAACCAGTTTACATCGAACGGCCAGTACGAAGGTCAAAACCTCGTCTCAAAGTATCACGAAGCCACAAACTCGGACGAAGATCATGTCAAGCTCTCTGTTTACTCGGTTCCGGACCTGCAGCGACCGACCTTCAAAGAGGCGACCTCTCAAGAATTCAAGCCAACTCACATAGGCGCCTCTTTTGGCCCCAGTTGGTCCACACATTGGTTCCGGATTCATCTCACAGTGCCCGAGGACATGCTTCAACGGGAGCATCTAGAGTTCCACTGGGATGCTAACAACGAAGGTCTGATCTGGACAGAAGAAGGTCATCCCCTGCAAGGTCTAACTGGAGGCGGAGAACGGACCGAGTTCATTCTCCCCAAAGACTGGTGTGATGGAAAGGAGCATACCTTCTATATCGAAATGGCCTGTAATGGCATGTTTGGCAATGCTCCTGGTGGCGATTCGATTCAGCCACCGAATCCCGACAAACACTTCACGCTCAGCACAGCCCGAATCACTGCGGTAAATCTAGCTGCCCGAGCACTTTATTATGATTTCTGGATCATTGGGGATGCCGCCCGGGAATTCCCAGGAGAATCATGGGAGTCGCACGAAGCCAACGTCGTGGCCAATTCTATGATCGATGCCTTCATTGCAGGCAATGGAAGCAATGAGTCTATCCACGAGGCGCGGAAGATTGCTAGGAAGTACCTCGGCGACAGAGTCGATTCGTCCGAGGTTTATGACACAAACACACAGCCAATAGTTTATGCCATTGGCCATTGTCACATTGATACATGCTGGCTGTGGCCTTGGGCTGAGACTAAGCGAAAGGTAGCACGATCATGGTCTAACCAATGTGACCTGATGGAACGGTATCCTGAGCACCGTTTTGCTTGTTCTCAGGCTCAACAGTTCAAATGGCTTAAACAGTACTACCCATCCGTCTTTGATCGCGTGAAGCGCTGGGTAAAGAAGGGCAACTTCCAGCCAATCGGCGGGAGCTGGGTCGAGCACGATACGAACATGCCAAGTGGAGAGTCGCTGGTCAGGCAGTTTTTGTATGGACAGCGATTCTTCGAAGCAAACTTCGGGAAACGAAGCACAACATTCTGGTTGCCAGATACCTTCGGATACTCTACCCAGATCCCTCAGATATGTCGCCTGGCTGGGATGAGCCGTTTCTTTACCCAGAAGCTCAGCTGGAACAACATCAACAACTTCCCTCACACTACATTCCAGTGGGTTGCGCTTGATGGCAGCCAAGTCATGTGCCACATGGCTCCTGCTGAGACCTATACGGCTGAAGCGCATTTCGGTGATGTCAAGCGCAGTATCACTCAACACAAGTCGTTAGACACGGACAAGACATCTCTACTTGTATTTGGAAAAGGTGACGGAGGTGGCGGTCCAACCTTCGGGCACCTCGAAAAGCTACGTCGTTGCCGTGGTCTCAGTGATCAGGTTGGCTCATTGCCCCGAGTGAAAATGGGCGAGTCGGTGGATGACTTTTTTGCAAAGCTGGAGGCAAAGGCTGCCTCTGGCACTGATTTTGCTACCTGGTATGGCGAGCTTTACTTCGAGTTGCACCGTGGAACCTACACCACTCAAGCAAATAATAAGCGCAATAACCGCAAGTCCGAGTTTTTACTGCGTGAGATCGAGCTCCTTGCGACCTTTGCCACCATCAATGCTTCCGATGATGGATATCGGTATCCCAAGAAGGAAATTGACGAGATGTGGGAAGGAACTCTCCTTTGCCAGTTCCACGATTGCTTGCCGGGTAGCTCCATCGAGATGTGCTACGACGACTCCGACAAGCTGTATGCTGAGATCTTTGAGACGGGAGCCAAGCTGCGAAAGAACGCCCTCGAGGCTTTGGGGCTCACTGGTGATGCCACGAGTGAAAATTTCATGGCCCTCAATACCTTGCCATGGCCTCGATCTGAAGTTGTTGCAGTCCCTCCAGCAGTATCCGCATACAATAGATCTAGATACGCTGTGGCTGATGGTACAACTGGGGTGATGCAAGTCCAGCCGGCTGACTTCAAAACTACCACTTCAGTGACCGTGGCCGAGGTCACATCTGGAGTCTTCCGCCTGGAGAATGGTAAGCTCAGGGTTTATGTTCAGGACGGGGTTATCACATCCTTGTACGATGTGGAAGCCGATAGAGAGATCGTCGCAAAGGACCGCAAGGCTGGCCAGTTAGTCATCTTTGATGACAAGCCTCTTTATTGGCAAGCGTGGGATGTGGAGGTGTTCCATCTTGAGTCACGAAAGGAGTTACCCGGGGGTAAGACGACTATTGTAGAAAATGACCCGCACCGGGTGAGTGTCATGACTGAGACACAGATCAGTGACAAGAGCTGGATCAAGACCACAATCAGCCTGTCGGCATCCGTTTCTGATGAGCCCTCATATGTGGAAATGGAAAGCGAAGTGGAATGGCAAGAGACGATGAAATTCCTCAAAGTCGAGTTCCCAGTCGATATCACCAACACCGAAGCATCCTATGAGACCCAGTATGGCATCGTTAGGCGCCCGACCCACTATAATACAAGGTATGCACCGAGCTTGCACATAATTCACAACAATACTAATTACTCTGCAGTTGGGACATGGCCAAATTCGAAGTCTGCTGCCACAAATGGGCTGACCTCTCTGAGAATGGTTACGGAGTCTCCATTCTAAATGACTCTAAGTACGGCTTTGCAACATGCGGCAACCTGATGCGCCTTTCATTGCTCCGTGCCCCTAAGGCACCGGATGCCCACGCTGATATGGGTCGCCACCACATTCGTTATGCAATTCTTCCCCACGCTGGTGCCCTTGATGCCCGAACAATCCGCGCCGGCTTCAATTTCAATAACCCACTCGTCGTTGAAAAAGCCGGCTCTAAAGCATCTATTTCCAATGCCCTGTTTAAATGTCTGTCTATCAAGGGCGCGCCATCCTTGATTCTGGATGTTGTCAAGCGCGGCGAGGATGATGTTGATGTTTCATGGGATGGCGCTCCTACACGTCCTGGGAAGAGTATTATTCTGCGTGTCTATGAATCGCTTGGTGGCAAGGCCCGTGGTGTCATTCAAACCACACTACCTGTGAAGCATGCTTTCAAGTGCAATATACTTGAGGACAATGAGAATGACAGCCTGGGTATTGAGACTGCAGATGGTGGTTCGGCGATCAAGATTGAGCTAAGGGCGTTCGAGGTCGCTACGTACCGACTGGAGCTGTGATCGTAAGGAATAAAGTATTTGAGTGGCAAGTACCAACTAAGCCCAGGGAGGATTGCAAGACACTCATCGTATGTACGTAGCTCATGTCGCGTTCAATCGGAAGCAATGAATAAATGTCACATCCGACAAACGCTGTTGTCTGTATAAGTTCGTGATTTACATGATATCGCATCGTAGATGTAATAAGACAGATTAATAAGACAGATAAATCCCATTCCCATTTCCCGCTACGCCCGCAACACGACTCCTCCTAGGAGCCATGTGAAAAGACAATGCAACCAACTCCAAACCGAGAAAAAGCTAAGCAGATGCAAGACGGGCTCAGGATATAGACAAGACTGAATCTCTCAAGACTCAATCTCTCCCGTAACTAATCTTCAATCGCTTAACAGAAGGCTTGTCCTCGTCAGAAATATCCTCGGTCTGGTTCTTGCCCTTCGTATTCTTTGATCCACCAGTCGCCTTCTTCTTGTTTTTCGATGAGCCATTCGGGTTCTTCATCCCGCTGCCAGAAATGGAGGCGGACAGTGGGTCAATCTTCATAGACATGCTGTTTCCGCCAGTCGTAGACGTCGGCGTTGCTGCGTGGGAAGGCGTTGTTTGTACAGAGGAGGGGCCTGGGGAATCCTGTGTAGACACAACAATCGTTAGTGCCTAGTCCAAATCAGAAACACCAGTCTCAGTATCCAATGTGGATAATCCTTTACTCGGTTCGCTTCTACATACCAGCATGTAACTCGCCGAACTCCGCGAGAAAACTCGATCTGATTCCGTCACCTGCGCCTTTCGCCTCGACCCGCCCATGCTGCCGCCCAGACCCAGTCCCGCAGCGCCGAGACTCGACCCATTCGCGGAGCCTTTGATGTAATTGTCGAAGCCCTTGATGATGTTCCCAGCGGTGGTTTCTTCCAGGTATGATTGTTCGAAGCGGAAGATTTGGTCTTCGAGTTGAGACTGGGGGAAAGGTGTGTTAGCAGCATATCACGGTAGGGTGGTTTACACATTCATTGGGGAACATGCTCGCGCAGCAAGAAAACAAAATTGCAGAGAGGTGACCATGCCCGGTCCCCGGAGCACAAAAACGCGCGGATGGACTCACCATGCTCTTATCCATTAATCGCTTTTTCTGTAGTGTGTCCCTCAGCTCGCGGCGCAGTTTCTCGTAGTACGGTAACCCGCGACTCGCGGCATTCTGATCCGCAGGCGCATTCGGTGCCCCTGCTGTTGCGCTGGTTGTGGGCGGCGCGGCTCCGGTGGTTGCAGACGCGGTTGTTGGAGCCGGTGCTGTGTCTGCCATTATTGGAGAGTTGAAACGCAAGAAGTAGAATGTTTATTTTATGTCAAAGAGGCGTATTGCATACGCAAAATAGGCGAATTGGGGTTGTGATTGAGTTGGAAGTTGTGCCGAAGCGTATCGTAGTCAGTGACCGCGTTGGGATCGGGAAAGTTATAGCGGCTTGGAGATCTTATCAATGTTTGTCTTGTTTGTATTCCCCTCTCTTGATCGTCAGCGCCTTTGTTGTCTCGCACCTGCCAACTTACGACTTACGAGTATATCTTGAGACAAAAGAGGTCTCTCGTTATCTTTCTCGCATATCTATACACTAATATTCAAGATGGACCACTCGATGCATATGGCCATGGGTCACGGCGATATGGGTCACGGCGATATGAACATGGGTGCGAAATGCAATATGAATGTGAGATCTAACCTTCGGTCTTGCTTTGATCTTGGTTTATCTCATGCTAATATCGAATGGTTGAATCCTAGATGTTGTTCAACTGGTCCTCCGAGAATTTATGCATCATCTTCCGCAGCTGGCATATCACCGGTCCTTTCTCCTTCCTCTTGTCGCTCATCGCTATCGTTATCCTTACTGCAGGCTACGAGGGAGTACGGTCAGCGACTCGGAAATACGAGGCTGCCCATGTGCAGCGGCTAAGTGCGTTTTTGAGTCTTCCTGCCACTACTGGGGGTAAGTGATTTGCTCTTTCCATGGGTCAAGATCTCAAGGATATTAGTCCCAAGGGATGTTTTTGTTTGATATTGGAGATGGTACACTGTGAATGAGCAAGCTTCTTATTGATGTCTTGGCTCTTTGCAGACGCTGAGATCGCCGACCCTATCATTGCCAACGGCCTGGCGGATACAATCCATAACACTCGCAACGAAGGCTCACCACTGCTTGTAGGAAGGGACAACAGAGGGACGTTAGTGCGCAAGGGCAAGCTTATCATGGCGGCTTTGTATGCCATCCAAGTCTTCTATAGCTTTTTCATTATGTGAGTCCCTCCCAGCCAACATCCTGACCTCGTCTTGGCTTGCTGACTTGGTGGTCTAGGCTTCTCTTCATGACGTATAATGGGCAGGTAATGATTGCGGTTGCAGTGGGAGCGTTCGTTGGGTACTTGGTTTTCTCAGAAGGCACCCCAGCCGCAAAGACAATCGCGTGTCATTGAAAGATGCATCCAGGACATTCATAATTTGCAGATTCGGGGGCAGGCGTAGAGACAATGATCCGTATGTCCAAATTGGAACTAGTTTTGGTACTGAAATTGATGGGTTTGGAAGCCCTTTCCGGTGGAGAATGGTGCTGGTCTGTGGTGGCGACCTCATGGTTTTGTGGCCCCATCATTCTCTCCATATAGCATTAATAGTTCATGGAACCTCAACATCACTCCCATCATCGCCAAATCCAAAACTGAATCCGCCTCTTTCGGTGTCTTGCCCGTCAGGGGTGTCATTTGTTTTCCCATGGACAATATCCTCCCATTTACGCTTCTTGCCTTCACTCTTCTTCTGCAGCTCATCCCAAGCCTGTTCCAGTAGATCGGGATATGACTCACGCATGCCGGTCATGAATCGCTCACACGGATTAACCACGTTCTTCCGGAATCCAGACACCTGGTCCGGCTTGTTAGACAAAAAATCTAAGGCAGCGCCGAGATGGCCTCGGGGAATAAAGTTCTGCGTAATAGCGATTGACGGCTCCAGATTGACCACCAAATGCCACCACCCAGACGGAACGTGTAAGATCTCACCCTCGCCACAGATCCCTTCCACACATCCTGGAGTCCGGCGTGCCTCGGCATGGAAGCCCAGTAGCCATTCGGCAATACTTAGTGGAGAAGTCACCTCACTCTGATCATCCGACACAAACACACCCGGAGGCGGGGGCAGTTTGGTGCTGGATGGGAACATAATCCAATATTTAGGACCGCGTAGCACGGCGTTCCAGGCACTGGTGGCATTGGGGTCTTTATGGAACTTGCTGCCAGACCGCTCGGGCCCGATAATCAACCACTGATGATCAGGGCGGTCGTCACCGAGCACGGAGAAGAAGTCTTCAGCAAAGCACGCTGGGGGCCAGTATGATGCGTCTGGTATGGTTTCTGGAGATCCGACTGACAATCCCATCTTGGAGACGAAGGACCGGTCGAATAGGTACAGCGGGCTCTCGTCGGAGTTGTCTGCCATGTAGTCGCCGTAAGTGCGCATGGCCCAGTCCACAGCTTCAGCACGGAATTTGGTCTTTCCATATCTGGCGAGCAGTGATCCGACAGTCCAATTCTTGTATGCTGGCCAGGCCTTGACAGGCTCGGTCAAGATGAATGGTCGGTCGGTCCAATTTGCTTGGAATTCCTCTGGTGACAGGTCTGGGAGTCGTGCAATTTGGTTCCGCGCCGGGATCTTGGAGACATAAGGGTCGAGTGAGATATGGGCGCAGTTGAACGGCCGGTATAGAGAATCGGAGAATAGTTGGGAACAGTCCATCATGGGCACCTTAGAGGCAGGGATGTTGAGATATGTCGACCGCCATGTCCCTCGCCATGTGAAATCTTCTCTTTGGTCACTGCAACCAGACTTAGTATGAATACCATTTTTATTCATTAGGACATTGTTATATTATGAAGAAGTGCGGTGCTCAAAACCAAAACATGACTTGGATCTACATAAATTCAACTGGATCTGCAGGCTGGTGGCTTACCGAACAAACAGCGCTTTCCACAGTTCCTCAGCCCGGGTAAACGCATAGAAAGCCTTGCATGTCCGCCCGATTCTCAACAGGCTTGGTCCGTCGAAGCCCTCCAACAACAACAAAATTAGTTCGTCTGGCAGATGTTGAAAGGTCCCTATGGCGTTGCGAAGACTCCAGGTAGCCAGCAGAGCATTTCCACTTGGCTTCACGCCTAGTGGGTGAGAAGGAATAGCCTTCTTTACAATCTCTGCATCCTGTGGTGGATGACTCGGCAGCGATATGATGTGAGGCATGATCTGAGGCTGGCACTTTTAGGGCTTCAAAGGTTCTTCTTAGTGGTGATTGAGCCCAACTAGAGGGTAGTTCACCAAATGAATGGGAACAAGTGAAACTGAATTGACAGAGTCCAAGATAATGAACAGATGAACAATTTGCACAACACCAATTAAACCCAAAAATAAGATATAGTCAACAAGAGGATGTTTTCATGTTCATCTCTCACTCTAAACTCGCTTGGGCTTGGCCCCACCCAAAAAGGGAAAGCGGTGGAATAATGCCCCGTAAAAAAAAAAAGCGTAGCAAATGGCGCCGCAGTTGTGGCCATTCGATTTTTTCGCTTTTCTTCTCTTCCTCTTCCCACCCCATTTGTGAATTTCACATCCAACCACAATTTTCAACATTTCCTAGTATCCTATCAAAAGACTCTTTAATAAAGAGTCTGAGGTACTAGAAGTCAACTTTCCCACGCAGCGAATCTACACTTCGCTAAAACTACCCCACCACACCGATCACAGCCAACGCCTGTGATCCTTTCTACAGAACCGCAAATATGGCTGATAAGGGACTTGAGGATCTTGCCGAGGGTATGTCTCTAATTCCCGTTACTTTGTGATTAAGGACCCGTTACTTGGCTTTCGTTGGAAATCGCGATCGCGATCACCTTCAGTCTTGGGTGGCGCCAGACAGGTCAGGTGTTAGTGTGACAAGAAACTAATTCCAATTTTCATTACAGGGCAGATCGAGTCTAACTACGATGAGGTTACCGACTCCTTCGACGCTATGGACCTGAAGCCCGAGCTGCTTCGCGGTATGTACCCCTTGGTCTTATCAGGTGGGGTTGAAAAAAAAATACTGACGGGATTGCAGGTGTCTACGCTTACGGTTTCGAGCGTCCTTCCGCTATCCAGCAGCGTGCTATCATGCCCATCATCAAGGGTGAGTTTTGCTTTATTTCGAACCCACTTTTAAATTTGCGCCTAACCTGTGAGGTCAGGCAACGATGTTATCGCCCAGGCTCAGTCCGGTACCGGTAAGACCGCTACCTTCTCCATCTCCGCCTTGCAGAAGATCGACCCCGAGGTCAAGGCCTGCCAGGCCCTGATCCTTGCTCCCACCCGTGAGCTGGCTCAGCAGATCCAGAAGGTCGTTGTCGCCATTGGTGACTTCATGTCCCTTGACTGCCACGCCTGTATCGGTGGTACCAACGTCCGTGAGGATATGAACGCTCTCCGCGCCGGCCCCCAGGTCGTTGTCGGTACCCCCGGCCGTGTCCAGGACATGATCCAGCGCCGCGTTCTGTCCACCACCGCCATGAAGCTCTTCATCCTCGACGAGGCTGATGAGATGCTCTCGGTAAGTTGCTGTAATTGATATTATGTGTATCAAATGGTTCTAACTTCTTTTTTTCAGCGTGGTTTCACCGAGCAGATCTATGACATCTTCCAGCTGCTTCCCCAGTCTACCCAGGTCACCCTGCTCTCCGCTACCATGCCCCAGGACGTCCTTGAGGTCACCACCAAGTTCATGCGCGACCCCGTCCGTATCCTGGTCAAGAAGCAGGAACTCACCCTTGAGGGTATTAAGCAGTTCTACATTGCTGTTGAGAAGGAGGAGTGGAAGCTCGATACCCTCTCCGATCTCTACGAGACCGTCACTATTACCCAGGCTGTCATCTTCTGCAACACTCGCCGAAAGGTCGACTGGCTTACCGACAAGCTCACTGCCCGTGATTTCACCGTCTCCGCTATGCACGGTGATATGGAGCAGGGCCAGCGTGATGTTATCATGAAGGAGTTCCGCTCCGGTTCTTCCCGTGTCCTGATCGCCACTGATCTTCTGGCCCGTGGTATCGATGTCCAGCAAGTTTCCCTGGTCATCAACTACGATCTCCCCGCCAACCGTGAGAACTACATTCACCGTATCGGTCGTGGTGGTCGTTTCGGTCGTAAGGGTGTTGCCATTAACTTCGTCACCGCTGACGATGTTCGCATGCTCCGCGAAATCGAGCAGTTCTACTCCACCCAGGTTGAGGAGATGCCCATGAACGTGGCTGACCTCATCTAAACACCCTAACTCTTGACGTCTTGATGCGGTTTATGATCGCAGAATCTGCGTTAAAAGTGGCTTTCTGCGTTTCCGCCTGCAGTGTGTTGAGAAAGTGAATTGGGCTATGCTACTACATATTGAGTCGATAAATCGACGCCCAGGCCGTTTTCTCAGCCCTTGCTATGGTTTCCTTTGTCTTGCACTAACGGAGATGAGACATGTTTGCGTTCACCTCTTGCTGCTCCGTTTTATCCTTTTTTTTTATGCATTTCCCCTGTTTTACCCTCGTCTGTATCTAGCTCGCTCAGGTTGGTTAAGGATGCTGCCTTTTCTCGTACTTAATCAATAGACCGGGCCAAAATGTGACTTGTTCCTCAGGGCGTTGTCCTTGAACCATATTAAAACCTGTATTCTGATTATTGAGTAGATATACCTAGTGTAGCCGCCGTCGACTTCTCTCCACTTGTTCGATAACAGTCTGAATTCGGTTTGTATTATAGTTCTCAACTCTGGCGATTGTGGTAGGACCAAAGTGGGACACATGTGCAATTTGAGCCCTCTTGACAGCCTTGGAGCCTCGATGGTCTCGGCTCCTGGACATTTGTCCTTGGTAGCCTAAGACTTTGTCACGAGTTGGAGAATGAGGCTGTACTTTCTGGCGTCCTGAATCTTTCACCACCCCGTATACTCTCGTACAGCGGAATCTTCCCCGATTGGTCGTAGTCAAGAGCCACAAGTTCAGAACTCGCAAGGAAGGTCGGAGGTTGTCATCCAGGCCTTCTCTGGAAATACGCTGTCAGCGCTTGGAATGTGTGAGCTTCTAACGGCACCTCTACCTTGTTAATTCCAAGGCTTTCCGGAATTTCCAGTCCCTTGGCTCATTCTATGTCTATCTTCTTATTTGTCTTTTATGGACACTGAATTGCTCGGAACATGTTCCGATGCTCGGACCGGCGAGCCGATGGAGGGAGGTTGCTTGATATGAAAACGGTTGATATCTCAACTCTCAGATAATGACAAGCTGTAATTTAAAGAATATACTGTGATCATATTCGAACTCTTTTGTTGGATAATAACCCATTTACGTTGAAGTTGAGAGGTATATAATTCGTTGATCAAACATAATATATATCATGAGCCATACATACAGTAATGGAGGTTGATATCAGGTTGGATAGTACCCTGAATTATTATTAAAACCTATACTATCAAACGTATCGATACGTACTATGTATCTTCCTCTTCATTTTCCTTTCCAGCGTCTTAGTCTAATGGGTAAAGATACAAGCGGTCGGCGCAGATAGTTCTGGAGTTCTCCGCATTTTTCGGAGGACACCCGAACCTCCGATTGACGCTCCCCCACGACTTCTTTCTTTAATTCCTCTTCTTTGTCAATCACATAGCCTCGATTTCGCCCAAAATGGCTTCTATCCGCGCGAACTGCCGCAAGGTTATGTGCATCGGCCGCAACTATGCGTGAGTCTCCCTGTCTCCTTGCGCCCCGTTTCCCTCGGGAGCTCCGACAGCGATGTCGCTTTCTCTCACAATTGCTAACAGCGTGAGTTGATACAGCGATCACATTACTGAGCTCAATAACACAGCTCCTAAGCAGCCATTCTTTTTCCTCAAGCCTGTATCCTCAATCCTCTCCCCCGGCTCGGGTCCCGTCCTCCGTCCCAAGGGCGTCAGCTTGCACTATGAGGTTGAATTGGGTCTGGTGATTGGCAAGACTGTGCGCGATCTCGATCCCAACGATGAGAAGGCTGCATTGGACTCGATTCAGAGTGAGTACAGCATGAAATCCAGATCTGAAGGACATACCGCATTTTATACCACAGCGGTGGACCAAGGACATGAGCTCGAAGTAGCAAGTCGCTAATACAATCCCATTGAGGTGAACAGGCTACGTGCTCGCCATTGATATGACAGCTCGCAATGTGCAAGACGAGGCCAAGAAGAAGGGTCTTCCCTGGTCCATCGCTAAGGGCTTCGACACCTTCCTCCCTATCTCGCAGGAGATTGCCAAGTCGCGCATCCCTAACCCTCACGACGCGTTCCTGCGCCTGAGTGTTGGCAATGCCGAGCGCCAGGCCGACTCGACTAGCCTGATGCTGTACCGTATTCCCCAGCAGCTGGCGCAGATCTCTCGCGTGATGACCCTGGAGAAGGGTGATATTGTTCTTACCGGTACGCCCAAGGGTGTTGGACAGGTTAAAGCGGGCGATGTTATGAGGGCAACGATTGAGGTTGATGGGAAGGAGATTGAGGAGGGACGAATTGAGGTTGAGGTGCAGGACCGGGAGGGGCGGTATGAGTTCAAGGAGACTTAAATTTGTCTTTTGAGGATTGTACATTTTGACTTATAGAGACTAGAAGTATATATGGTGAAATGATCATTTACGGATTCAAAGACAAAACTGTCGAACCGGGAGTGTGCCTATCATCTACCGGGGATACATTCAAATGACAAATTAAAAAAAACCAAATAAACAATGTAAACAATGTAATCAAATTCAGGGACCGGAGCATTCATAATATGAAGCTCCCATCAGAGTCAAGAGTACGAAGGCGAGTGAATCTGTAAATGGCGGGTTCCATCTGCCAAGACATTGCAATGTTTGGCTTTGAGTTGGATACCGAATGTCTCTCTCGACTCCAACATCACTAGATCCATCAACATGCAAGTTGCAGAGATTCTCTCAGATATCAATTCCCTGAGAGTTTGCGTAAGTATCGCGCTTCCTTTCTCCTGTCCCACTACACCGATAACACGGCCAAGCCGCGTCTTAGATACCGGATTCCACCGGGCAATATGACAATGCTGACAACATGTCACAGGGTCACAACGAGGCCCTGGCACTGGTGAATGTACACAAAAATGCCACAGGCTCAGATTCAACCGAGTCCTGTAGCGCATTGGCAGATAAGAGCAAGGCAGATGACAAGGCCGATCTTCGTCGTGCAAAGGAGCTAGTTGAGCTACACTACGAGGTCAAGGCGCGACATGCCAATGGAACTGTCGATGAGGAGCTGAATCAAGTTCGACAAGATGTCCGGCGAGTTTTGAGAGAGCTGTCGACTGTCTAATCACAGTCACGAGACTTCTGCTTGAATATGCCCAGGTGGGCATGGGCGTCGAGGATCGCGGTTGCTGTTTTCCCTCTCCTTCCATCCTTCACGATTTATACGACCGAGTGAATGGATTTCGATTAACTAGTTTAGTCCAAATATTATATTGGATGGCTGTTGCCTTGGTCTTTACCTATGACCTTCTTCCAAATGCATGCGCGCACGCCCCCAGCCTTGACAGGGGTACTGCGGAGCCCATGAGTTAATGTATTTATTGCATCTACAAACGGTCACATCTCTTTCTGGATGTACTGTACGATATGATCATGAGCAACTACACGTCCTTCTGTTGTCTCGCACAAATCTCCAATCGCCTTAGCCCGCGTCTGAATCTCCTTATCCTTCAGCACTCGCAATAGGGCCGAAGATAGTTCTGATCCATTTATCTTCGGTGCCACTTTGCGGCTTCCGTGTAAGCCAATACCTAGCCACTCTACTCGGGCCGGACAATCGTATGTGTCGAACCACTGGGGCAGAATGACCTGCGGAATACCAGCCCTGGGAAGAGATTTCAGCACTTCTTTTCTCGTCAATGTATAAATCCAAGGAAACTTACTTGCATGCTTCGAAAAATGAGTTGGCTCCTCCATGGTGGACATATGCAACTATATTACCGCCTTCCAAAAGAGATATAATCTCTGGCTGGATCCATTTAACAACCCTCACTTTATCAGAGTTGACAAGAGGTCCGAGAATAGTCTTGACCGTCGGGGAACTTTCCCAGTCATATTTGAGCTTCCACAAGACCTGCATGTTAGGAAATTCGAGCAAAACAGTCTGTATTGCCATCGTCATCTCCATTGTATCATTCTCTGGAGCCTGAACATGCGATCCAAGACATATCAAAATTGTTGGCTCCTTTAACCATGAATCTAGTGCTTCATCGCTTTTTAGAAGTGACGGAGATAACCGGAGGATCGGGCCGCAGCTGATGACATTATCCGGGACGTATAACGGGTAATCCATCTCTCGGAATGAAGGTGAAAGGTGCAGATGGTCTTCACAGTAAGGCGCCACGTGGGGAAATACAGTCCGAATTCCTGCTTTCTTTCGAATGTCCAGAAGATTGCGCAAAGATTTCCCCCATCGAACAATAAATTCAAAGCAAAATACCATGTATATATTTGCAAGGATGAGATTCCATGGTAGGGGATATGGATATCCAGATCCGGTGCTAAAGATTCGAGTCAGCGAGATCCTCAAACTCTGCCTATAAGATAGAATTGCCCACAGAGGGTATTTCCAAAGAATTCCAGCTTTCGGTTGGATAGTTACCACAATATCTTTCAAAGGCACAGGCCAAAGTATCACTATTCGTGTGTCAATACTGCGAGCAGCATCTAGTCCTAGATGCAACAGTGGATCTGCAACCACGACGACCGGACGAACATCTTTCAAAATTTCGAGACAGCTTCGGAATGACCCTATATACTCGGCAGGCTTCCATCCCAGTACGGAGACGTTGATTATGTTACATGCATCATGGGTTCCGGCAAGCCCTGGCAGGTGACATATATCCGGTGTTGTACGGGTCACGATCTCAGTCATGCACGGTCCTGAAATTGGATGAAAGTGTATGACTTGGTCGTAGCCCGCTTGATCATTTATCGCTTGCACACGAGCCGATAAGTCTTTGAACGAGGCGATGTGGACTTCGAACTCGCCACGGCGCAGAAACTCTTCGGCTACTGCAACTGCGACGTTGGACTGTCCATGCTCGGGACTTGTGAGGAAAAGAATGTTGTGTTTTGTAGGTGACATTGTGTTCTTTATTTCGACCGATTTTTCCATGGTGTGCAAACCAAATAGCTGGTTCCTGAGTATAGGTTTTATTTAAGCGTCTAAACACACATCTAGCCCTTATAAGATTGCATTGTCGCATTCTTTGAATACTAGCCGATGTGTGGTTACTCAGGGATGATTGAATCGGAAAAACCACAGTATTAATGGCTTAACGATTTCATATTAATTTGATAGGGAAGGTAGTAGCCAATTGTCATATTTGTGGCCAATCTCATAAAAGTCCCGGGTCCAATAATCTGGCTTGTGTACCATTGAAGATCCTTTAATCAATGAGAATACTTACTCTCATAGTACTGGGAACATGGACCTCAGATAGATGAGAAGAAATGAACAAACTAATGACTTATATCTAATCATCGACCCAAGTATCCAAGATTTCGTAAACAGCCAACAGTGACGGCCAAGCCGACCAAGTTTAGTGACAACAAGAACCAAAATGCAGTCCGATAGCCGCTCATCCATACCTCCGGGGATTTGAGCAAGGACGTACTCTGGTCGGGGGGATGGAGTAGTTGTGTGCTGACATCGTTTGAAATAAGTGCAGTCAGTGTCATGCCTAGGGAGGCTCCAATCATTGCCACAGTGCATAGCACTCCCATTGCAAGCCCCTGAGTCTCAGATGGAAAAGATCCAGCGACCATCATTGCGGCAATTGGGATAACGGAATTTGATCCCACTGAATTTAATAGAACAACGGGCATTGCGCATTTCCAGCGAGACCAAACTGGGCTCAAAGTAGCCATCAAGAACGGAGAGAAACTAGAGAGCACTATTGCAATGATGAGGATCTTGTTGACTCGAACACGAGATAAGTAAAGTCCAGTGAGTAGACTGCTCAGGGAACCAGCGATTGGGATTGCCAGATACTGCCAAGATGATTGTAGAATCGAAAGCCCTTGTGCCCGTTGGAATACGAAGATGATAAGCTGCGAAGTAGAGTGAGAACATGCGTAGACAAAGAAGATAACCAGACCGATGGAAAGAAAATGACGGTTTGTCCAAAGAGAGTTCTGAATGTTCTGTGTGTTGTCCCTTTCCCAGCAATCATGCCAGAACAGGAAAGCGACAAGGAGGATCCAACCGAGAGCGAGGGGAACGAAGAGGCTCGATCTGCCAATGCTTGCCACATTGTTTGTGATAACACTAGTTGTCATTTGATCAGCGTTCTGAAAATATAGAACATAATTGGAATGGGGATACGTACGCCAAAGCAGAGAAAAGGAGTCCCATCAATGAACTAGCAAGCAGAGTTCCAGACCAATCGATATCTTCAGCCAGTTCTGTCCATGGGATATATTTTGGGTCTTGGGGTTGTTGGGGAATCCTCCGAATTGATAGGAGAACCCCAAATATGCTCAAAATGGTGGCGCAATGAAAGCCCCATCGCCAGCCGATAGTCTCGGAGAGTACTCCACTCAGGATGATGCCTACCCCAGAACCAATATATTGACTTGCACTCGTACAGGAAAATGCGAAACTGCGTAACTTCCCAACTGGAAGATTCTCCGTGTGAATACTCGTTGCAGAAACAAAACACATTGGGTAAGCCACACCAGATACAAATCTCACTGCAATAAGGTGTACGCCACTCCGGGCAAATCCGCTAGCCAGATGACAAAGAGTCTGTAGAAAGTACCCAGATAGAAATGTCCTTCTGCTGCCTAGGACATCTGCCAAAGATCCTGCCAGCAGGAATGTGCAACCTTGAGCAAGATAGTACATTGACATTGGCCTGTCAAGTTGTGAGCTTGGCATTCTGTGAGCTGGCTTGGGCACTGGATATGTCGCTCACCATAATTCAACCCCAGGGTCTAATCCGAACTCGGATGAAAATTTTGTGATATTGAGAGTGACTAGGCCATTCACTGCACTGGCAATAAACAATATCGAGGTAGTGCAAATTACGATAACCAGTCCATGGTGAGAGCCGGTGGTTTCCGAGTGAGTGAAGGGGGTCCCGAGAAGCGGCTGATCCTCGGGGATCTGAAGATCATCTAAACATTCATATTCCGACAGAGTAAGTCTATCTTTGTGCATCATTGAATGTTTGAGATGTCTAACATTTTGAAAAGGAATATTTTCAATCCAGGAAGAAATAAAAAAGCAAATAAAGCCGACGAGCTGAATGTATTGTAATCTTAGCTACCAATCACATCTTGGTCCACTATGCCCCTTGGCAGCTTGGTATTCATGTGATTTTTAGTATTCTTGGTGTTTTTCAGTGTTTTGCCTTGACTCTTTCATAAATCTGACTTCTTTGTTTTATATTTCCTATAACTCGTGATCGGTTGCATGTATATTACAACTCAAGGTGTTAAATATAAAATGGAAGATTAAAAAAAAAAAGGCTGGCGTAGGGTGGCTGCATTGTTCCCTTTTGAGACAACTTCAATCTTCATGAAATTCATAACAGTTACCTCCTACCTCCTCGTGGAAAAGCTAGGAAACCATCATTCTCCCGATTGGAGATACATTTTGATGGTGATACTTTGTATCGACTTCCAACTTATGCTTCCGGTAGATGATTTACACGTTTCTCTTGAATTCTTCATTGTTGTGACAGGCCCTTGGTCTTTTAGGTCGTCGACATACCCCGCAAACTGGGTCCAAAACATTTAATTTCGGTGCAAGAGGTGGCCAAACACTGCAAGATAAATGACTGCTGGATAGCGGTTGGAAATAAAGCGTGGGATTTCACGCAAAGCGCACTGGAAACAACTGAGATTTATTGGAATCACTAATGTTTCACAGGCGCATCCGGGGTTGCTGAACACAAAGGACATCGATCATCTGATGACCACCACAAATGCCAATGCTCGGCGAGAACCCAAACTATAAACATGATTTGTTATTTCAAGGGGTCATTATAGCAGGTAACATCCTAGTCCTCAAATCAAGATCATCCGGAGTCAAAAACAAAAATGACATGAAAAACGCCATATAAAAACGCCATATATCAAGCAGGTAGTCAGCAAAACAATCATGCGCATTTCAAATGAAAATCATGATTGAGTATTCGTCAAGTCTGGTGCATTACTCGCCTCCCATGGATGTTTCTGCTCCACTGAACGAATTAGGGATTCATGAGCTGCACTGCGAGGTTCGATGTGGAACTTCCATGGTACCGGATGACTGGCAACCCCAGGCTGGAATTTTGGTTGGACCTCAACTTCTTTCCCATTTTCAATAGCTTTCCCGATATTAAAGACCGCAAGCGATTGCGCTGCACTCAAATACAGTGTTTCATCTGCCAAGTTGCGCGCGGGACAGATGCGACGCCCAAATCCAAAGATAAGATCGTGAGGGTCAAATTCGGGATCACGTTCATCAGTCCCCAAAAAGCGCTCTGGTCTGAATACCATTGGATCACGATAAACAGTAGAATCGTGCGTCATAGCCCTTTGGTAGGTGTTAGTAGACTATCATAAATCTGTGAGTCAGTGCATTAGCTGACTACAGACTTACCAGATGTTAGGCATCAGCAATGACCCCTTGGGGATGAAATATTCTCCCCAGGTATCATCTTCACTTGACGCGTGGGGAAGTCCCATAGGTGCCACCGGATGCCATCGTAAAACCTCCTTGACCACAGCATCGATGTACGGCAAACGAGAGCGATCGCTTGCTTTCGGAAGTTGGCAAGGCCCCAAAACCCGATCGATCTCATCTTGAGCTTTGGCTTGCACCTCTGGATATAACGTCATTGCAAGGAAAAAGCATTCGATAGCACACACAGTCTAGAGAATCTCAGTCAAAGACCAGGAAGAAAGGGCCAAGAATCTCACAGTATCAGCACCAGCTGCATAAAGTGACGCAGCTGTCCACTTTGCAACAAATTCATCTTCCGACCCACGTTGAGGGCACCCTGTTGTTTTGAATAAATTAGAGAGATACGACGGCTGATGCCGATCTTCTTCCATTTGCCGCTGGACAAATGCATAGGGCGTTTCCGCAACAGTCATGAGATTCTTCTTCCATGCCTGAGCTGTGCGCTTGAAACCTGCACCGGGAAGCCAGGAGGGAATGTATTTCACTGTTTTCAGTTAATACCTCCTCAGCAACTAGTGCAACGCGAGTATAGAGACATACGAGCTGGAATGATATCAACCAGCCAGGCACCTGGTATAGCGGCTTGGGAAAAATGGTCAAGGGCCAGGTTTGAAATATGCACCAACGGATCCCGCTTGTGCGGCTCAATCGTATACCCATATGTAATTTTAAGAATGATTGCACCAGCTTCTCTGTAAAAATATAAGATAGAAGATCTTAGAGTTGAAAGGGGTCATTGCGATATCGACTCACGTCCGAATATGCTCCAAGAGCTTCATCTGATCCTCGAGGACGCGAAACAGAAAGCGGTGGGTTTCTATCTCTTGCAAAGGATTTAACTGGGCCACGGCCGACTCAGATCCAATGAATGGTTGCACTGCCTTGCGATAGGAGCGAAATCGAGGAGAGTATTTGATCAGTCCCAAAAAATGTTCCCATCCCACCCTAAATGTTGGTTATCAGTTTGTCAACCCCGTGTCCAGATTCTAAAAGGAGATGCTAACATTTCGCATGCAAAAACTTGATTTGGCCGCGAGGAGTATATGGAAGAACGCTTCACTAGTAGTTCTATAGCCGATTTTGCATCATTCAATATTACGATGGTTTGTCCCATCACCGTGATAGAGCTGACAGGTCCTGGAGATTCATTACATTAGCCTGCATTTTGACAACCAAGCACCGCCGTAAAAGCAAACCGTAAGCCTCTTTATGTTTAAGCCAATGCATGCAATCTTGTGTTCCCGAGGGCGGTAGATCATATATGTTGCCAAGTACCGGTATTGGCCTCGGGCCTGGTGGCAGTGGGGCAACAGGCCTCTGGCGGGTGAACAGGATCTTGGTGACATAGAGGACGAGGGCTCCTAGCAACAAACTCAAGAGGACGGCAAATGACATCGATGTGAATATACTAAGAAACAAAGATGGCGAGGGAAATGAAAAGGGGTATAAAACAAGTAATCTATATGGCACCTCCCAACCGTTTCTATTTGATGTCACCCATTGCCATTATTGGCGACTTGCGCTTACAAGGCCTAGGTTGTATAAAAAGTCTCCACTGAAGCTTCAAGATTCTCTCCTATTGGCTTCAGTTTAGGAGAGTCATGTTACCCCTTACTTCCCCGTGGCGCTACTTAACGCGCTAGTTAACTAGACTCTTGGAATCGGCTACTCATACCTAACAACCGGCAACCGAAGGCAATCCAAAATCAGCATTCACCACACCACTTTGGAAGTGAGCTGTTAGCATGGTATGGGCTATTTTGTGGCTTGGGGTTGCCTGGACATAGTAACTTCCTCCGATGATTCAATCCACAAATGATGATCTGCGCATGATTCCTTTCAGTGTTGCAAAATATATTGGCTTTCAGCCGCTCATAGGAATTGCCGTGGGCAGCGGAGTTGGCATTGCAGTTATGTTTGAAGTTGAGCGATAAGACACAAGCATCCGCTCTCAGACCAAAGCACCAATCGCCGAATAGATATTGGAAGTCTGGAGGTGCCATTTTCTACTGTTAAGATTGGCAAAGTAGAGGAGAAGGAACAAATCATGGACTGGGTGATGCTTCCCCAAGAGAGGGAAAGAGAGAAACAATACATCCGATTCCCCCAAGGCACCACCTGGCCTATGCAAACAACGGCATAAACTGATTGTTTACATCTACAACTGATATGCGACAAAACATTCAATTCTAGCCCGAAAATAAAATTATTTTGGGTTTGGCTAATGGCCCTCGTCGAGCACTAACTCGAGTCTATATTGATGACATGTATGTACTGACTTTTTATACTCACTCACAGGTCATGGTGAGAATGGATAACTCGGCATTATAGTGTCGTTTCTTCGAGTTGAGAGTAGTGGATTTCACTTCACAAAGCCCGCGCACCCATCAAATCGACGTATTAAGGCGACCAACACCCGCAAGATCCAACTCATGCACGGTTCCCCAGTTTTTCTTCAGCTTCTCGATGGCCTTTTGTTGTCCATATCGAAGCAAGAATCGATATACCGCCACATATGCACTATTCAGTGACCCAACGACCCACCCATGGTGGACACTAGCGGCCTCCCCTACAATATGGAACTTGCCGTTGGCTGCTGGGAGAGACAAGGAAGGGTAGAGATGGGTGAACTGCCCTGGAGCGAAAAGCGCGAAGGCACCCGACGAAAAGCGCGAATTACCCCAGCAGAAGGCATGGTGGTCCTGGTATAGGTCTTTCAGCTTCTCATGCGTGATTCCATGCCGCCGATGTTGTTGAGCGAGATCGCGGAGGACAAGATCCAGCAGATCATCCCCCTCATCCTCACTTCCATCAGAGCTGGCGGGGGATGGACTGATCAGGGCCCCCATGCGAGTGGCATCTTGGCCCCATGTGTATGAGGCCAATAGCACGGCTGGCTTGTCCCAGTCCTCTTCGGCGATATGCGATGGATAGACGCAGGTCCGTGACGGCAGGGTCGATGAGGCACTACCGCCCCCTCGAAGCCCACAATCTACGATCCACCATGGATACGAAAACTTGATACCCACTTTAGTGGAGTCCTCATACCGCAAACACCTGATTGCCTCTACCTGGGTAGGATCAAGGTGGAGTGATTCAGTATCGATGCGCTGCAGGCATGCCAATGGGGTAGTGCTGAAGACCGTCGCATACCCATCACGAGCTTCTACCTCGCCGGCACACGATACAGACAGATCAGCCCTACGGTCTATGGCAATGCGACGAACTTGTTTTCCCAGCTCGATGGTGCTGTTTCCATTGATTTGATGGCACATTCGCTCAATCACCACAGAGCAACCACCATCCACGGAATACCAATTCACGCCTGCCCCGCCGTCCTCAGACTCTGTCGCATGATGATCCAGGTCAAAGGAGTCCATCACACTTTCTGAAAAAGCTTGATCAAACATGCCTGTACCAGTCGTGTCGCTCTCGGCAGACTGGATTGTCGTGAAATCCGCCTTTTGCCTAAATCGGAGGTATTCGCGGGCGCTCATTGAATCGGCCTTCATCAAGAGCTGGAAGCCCTGCACAAAATCGTTTTGCATGACATTTTTATACGGGCCGAAGGATCGACTGAGAATATTGGCGGATGGGCTATCTCCAGTCTTTGACATCTCTTGGCCCTTCATGTTCGTGCTTCTCTCTCGCATATCGAATCTCTTCAATGGTACTTGCATTCGGCGAAAAAGGTCAAACACCCGAGACATGATGGGAATATCTGGAAACCGCATGGCGCCCACATCATAGTAGTCGTTGTGCGCCTCAGAGAACCGATGGGTATAAATGCGGCCGCCAATGCGATCTCGATTGGCCTCGAGGATATCCCAGGAAAGATTTGGGAGCTCAAGATCTTGCAAAATCAGCGCGAGATACAGACCTGCAATTCCGGCCCCGATAATGCATACTTTAGTGTTTTTTTCAAATGGATGGTCTGAGCTCTCTTCCTCACGGCAGCCCGCGAGAATGGAAGGAAGAATCTTCTCGGTCCTAGTCACTATAGGATTACTAGGACCGCAGGTTGAACAGCCTGGACAACAGGGACATTCAAACGAATGGACACCTGGGGGCTTAAGAGGATCCTGACATAGAGAAACCTGTATGGAAGATCTCGAGAACAAATCACGATATGGAATCTGGAGCTGCATGACGAGGTTCAAGGAGTGACACAGACCAGTGCAAGTTGGCTACAAAGTAGCAAGGTCGGCGGGAGGTATGAAAAATACTTTTGCTGCCCAGAGTATGTGAACGAAAGGTCATCTTGGTGACTTTGGGGCAGTTCTCCATTTGCATCAATCAAATGAACTCGCACCTGGTGTAGTTTATCCAATGGCTACTACTGATAGCTCTCAAACTTCGAAGCAATCAATACCGCTGATGTGATCAATAAGCATGCACCTGAGCAACTAGGTGCTGTGTGGGAGGGGTAGACACACAGAGGGAAAGGTTAGAATGTGTATGGTTTCATCTGGCGTGATAATTCAGAACCAGCCAGCCATACCGATTGAGTGCATAGTACCACATCTTCGAGGCTGGCTGAACTACGGATCGAGAATATGCAGGCTTGATGCCGGGATGTGAAGAGTCGTAACTGGCGGGAACGTGCATGCAACTAAATGATGACATGCTCCAGCCATGTAATGACCTCTGCATATTATTGCAATGCACGTTTCGTGGAAATTCGGGATGAATTGATAGATCGGTTCTTTTTTCAACGGTCAAATAGTTAGGGCCCTTTTCATTTATAACCAAGGGCGATCGGTACAAGAAGTCCATATATACAGTACTGTGAACCAAGGTTCAATGTTATTTCTATTTGTTTAATCCTAAGAATATAGAATTGAAGCGGGACTTCTTGGATATATTCTTGCTCAATTGTTTTGAAAGTCTCCACCAAACCAAAGTACGTTGGAGGGGGAGGCGCTGACCCCCGTGGGCTTAGATACATCAAGACATTGTTCAGAATGTATTCAGCCCAGGTGAGAAAATCCACTTTCGCGCATAAGTAGTGATGAAAGCTATATATGGAGTTTTTTCAAGCGCATCCACTCCATTTGCCTATTAAGTTGGCAATCAAAAATTAGGTTAGAATATCGTTATATGACATTCTCGTGATACTCAAGCCTATCTATCCTAGCTACCTTCCTCTACCTCCTGTCTGACCTATCACTGATATTACCTGGCGTCATTGGATGAATGTTTTCGTGGCAACATCAATAGAGATGCCGATCCTGAAGTCCCCTCTTTGATATCGAAATTTCGTAAGACCTATTTTGAACAAGAATCTTAGCCGCAGAGCTCTAAAATCAGAATTATCAACTTAAATAGAGCACTTACCGTAACCAAGGTTTTATATAGAACTAGGACTCCTATGTGCCGCCCAGGACACTTGCGATAGCCAAATCCCCAGTGCGCATCATATGCATTCCACACTCGCAACTGCTCCTCCGACGCCTCAAGCCACCGTTCGGGAACAAACTTCTCGGCATTATTACCGTAGAGCTGAGGATGAGTGGAGATTGTGAAAGGACTTGTAGCGACCGCAGTGCCCGGAGGGACGTCCCGGTCTAGGAGACGCAGGGGCCTGTCTGGCGAGCATCGCCATCTAGGAGACGCAGGGGCCTGTCTGGCGAGCATCGCCATCTAGGAGAGGCTGTCGCCGTAATCCGCATGGCCTCCCGGACGCAGGCATCAATAAAGGGGAGAGCGCAGCATTCTGTGTAGGTGGGTGAGGGGGTGGAGAGGGTCTGCTGGGCAAAAGCGTCATCGATCTCTTGATGGGCACGCCGAACAGCCTCGGGATGTTTGGCCATCGTGGTCACTAAATGGCTGATCGTGGTGGCAAGTGCATAGGGACCACCGAGTCTGTGCGAATAGATTTAGAATGTACAAACATGAACTTGGTGTTGGGGAACTTACACATCAGAAACTAGCTGGTCTTCGATATCCGATAGGGGAATGCCTTCTCCTGTCGCAGATTTGGTCGCCAGCCATTGATCTAACATGGAGTGTTCCCATCGTGGCTTTTCCTTGGTTGTGGAAGTTTTAATTCGCTTCTGAGTTATATCATGCACTTCCTAAACCAAGGTCAGAGCTGCTAGTCATGGAAAATGCAAAGTGCTTACAGTAGTCCACATGCCCATGCCCGTTGGGTCATCGCGGCCACTGACAAACAATCGGCGACCCAAAGAAGTATTCGCAGCTAGCCACGCGATGGGTCGATATCGACTGAGCGTCCATTGCCGGAAGATACGATAACTGCTTTGCAACATATTACGCACATCGGACTTGTGGTCTAAGAAGCCGAAGCTCTCCCCCACGCTCATTGGCACATAGACATCAAATGAAAAATACCTTTGCCCGGTCAGTTCCAAATTCAAAATTTCCTCATATGGGACACTTACTTGACCCAGGTACCCCAGTCGACGGAGGGGTTTTTGTGAGTTTCCTCGTTGAGAATGGAAACCCATTTGATAAGATTTTCATCTACCAGACCCTCAAACAACTGTACCCGCGATACCGAAAACTATTTTGATAAGTTACTAACTTTCCCTAGGGAACAATTGATGTGTGGCTTACTGCTTGTCCAAACTGCCGTTTGGCCGCGGCATACTCAAGATAGCTAGCCTTATTGGTGGCAGCACCTGGACAGGTAAAGTCTTGGGGATAGTCTGTCTTGTCACTTTGGCGATGATACACCACCGGGATCAGGTTTAGATCATTGAACGTCAGGTGGTTGGGACCGCAGCGAACGAGCGGGCCTGTTCATCAATTAGACCTACAAAAAGCAAGATCGGGTGTGGCTCTATTACGGACCATATTGACGATGTAAATCTTGATACCAGGTCTTCTCTCGTCCAGTCCACACAGCGTAAAAATGCTGGAAGCTGGAGGCAGCGACCAGCTTCGGCCCTGGAAATCCCGACAATGGATGGAAGTATACTCGTCGCAAGAAGAAACACACAACCCCAACCAAGCAAATTAACAGAATCCTGCTGCAAATTTCCAGCCAGTCCATGTCGTAGATGGAGTGGAGCCAAGGATCAATTGTTGAGGTGATTTTTCAGACGGAGACTCTGTACGGAGTACAGGATGAAGCAGTTCTGGCTGAGACCTCATGGTTAAACTACTTGCGTTCATTAGGATGGTCCGGATCGTCTGGATCGCTTGGGAATTGGAAACATGTCTGTGATATGACCTGTAACCCTGCAACCTGAGCTGAATTCCCTGAATTCCCCTGCGTGCACATGGAACCCCCTCACAAATAGTGGGGAGGAGCTGGCCAAGGGAACGCGGCCCGGAGCCCGTCGGTCGGAACAACCCTGCAGGACACCCAGCTCCTTCAGCTCAACGCCACTTTATGTGACCAAAGTACATGCAATGTACTGCTACTCCGTACAGAGTACTCCGTACTTTGATTTAGATTGGTGGACACTACCGAGTACTTTGTATGAAGTAGAACCCGACCGAGATCGGGATTGACATATGAAATTTGAAAGCACACATGCGATATATAACACTGCATATTCCGTACACTGAAAGCCGAATATTTATTTTCAAGGGGCAAAGAATGGCGTGTGCATGCAGCTGAAAGACTAAGCATACGTGCCCTCGATGCGCATGTGCTGGAACTCATTGGCTGTCAAGACCTTTTGCACTGGCTTGCTGTTGTCCACTAGCGAGTCTAGCAGTGGACGGAGAAGTGCTGCACGATCAGGCTTTGCAAAATACGCAATGGAAAACCGCGCTGGAACCATATTACCCTGGTTCTCACTCTTTGCCAGATGCACCCGATGTCGGGCACTATGTAGCCCTGTCCACATCTGAAGACAATCACCTACATTGACGATACACTCGTGGGGGCCACCACTGTCGGCTGGAACGAAGACCCCGCTACCAGGCGGCTGTTCCATCTCTAGGACTCTGTTAGCTCAATGCTAGTGTAGATAAATAACCCCCGAAAGTGGAAGGTAGTATCGCTTACCTAGGCCTCCAACATTGTCTTGGAATAATAGAGTGATAGTGCCAAAGTCCGTGTGCGCGGCAATGCGAGTGGCATTGGCGAAATCAGCCCGATCCACTTCAGGATAGTGGGTAAGGCGCAGCTCGTTGGTCTGTGCCGTGTGGAGTTCACGTAGAGAGTGAACGGGTAACCCCAAGCCAATTGAAATAGCATCCAGAATCATCAACTCGGCCTCGTAACAGACGGCAAAAAATGAGCTGATTGTCTCCTGAAATCCATCTTGAACTCCTGTTGGGGGCCAAATATTGGAGTATAGCGGATCTTGTTCCGATCCAATGTCATAGGACTCCTGATGAACTAGTTAGATATGTAAATATATGTAATGAAATAACTCAGACAAAAGTAACTTGTACCTTCATATCCCTCAATAAAGGTTGCATGGCTGAGGAGCGATAATTAGACACGGTAGATATATTTTCCAGTCCAACGGGACTGAACCCCCGGTGAGGATGAGCCGTGGGAGGATGAGGCGACTTTAGCTTCTGCTCCAATGGGAGATCGAAGAATTTGTGACTCTGGGGAGATGGTGATGAGTGAGAAGATCTTCGGACAGACATCGAGGGAATGTTCACACCATTTCAAATGCCCGGTCGATGCTCGCTGGAGGGACGCCATGATTGACAAGCCGTACCCAGCCCGACTGGCTCAATCCAGAAATCAATTCACGACAGAACTGATCTCGCTCGTCAGTGCTCCCGCAGTGAAATCTCGAAAAGTCAAGTTGTTCGAACATGTCTGATAGAGATATTGTGAGGAATGTGGTGTTGGCCAAAGGTGTAAATAAAGGCTAGTTTTCTTCTAGTACATGTAAAAAACGGTAGAATTTCAGATTGATAGTGCCCTGAATAAAACACGGAAGTAATGATATGTGGACACCTGATCCTTTCCAAATTGAGGATGTCGCATCTGTACTGAAGCGGGCCCTTGGAGCCCTGAGACCATATTAATCTAGTGACAAGTCTGCACCACATGAAACACCAGCGGTGTAATCTGTCATTACTGACCGCATGACTCTAACCCGATCTTGCATATGCATTAATGAGCACGCGCTATTGAGTGGAGATCTACAAAGTGGAGATGAATGCCGACATGCTCAATGTCCCCATCGCTGATGGACAGAGCCCGAGGTTTCTCAAAATTCAGGTTAAGAGCCGAGGAGAACCTCTCCCTACAGTTCTATAACCAGAAGCATCTTGGGAACCCATAGGAATGCTTGTGACAAAGATGAACGAACGTACTCAGCTACCAATGCCAGATGTACCTGATGCTAAATCACCTTCGTCGCAAGAACTTGAAGAGATCTGGGCTAGCAATACTGTTGTCCCAGAGTCTATCACAGGATGCGTCCATGATTTGATTACTGAGGTAGCGCAAAGACAACCCGATGCCCTCGCTGTTTGCGCGTGGGATGGAGATTTTACCTATGCTCAAATATCCAGCTTGAGTGATCATGTTGCTCATTATCTATGTGAAATGGGCAATCCATCCACATCGCCAGTTACCCTTCTTTTCCCCAAGTCTCGATGGACATCTGTTGCCATGCTGGGAATTATCAAAGCCGGATGCGCGGCCATTGCCCTTGATTCCACTCATCCAGATGCAAGACTTCGATCTATCATTAGACATGCGAAGCCAAAAGCAATGATCTGCTGCCCAGATACTCGAAACAGAGTATCCCTCTTGTGCGATTCACCCGTCCTTCAACTAGACGACAGTCTGCTGGAAATTGTGGGTACCATAAAACAACAGACGCTTGACTTGCCTGTGGTATCACCAAATGACATAGTCTACATATCTTTTACATCGTAAGAAATCCACGGCCTAATTCTCTTGGGGAATAATAGTGCTAACTTTTAGTGCTTCAAATTAGGGGAACTACTGGCGAGCCTAAGGGAGCATGTATTAGCCATGCCAACGTGAGAAGTGCTGTACATTACCAGGGAAAAGCTCTTGGCTTCCATCAAGAGTCGCGTGTCTTCGACTTTGCACCTTACTCCTTTGACGTGGCCTGGAGTAATGTTCTTCACACATTGTGCGCAGGTGGCTGTCTATGCGTTGCCAACGAGCAGGATATGGTGAATGACCTGTCGGCTGCGATCACAGCCTTTGCGGCCAGTCTGATCAACGTTACTCCCACTGTTCTGCGAACAATTAGCTCAGTCCCACCGACACTTCAAACTGTTCTTTTGAGTGGAGAAATGCCGTATCGAGAAAATGTGACTCAATGGGCTGGTCGTGTTCGTCTGCTCAATACATATGGTCCCACCGAGTGTACCTGGAAATGTACCTTCTCACAGCTCAGTCGCTGCGAGGAGGACCGGCCGGATATTGGAAGAGGACTGGGATTCTGTCTCTGGATCGTCAACGCCAACGATAGCAGCCAGCTTGTTCCTCCTGGTTCCCCGGGTGAATTATACCTCGAGGGACCCATGGTTGGCCAAGGGTATCTTTCCAATGAAGAAAAAACCAGCGAAGCGTTTATCGTCAACCCACCGTGGCTTCTGTCTGGGAGCCCTGGTGTACCAGGACGACAAGGCCGTCTATACAGGACCGGGGACCTAGTCAAGACACGTTCCGATGGAAACATCCTGTTTCTGGGGCGGAAGGACGTCTCTCAATTGAAGATTAGAGGTCAGCGGATCGAAATTGGTGATGTGGAGCATCATGCACGTGCATGTCTGAATGATGCGCTGACTGTCATTGCTGATATTGTGCTCCCTCGGGGAAGCGAGAGTCCACTACTTGCCTTATTTGTGCAGACAAAGAATCAAGACCCCAAAGTAGTTAAGCCCGTGATGAACAATCTTGTGCGTGACCTAGAGGGTGCGCTGCCAGCATTTATGCTTCCAAGCATCTATCTCCCAGTCGAAGAGATACCGGTGGCTGCGACAGGCAAGGTCGACCGGCGACAACTGCGAGAGTTGGGAGTTGGTTTGTCTTTGGAGCAGCTGCTTAAATTGCAGTCTACCATCCTATTGGTTCAAGAATACCGTGACCCATCAACTGTTATGGAGAAGCGGCTTTGTGAGCTCTGGGCGCATGTGTTAAACATAACAGCGACTGGAATTAGCGCCACAGATAGTTTCCTCCGCCTAGGAGGGGATTCAGTTGCAGCCATGCTGTTGGTTGCGGCAGCACGAAAGACCAATTTATCCATCAGGGTAGCAGATGTGTTCAAGAGTCCAGTGCTGAGTGACCTTGCCCTCATTATCAAGGAGGATTCTTTCTCTTCTGAAGCGAAAGTAATTACCCCATTCTCTCTGGTAGACAGTTCTTCGGATATTCAAAGAATGCGCGAGGAGGCTGCTAGGCTCTGCAATATTGAATCGGCTCAAGTTGAAGATATATATCCGTGCACCGCACTCCAACAGGGCATGCTCTCCATCACAGCACGAAGTGAGACAACTAACGTTGCACGGACACTATTTGAGCTTCCCAGTCACATAGATCTCTCCCGGTTAGAAACGGCATGGTTAAGTACCGTTCATCACGCATCAATCCTGCGAACACAGATCATCGACCTGACCGACAATGGTCTGGTTCAAGTTGTTGTCGACTCCCCCATCATGTTAGATCGATACGGGAGTATCGCAGACTTCATCAAAGACTCCATTCCGATGGGATTGGGGGTTCCTTTGTGCCGTGCCGGTCTGATTTCTGGAGAGTTCCCCAGTCTGATCATAGAAATGCACCATTCAATCTTCGATGGCTGGTCCACCAAGCTGATATTGAATGCCATTGAAGCTGAATACTATGAGAGGGCGATTCCCTCTTCCATCCTGCCCTTTAAATCATTTGCAAAATACACAAAAGGGATAAACAAGCAAATTTCGTCGCTCTATTGGAAAACCTACCTGGACGGAGGGTCTGAAACGAAAACTTTTCCGTCTCCTGGGTATCGGCCGGGGGTAAAGCTTGATTTCAACTATAATGTCTCTGAAATGCCATGGGCACACTCGGGGACCACACCATCATCGGTCGTTAGGGCAGCATTAGCCCTATTACTAGCCTCATACACCAATTCAAACGATGTCAGGTACGGTGCCACGATCAGCGGGCGACAAGCTACTGTGGACGGTATCGAGCGAATTGCAGGGCCGACAATTGCGACTGTACCAGTCCGCGCTAAATTTGACTGGAATCAAACAGTTGAGAGCTGGCTCGAACAGGTTCAAAGACAGGCAGTGGAGGCCACTGAGCACGAACAGCTAGGGTTACAGCAGATTGCTGGATTGGTTGAGAATTCCAACCTTTTCCAGCTGCTCCTAGTTGTCCAACCGGCTCAGCAGGCAAATAGCAATAAGGTTGACGGTCTTTTCAACCGGGCGAGTAGTGTTGTTAGCAGCTCTGATCAAACCGGCAGTTTGAAAATAGTGTGCAAGGATGGAGAAGCGGATACTGTGGGCATGTTCAACCCATATGCGATTATGATTATCTGCCAATTGCATGAGTCTGGGGTTGAACTGAAGATCACCTTTGATTCTGGTGCCATTGAAGCCAAACAGGTCGAGAGAATGTCAATACAACTTGAACATTTGCTGCGACAACTGTGCTCAGAGGAGGTCATTCAGATGAACCTACGTGATATCACTGCTCTCACTAAGAACGACTTGGCTGATATTTGGACATGGAATGCAGCAAAGTCGGAGCCCGAGTTTGAATCTGTCACCGATTGCTTTTGTCGGCAAAGCGATGCAAAACCAGATGCAGTTTCTATATCCGCGTGGGATCATCAGTTAACAGCAAGGCAGGTGCAGGTCTGGTCTGTAACGCTGGCTGATCGACTTCTCTATGAAGGTGTGCTTCCTGGGTCGATCATTATCCTGGCCTTTGAGAAAAATGCTTGGCAGGCAGTTATGATGCTTGCGGCTCTCAGAGTTGGTGCAACTGTTCTACCGATGTCTGTACCAGTTTCAAAAACTCGAGCCCTACAGATTGTTGAGAATTTGCAGCCCCAGATTGCTGTTACCTCTACGTCGTCTGATTTATCTTCCTTCCACGAGTTGCTCCCAGTCCTTAATATTGCCAACCTCATCATGCCAGAGAGCAAAGGCTCCAATGCTGTTGTCAAATCTTCACCATATTGCCATCTGCCTAGTGATCCGGCTCTTCTTCTGTTTACTTCAGGATCTACAGGAACACCAAAGGCCATTGCGTGGAGCCACAGCGTCTTATCAACGAACATTCAGGCCGCTATTGCGACATTTGGACTGACTGATAGGAGCCGAGTCTTCCAATTTGCCGGTTATGACTTTGATGTGAGCACAGTAGAGAGTTTGGCTACCTTGCTTGCTGGTGCTTGTTTATGCATCCCATCAGAGACAGACCGAAAGAACCGACTTGCGGACTCAATCAACAGTTACAGAGCCAATTGGATGTGTCTGACCCCGTCTGTATCGGAGACCATGATCCCAGGTGATTTGCCATCTCTGCAAACAGTGGTTTTTGCAGGTGAGAAACTTGAGCACAAGACTGCTCGTCGATGGCTTGACACGCAGAAAACTGTACATAACTGGTACGGGCCAGCAGAAGCCTCAGTGGCTACTTCGTGCCTTGTGAATCATGACAGTTGGCGTCCAGGTATGATTGGGCAATGTTGTGCTGGGCTAGCGTGGCTTGTCGATCCCAAAGACCCAAACCTACTGGCTCCAGTGGGAGCAGTGGCCGAGTTGTGTATGGAGGGCTCTATGCTGGCTCAGTATTCTGGAGCCAATGGCGCCGCGTTGAACAAAGAGAGCTTTATTTCTCCATCGTGGCTGCAGGATGGCCACTGGAAGAGCCCTGGTCGACCAGGTCCAGTCTATCGTACTGGGGATCTGGTTACCTACGACTCGGATGGTCGTATAATCTACCTTGGCCGCCTACAAGATTCTCAGCGAAAGATCAGAGGACAAAGGATTGACCTAGGAGAGATAGAGCGGTGCATCCAAGACTTCTTGACTGGTTTCCTAGAGACAATGGTTGTTGCCGAGATATTTTCCCCGGCTTGCGGTGACAACGATACTTTGGCTCTTTTTGTCAGTCCCGCCGATGCCGCTGACTGGGCGGATCCCCAAACATATATTCAAAGTACATGGCCGGCCGATGATCTGGAAAACCATCTTGCCAGCATTCTCCCATCTTATATGATCCCCAGGATCTACATACCGCTCAGTGAATTTCCTATTGGTCCGACCGGAAAGACAGATAGGCGGCAATTGCGAGAGATTGGGGGGTCACTCACGTTGGCGCAATTGGCAGAAATTCAACCAACCCGAAGGCAAGCCAGAAAGGTGACCACGGAGAACGAGAAACTATTACAGCAAATGTGGGCTCATGTCCTAGGGGTTGAGCCGGATGTCATCTACGCGACTGACCACTTTCTTCGCTTGGGAGGAGACTCAATCAGCGCCATGCGCCTTGTTGGAATGGTTCGTAGCCAGGGATTCTCCCTCACTGTTGCTGATGTGTTTGATATCCCCGAGCTAGAGAAGATGGTTGAGAAAATGGTCCACGGTGAAGGTCACTCGGATATGCAAGATATTCCAGCATTCTCCCTTTTACCCCTGGGAGTGGAGGAGTCACACTGTCGATCATATGCTGCTCAAATCTGTTCAGTCTCGCAAGACCAAGTTCTTGATGTCTACCCCTGTACAGCACTTCAAGAGGGATTGCTTGCGCTTGGGGCCAGAAGACAAGGACAATATGTGTCTCGTAGTGTATTGCCACTTCAAATTGATATTGATCCACACCGACTCAAAATTGCCTGGGAAAAGACAATCGCCAAATTGTCTATTATGAGGACCCGAATCATGGATCTTCCGGGCAAAGGGCTTGTGCAGGTCGTCCTCAATGACACACCCTGGAGATCTGGTCAAAACATCCAGCAGTACTTGCACGACGATGAGGCGGAGCCGATGGGGCTAGGGACCCAGCTCTGTCGTGCATCCATCATCAATGGCACGTTCATTTTCACAATTCACCACTGCTTGTATGATGGCAGTTCACTGCCCATGATTCTCGAAGAACTCCAGGCACAGTACTACGATCAGCCGGGCAGGACAGTCACTGGAGTGGAGCATTTCATTTCCCATTTGAGCCAGATAAATACCCAGGAATCGAACGATTTCTGGAAGATTCAGCTGTCTCGCGCTGAATTCCGTTCATTCCCCGTTCTGCCATCTACCGCGTATAAGCCACAAGCCAGTGGCTTTATGGAGCATCCGGTTGCTCTAGAATGGCCTTCCAAGGGAGCAACCCCATCCACAATTCTCCGTGCGGCGTGGGCGGTCCTCGCCTCACAGTATGTAGCCTCCAACGATGTCATCTTTGGAGTAACAGTGAGTGGAAGACAGGCAAATGTAAACGGCATGGAAAACTGTGTTGCGCCAACTATCGCAACGGTTCCAATTGCAGTATCAATTGATTGGGAGAATACGGTGGAGACGTTCCTTCAAGGCCTCCAAAGACAGGGTTTGGATATCATGCCTTATGAGCAATACGGTTTGCCAAACATTCAACGAGCCAACGGAGATCGCAATGCCGGTTTGTTCCAGACTTTGTTGGTTGTCCAGCCAATAGCTACAGGGAACAGTCTGCATGAGGATAGCCGGCTGTTTAAGGCGCGTAGCTTCGCCTCCAGTTTGAGCACCATGGGGATCGATCCTTTCAATATTTATGGCTTAATGGTCATCTTTCAGCTTACTACCTCGGGTATTGACATTCAAATGAGCTTTGACCCAAAGATCATCGACAAGCGGCAGGTTAAGCAAATTGTCTGTCAGCTAGAAGGAATAATTCGCCAGTTGTGTACAAAGTCCCCCGACCGGATGACACTGAAAAACATCCAGACAGCAAGCGAACTCGACCTGGAACGCTTCTGGGCCCAGAATGCGGAATTACCCCCGGATCCCAGCATGTTTGTACATGACAAGATTACTCTATGTGCCAAAGCGAACCCCGAGGCTATCGCCATTGATGCATGGGACGGTCAGTTCACATACGGCGAGCTGGATCAAATCTCAACCGTTGTCGCACACAAGTTGATTCTGCATCTGGGGGTTAAGAAAGGGTCTACTGTGCCCTTGTGCTTTGTCAAGTCTCGGTACATGCCACTCGCTCAGGTAGCCGTTTGGAAAGCTGGCGCAGTGACCTTGTTACAATCGGCAGACATGCCAGAGCAGAGAATGAGTCGTACTTTCCAGCACCTTGGTGTTGAAGTTGCCCTGGCTTCACCCGAACGCTTGGCGACAGTCTCGAAGTACGCTCGCTGTATCACCATGGAGCAAATTTTGGATACTCCGTTTGAAGAAATTCTCACGCCATTCCCAATCCTGGACATGGATAGCCCGGCCTCAATTCTGACATCCTCTGGCAGCACCGGCGAACCAAAACATGTTCTCTGGAGCCACCGAGCCCTGGCCGCAAACGCAGAGGAACTGACACTGCGCTTGTCAGTAAACCCTTCTTCACGAATCTTCCAATTCTCATCATACGATTTCGATGTCGCTACCCTGGAAACGATCATTGGGTTAACTCACACAGCTTGTCTCTGTATTCCGTCAGAAGCACAGCGCCTCGACGGTATTGCGGCTGCAATTAATCACTTCGGGGCAAACTGGGCTTTTATCACCCCTTCCACTTCCCGGCTGCTGCGCCCGCAAGATGTACCAGGTCTATCTACTATCGTGATGGGGGGTGAGAACGTGTTGCAGAGCGATGTTGAAAGGTGGAAAGGGCACTGTGCTGTCCGTAATTGGTATGGGCCTGCAGAATTCCCCGCAGTTACCGTCTACCCGGCCGATGAACCCAATTGGTCCAGCAGTGTGATTGCGCACATTGACACTTGCCGCTGCTGGCTTGTCGATCCTCAAAATTGCCACAGACTTGTTCCATTTGGTGCAATCGGTGAGATAGTGGTGCAAGGACCTGCACTTGCCAGTGGCTATGTTGGAAATTCGTCTCTCACAAATAAGCACTTCTACCAAAATCCTACATTCCTCTCTCGAGGCCTCGGGGCAGCTCGCCCAGGAAGGCAAGGTTGTGTCTACCGAACAGGGGATTTGGCACGATATGACTCCGACGGCTATCTGGTGTTCTTGGGACGAAAGGATGCCCAGCTCAAAGTACTTGGTCAACTAGTGGTGCCCAAGGAGGTCGAGGCCCAGATTCAACAATGTCTCAATCGGCCAGGTGGGCACACTGAGGTCATCGTCGATACTATTTTACCCCCAGGTGGAGGCGGAGTCATACTTGTGGGATTCATCGTCACCCAAGAGGATATCGACCAGCTAACCATCGGCCTTAGCCAGAAGCTTCAGGCAGTTCTTCCTCGCTATGCAGTTCCCTCGTGGTATATCGCGCTTTCGAGTGTTCCTTTGACTACAAACGGGAAACGAGATCGGAGACGGCTGCTTGAGATTGCTGCGTCGTCCACGCCATCCAGCCAAGGATCCACAGGTCGACTACCAGTTACGACTGCTGAGATTACGTTAGCGAGGCTGTGGTCTCTTACTCTAGGAACGGAGCTGGAGACAATTTCAGCCACTGACAGTTTCTTGCAGGTTGGAAACTCTATTGATGCCATGCGGTTGGTAGGTACAGCTCGCCAACATGGCTTGTTGCTCACTGTCGCCGGGGTGATGGAATTCCCTATCCTAGCAGAGATGGCCAATCTGCTGCAAAACCTTGATGATGCACCAGATGACAGCATTGAACCTTTCACGCTGCTGGATCCTGGCCGAGACCAGAAGCTCGCCCGCCGCCAGGCAGCATCCGCCTGTACTGTCAATGAGACCGATATCGAAGATTTATTCCCTTGCACTTCTCTTCAGACAGGTCTGCTTGCTTTGTCAATCAAGTCCCGAGGGGATTATACCGGCCGCAATGTGCAGGAGCTAGGGCCTTCGATAGATGTTGATCGCTTCAAACACGCTTGGGAAGAGCTGGTACTCACTGTGCCTATCCTCCGCACACGAATCGTCGATATCCCTGGCCATGGATTTGTTCAAGCCGTGATCCGAGAAAAGACTGCTTGGAGCGAGGCCGGAAGCGTACAGGAATACCTGGACCAGGACCGTCGGTATCCTATGGGGTTGGGTACCTCTCTCATGCGCTGTGGACTGTTTTCATGCAAATCAACTGATGAAAAATCCGATGATTCCGGCCCAGTGCGCTGGTATTTTGCACTGACTATGCATCATTCGATATATGATGGGCCAGCTTCGGCCATGATAATGGGCACGCTGAAGAGCCTTTATTACGGGGAAACACCTCTTCGACTAATTCCCTTCCAGGCCTTTGTCAAGTATGTCTGCAGTCAGAATAAGGAAGCTGGAGCTGAGTTTTGGAAGACACAATTTGAAGGCTGTGAAGCTTCGCAGTTTCCACTTCTTCCCTCAGCTAGTTACCAGCCAAGAACAGAATCCACTCAAACTGTTGTTATCGATGATGTTAAATGGCGCACAGATGGGTTTACTCCTTCTACCATCATCCGTTCAGCATTTAGCCTCGTATGCAGCCAATACGCAATCTCGTCTGATGTGGTGTTTGGCACAGTTGTCATGGGACGCAAAGCACCCATTCAGGGCACGGAGAGGATTGCAGGTCCAACCATTGCCACAGTTCCTGTGCGTGTGCAAATAAAAAGCGACGCGACTATTCCGCAGTTTCTCCAATCTATCCAGGACCAAGAGCGAGAGATGGTCCCTCATGAGCAAACAGGATTGTCAAACATCCGGCAAGTTAGCACTCCGGCAGAAGAGGCTTGTCGCTTCCAAACCTTACTCGTGATCCAACCACCCGAGCAGGCTATGGATGATACTGGCTTATTTTGCTTCCGGTCTGCTGAAGAATACGAGGCCACCCGGTACCATAGCTTTAGCTCTTATGCGTTATCGGTAGTGTGCAACTTGGAGCCAGGTCGAGTGAAGGTCGAATTTTGCTATGATTCTGCCATTGTCCAGTCAGAAACTATTCAAACCATGGCAGCACACCTGGATCAGGCCCTTCGGAGCATGTGCACACAAAGATTGCCCCAATCCACACTGGGGGCTGTAAATATGATGACAGAGTCCCATTTAAATGACATTTGGACCTGGAACGCAAAGGTGCCTGCCGCTATAAATGCATGCATGCATGATCTGATCAGGGAAGTCGCGCAACGCCAGCCTGACGCAGTGGCCATCTGTGCGTGGGATGGTAGCTTGACGTATGTTGAGCTAGACCAGCTGTCAACCAAGCTCGCCAATTACCTGGTCCGGATGGGGGTAAAAAGGAACATGATCGTGCCTCTTTGCTTTGAGAAAAGCATGTACGCCATGCTCGCCGTCCTTAGCGTCATAAAAGCAGGCGGTGCCACCCTTCTCCTAGATCCATCTTTGCCAGATTCTCGTCTTGATGGTATATTGCAACAGGTAAACCCCACTGTTCTACTTTCATCGATCTCCCAGGAACAACGCTGTTTCCGATGGGTCGCTCACCCAGTGGTCCTGGGAGAAAGATCCACGTTTCCCGAGGCCGATGTGGTGAATGGGGCCGCCGAAAGTCATAATCCACCATCTATATCTCCAGACGATCTTTTATACACCGTCTTTACGAGTGGTAGCACCGGAACCCCCAAAGGATGCCTCATGCATCACCAACAATTCACCAGTGCAGTCATACACCAGAAATCCACGCTTGAAATGAGTCCAACGACACGCCTATACGATTTCTCTTCGTATTCATTTGATGCAGTCTACTGGTGCCTCTTTCATGTATGGAACGCCGGAGGCACGCTATGTATCCCTAGCGAAGATGAACGGAAAAGCAATCTGACTGAGAGTGTGCGCCGGTTTGACACCACGCATATTTTCCTAACTCCCTCTACTGCGCGGTGGATAGACCCGCAGCGTACTCCTACCCTGCGCTATCTCTTTCTCGGGGGTGAGGCAGTTTTGCCAGAGGACCTCGCACGATGGTCCCCATCTGTTAACACATATGAGGTATATGGACCTTCAGAATGCTCTGCTATCACCCTTTATCATCGAGTACCTAAGACGGCAGCCGCTGCAGTGCACTCTATCGGGAAAGGTATTGGAGTTTTGACATGGGTAGTGGACCCAGGGAATCAAGACCGACTAGCACCTCTTGGAACGGTAGGTGAGCTGTATCTCGAGGGACCTCTAGTGGGACAGGGTTACTTCCAGAATGAAGAAAAGACAGCAGCCGCCTTCATCGAGAATCCGTACTGGTTAGGTCAGGGCTCTCCTGATGGAACAATTCCAGGACGTCGTGGTCGAATGTATAAGACTGGCGACCTTGTCAAGTATCATCCACTCACGGGAAATCTCGCGTTCGTGGGACGAAAGGACACGCAGGTCAAACTAAGAGGCCAACGCATCGAGCTTGCAGATGTTGAGCACCATGTGATGCAGTGCCTAATGGATCGATCATCTTCGGGGACTGCGCCGACGGCAGTAGCAGAGGTCGTAGAGCCAGTAGCCACAGGCAGGCCAATGCTTGCCGTTTTTATCGACTGCAAGCAAGCACAGTTGGCCGGCTTGTTGCCCTATCTCGAAGCTGAGTTGCCGAGCCGGGTTCCGTCCTATATGGTACCAGCAACTTATATTGCAACTCCGTCTATGCCGATGGCAGCAAGTGGTAAGACAGACCGACGACGGTTGCGCGAGATGGGTTCCAGTTTGACTCTAGAATTCTTGACACGCAGCGATGCCCCTGTAACTATGTTGGACCCCAGCACAGCCTCTGAGTGTCACCTACAAGCCTTGTGGGTCGAAGTCCTTGGTGTACCTGCTGAGAAGATTGGGGCAGAAAGTAGCTTCGTTCGTCTAGGCGGCGACTCAATCTCGGCGATGCGGTTGGCCTCTTTGGCTCGTATGCAAGGGCTGGAGTTGTCGGTTCATACTATTCTCACCACACCTCGATTGTCGGAGATGGCACAGTCAATGTCTGTTTCGATTTTGAAAGACGTCAGCGAGATAGAATTTGTCAGCCCCTTCTCTCTCCTCAAACATCCCTCGGAACAAAACATTATCTCGGATGAGTTCGCGAGACAATGCCACATCCAGGTCAGCCAAATTGAAGACATCTTCCCTTGTACGGGTGTCCAAAAGTCGCTGCTCTCGATGACCGCAAAACGCGCCAACTCGTATGTCGCTCGACTCTTGCTCAAATTGAAGGAGAATATCGATGAGTCGCGCCTGAGGAATGCCTGGGAAATGGTGAGTAGAGCTTCTGCGCCCATCCTTCGTTCACGAATTGTGGACTGTAAAAGCAACGGACTCGTGCAAGGCATCGTGAATGAGCCTCTGCACTGGGATGTCACTCAACCGCTGCAGCAATATCTCCAAAAATACAAAACCAGGCCAATGGGTCTAGGCACCCCTTTGACTCGGCTTGCCATTGTGGAAGACGAATGCAGCCAGGAGAGGTATTGCCTGCTCACTCAGCATCATGCGTTATATGATGGGTACTCATTGAACCTTCTCGTGGACGAGGTTTCTAAGGCTTATGATGGTATCCTTGATGATCATCCCCCTGTGGCATCATTCCAGGCTTTCATCAAGCACGTCATGGAGGTTGATACCGAGAAGGCAGAGGACTTTTGGGGTCGTCAATTTGCAAATTTCGAGGCAATCCCCTTCCCAGAATTACCTCACGCGGATCATCAACCCAAAGCGGATAGCACAGTACGACGTAATTTGGAGGCATTCCAGTGGCCAAAGCGAGATGTCACTCCATCGACCAGTATGTTCATGTTATTTCCTTTCATTGCTTTACTATTTCCCTTGGAAATTATTGACATGTTTATCACCAGTCATTCGTGCATCATGGGCCATCCTCACCGCGCGGTACATGGACTCGGACGATGTGGTTTTCGGCGCCATGGTTACGGGCCGACAAGCTCCCCTCCGAGGTCTGGACCGCATGGTCGCACCTCTTATAAATGCTGTTCCTGTCCGAGTCAAACTTGACTTCCAAGAATCAGTCGATAGTCTGCTCACTAGCATCCAAAAGCAGTCCATCGACATGATTGCCTATGAACAGACTGAGCTGCTCACAATTCGGCACATTGATACAAATACAGATCGCGGGAGCCGATTTAATACTCTTCTCGTTGTTCAGCCTGCAAGTCAAGTCCAGTCTGTCGACCATCATAGTGGCCCCTACAAGAATCCTAGGGAACTAGTCTCCGCAACTCAAGATCTGGATGATTCCAATCCAAATGCTATCATGATCATGTGCCAACTTACGAACACGAATGGCCTGAACCTTGAGTTTAGCTTCGATTCTAGAGTGGTGGATGTAGCTCAGATGGAACGAATTGCCTCGCAATTCGAGCACGTTTTGCGCCAAGTATGTATGGCCACGACCCAGCCTGTGGATCACATTGAGACTCTGAGTGGTGGCGATCTAGCAGAACTGTGGCAGTGGAACTCATCTATCCCTCTACCAATTTCTGAATGCGTGCACAGCTTGATTACTACAACTGCTCAGAATTATGGAGACCACTCAGCTATCTGCGCCTGGGACGGCCATTTATCGTATTTCGAGCTGGATCAACTTTCAAATCGGTTGGCGTCGCACTTGGTGGCCTTTGGTGTTGGTCCCGGTACCATCGTTCCACTTTGCTTTGAGAAGTCCATGTGGCATCCAGTAGCAGCTCTTGGGGTGATAAAGTCGGGTGCTGCGTGTCTCTCAATGGACTCAACTCAACCAGAGTCCCGACTACAATCCATTGTCAGCCAAGTCAATCCTCTGGTTGTCTTGGCATCAGCCAAAACTGGCAAATTGGCAGGTCATTTATCTGACGCCAAGGTCATGATTATTGACCAAAATTACCTTGACTTGGTAGCTACAGATATTCCCACCCCGCCTTTGCCCACAGTTCACCCATCCAATGTGCTATACGGTGCGTCTCTATTTGTTATTCTTCCGACTCTCCAATCACTGTACTAACTTCTCAATATCAGTCGTGTTCACCAGCGGCTCCACAGGAACACCTAAAGGTGTCGTGACTACACATCAGAATTTTTCATCTGCTGCAGTGCATCAGGCAGAGATGCTGCGTATTCAACCAGGCACCCGTGTATTCGACTTTGTCTCTTACAGTTTTGACGTATCATGGTCCAATACCCTTCAGACATTGATCCGTGGAGGCTGCCTGTGTATTCCTAACGAGTTTGAGAGACGAAACGACATTGCGGGGGCCTTCAATCGCATGAATTGCAACTACTCCTACTTCACCCCTTCGGTAGTGCAGTCCTTGGATCCACCAAGCATGCCTGGACTCAAAACTTTAGCCATGGGGGGCGAACCTATTCCCACCACCGAGGTTGCTCGATGGAAGCAGGCTGAGGCTGTGATTGGAATATACGGTCCGGCTGAGTGTGCACAGGCCCTCACGTTCACACTTCTCCAACCAAACGGACGCAACAATCATGTAGGGTACTCATATGGGGCCCGGACATGGCTGGTGCAACCAGGCCGTCCCGATCGACTCGCCGCTATTGGCGCCATGGGAGAGCTTTTCATTGAGGGTCCCACAGTCAGTCAAGGCTACTTTGGTGACTCTGATAAGACTGCCGCTGCGTATATCCAGAACCCATCCTGGTTGCTGCAAGGTGCACCAACCCTTCCTGGCCGTCAGGCCACCTTATACAAGACGGGTGATCTGCTTCGATACAACTCAGATGGGTCGCTAGATTTCCTTGGTCGTAAGGATGGTATGGTTAAGCTGCGGGGCCAACGAATTGAGCTAGCCGAAGTAGAATACCATATCCGTGCTAACTTGCGTGATCCTGATCTATGCGATGGCCTTGCGGCAGAGATTATTATCCCTAACAACAGCAGTCCCATTCTCGCCGTCTTTGTTGCCATATCTCCCCCTGGAGAGACACAATCCGAGGAAGACAATTCATCGAGGTTGGCGCGCTTCATCGACGGTTTGGAGGATAGACTTTCCAATTCTCTACCGCAATAGTATGTATTCCCTAACTCAACTCCATCTTTCCACCCCTTGACAAATAGTCCCGATATTAATTTTGCTTCTTTCCTAGCATGATTCCTGGCGCCTATATCCCCATTGAAAAGATTCCAATGACTACCACGGACAAAACGGATAGAAAAGCTCTACGGCAGCTGGGGGCCTTTCAGACTTTAGAGACGTTGGCAAAGCTGCAGTCCCACGGGAGCAGCCATCGTGCGCCCACTACGGTCATGGAAAAGAAACTGCAAGTACTATGGTCGGTGGTTCTTGGGATGGATTCAAACATTATCAATTCCGACAGCAACTTCCTCAGAATTGGTGGAGAGTCCATCGCAGCCATGCGACTGGTGGCAGCGGCCCGAAATGAGAAGCTCTCGCTCACAGTCGCAGATATTTTCAACGCACCACGGCTCTCTCAACTCGCCCTTTTAGTGCAGGAAATTATTATGGAGGAGAATTTGCCATCGTTACAACCCTTCGCATTGCTCGATACGAATGACCCAAAGCCCTTCCTCGCTGATTTTGTCGATCCGCTTCTTGACCCAGGGGCTGGGACCGTTCTTGATGTGCTTCCTTGCACCGACTTCCAAACCTGCGCAATTTTAGATGCTTTCCAAGACCCGCCCAGCCGATTGCCGCATTGGATCTTTGATCTTCCGGCAGATGTTGACTTCTCACGGTTAGAATGGTCCTGCCGAAGGCTAGTAGACCACCACGACATCCTTCGTACGGTGTTCATTGAAACGCACGGTCGATTCTGGCAAGTCTTGCTCGATCATTTGAACCCCGTGTATGACAATCTCCAGGCCAAAGATGACGATGATATTACGACCTTTGTTGATTCTATTTGTGAGCTAGATCGAAAAAGGATTCGGACATTTGGCTCTTCCTTCATTCGATTTATGGCAATACGGAGTGCCGCTGGGCAGCATCGACTCATTTTCCGGATTTCGCACGCCCAATTTGATGGCTTTAGTTGGGATACTGTCCTTCGTAGTCTATCTTCACTCTACTGCGGTGACACTCTCCCTGACCAACCGAAGTTCTCCCAATATATCGCCTACAGGGAGGACAATAAGGCAAACGCTTTCGCCTACTGGTCCTCGCGACTCGAGGACACTCGAAATCCCAACTGGAGTGGTGTAGATTGCTCTAAGCGTGTGTACACTACCATGGATCGGCTGACGATGAAAGCGACGATCCCAATTCCCAAAGGCCAGTTGGTTGAGGGGATTTCGCCCGCAACTTTATTCCATGCCGCTTGTGCTATTGTATTATCCCGCCAATACCAACAACCTCATGTTGTTTTCGGTCGTCTGGTCACTGGCCGATCGATGCTACCGAGCAGTCTACAAAATGTGGTCGGACCATCTATGACCGAGATCCCTATCAGCGTGCACATTGATGACCATGCTACTCTTTCGGGCATTGCATTGCAATTGCAACGTCAGCTCATTGAAGATTCTCGATATGAAACCGCTGGGATGGAAGAAATCATCCGGAACTGCACTGACTGGCCCGATGACGCAAAAGACTTCGGCTGGCGGACAGCTTTCCAGCAAGAAGATGACCGTAACTTCACTTTCCTTGGGACAGAAAGTCGGATATCGTTCTACGAGCCGGATCTACTACCTCGAAACCGGCCGGAAATATATGCTACCCCACGGGATGGAAATCTGGATCTTGAATTCGAGGGTAATCGCCAGTTGATCAGTCAGGATGATGTTGAACGCTTTGTCCGAGGTCTGGAAACAGTGCTGAGTAACATTTAACCTGTCATTGGAGAGCAGCCTTTTATATTTTTATTTTCTTTTGGGGGGGGTTATCTTCCAGATGTCAATGTTCTCAAGTTCAGAAGATGTCTAGAAATCGAGCAACTGTTTTAATTTCTTGATCTGATCTATAGCCGTGCCAATAGTACCAACATAACTTGGTTAATGGCCGATTTAATAAGTTCTAGTCACTCTGTGGCTTTGGGCCCATTCCGACCTTTCCTCTGGTGAGCCTGTAAATCCACAGGGCAGCAGTCAAGCTCACGTCAATAAAATCAAAAACCAAGGCTCCGCCAAATATTATTGCATAGTATGTCCACGCTAAAGACTTTGGTAAGGATACAACTGTAACGACAATCGCCCAAGGCAGCATCCAAAGGATGTTGGACCCAAGTGATTGGTAGAGGTACCATCGTGGTGATGTCGCAAGAAGAATTGCCGCGATCTGGCAATTTAAACCATAAAATATGTAGGTCCAGTCGATATTCTGTTATATGTCAATGGAGGCTATGCTCATGATTCATTATTTTTAGCACTCACCTTCCACATGGTTTGGGTGATCTTTGCCACAATACTCGAGTCAGATAGGTAATATGCAAATGCCTCTATCCCACGCAGCGATAATGCGATACATATGATGGTCTCGAAAACCAACACAATCAAACAGGAGCGAAGCGCTGGCCGAATCAGTTCTACGAGGGAAATTCAGTAAATTACTCTGACAAATCTCGGCATCATACCTACCAATAAGGTCTTTCTTGGTCGCCTTGGGGTACTCAGTGCCACTTTGAGCACGGAACTGGCCCCAGTTATGACCGACAAAAGCCAGAGTAGAAGCCTCCAATGCCTGTACGGGAACCATGACAAGTCCCCAGCGGATCGTGTTGAAGACCCCCCATGAAGTTGCATAGTCACTCCCCAGTAGAATTATTCTATGGACAAGCCACAGATAAATCGCATTTCGGATAGCTGACTCCGCGAATGTGTAAACGCTGGGTTTTATAAGTATCAACAAAGCAGATATTTTGCAGCGCAGTTTATGTGGACCATCTGTATCCTTTTGGCAACGTCGCACGACAACCGTGAGAAAGTATATCAGTCCGGCTAAAGACGATACACTATCGCAAACCAGTCGAATTATGGCCTGCATGACAATCGTAGGTTTCCAGCCACCAACATGTACGTTTGAAATGATTAATAAATCGAGAACGATGTTGATGATGAACTTTGCAGAACTGATGATCAAAGGCACGTCCGGGTTATCTAGTGCCCTTGTCGATGCCGATAAAGCGGCTTCTATAGCCGACGTCACGGCCTGTACAGATGACAGTCGTACATAGGTGATAGAGGATTGTCTCACTTCCACCGGTACGAATCCGGAAGCCAGAGTCTTGGAGGCAGCCAGGAATATGATTGTCATTATCACTCCAAGGGCAGTCTGCGCAAAAATCATGGTGCATGCCAGATTCAATCGTGAGGAGATAGTCCGCGTAGATTTGTCCCCAATGACGTGCCATGCAGAACGGGGCAGGCCCTCGTTAAGCACTTCGACAATCACTCCAATGTAAGTGTAAACATCCGTGGTAACCACTTGTTTCGCATCGATGTTTGCCACCCAGAGCTTGCTAAGGGTGCTGTACAAGGCTGGAAGGGCGAAGGCCCCCAAATTGAATAAGAATGAACCGAAATATCTTCCAAAGTCAGATTCCCTATTCGAGCAGATGTTGGGAAATATACACTCACGTTTCGCGACTCCATGGATTAGGCTTTGGAACAACTTCTGGCACCTCTGTCTCCTCCTGCTCCTCCTGTTCCTCCACCATGTTGCCTCGTACAGTGGGTTTCTTAGCAGCGTTGTTTTCCATTTCTGAATGTGGGTGTCTGAGAGTCGCATCCATGGGGGCATTAATGGGGTCTGGAAGAGGGGAATTGTCTTGGCGCGTTATCTTGTCCTGAGGTATATGTGGGCGTTTTAAAGCACGAGATGTTGATAGGCTCGTCTGGATCAGAACCCCCTGTCAATTTAGTTTTAGTATGGTGAGTTATCGATTCCGAAAATCAGTTCTTTTGTCAAGAAGGATCTGGAATATGAGAGATTGTTTAGTGAAGGGGAATAGCAAACAAGCTAAAAGATCAGTAGAAAGACAGAAAGGCATTTATCAGACCAGCTCCCCAAGTTTAGCATTTTTCTCAATGTTATTACTATAAAAATCAATTAAATCAATTCCTGTGTAATATAGTAAGTATTCTATATATATATTGAGAGCATAATTTTGCATAAAGACGATTCAATTCCTTGATGACTACTTCGTGAGGGCTCGTGCGCCTAAGCCGTATTCAACAACACTTTTCTTCCACATCATTTTATTGACATTTGGAATGAATTTTCCAACATGCCACGAAGACCCATCTCAAAGTGCGATCATAAGTTTGTCTGTTTGTCTTCCTCTCCTCATGCTGCCGTAGCAGGTTTTAGGAGACAAAGCCAACGGCAACGTCTCGCTGCGATAAAAGCAGACAACCGAAGCTTTCCACGAGAAGACAAACTCTTCCTTGAAGAAGATGACAGTGCTTTCCCTGCCCCTCTGTTACTTCCTGGAGATGATCTTGCCGGAGATCCAGAAGACCCTCAGAGCTTTCAAAAATGGCTTGATGGAGAACACCGTAATCTGGTAACCGAAAAGCAAAAAACAGTGTACCTCGTTCCATCTCCTCAAACTGACGCAGATGTTGACTTCATGCGATCATGGACAACACCAAAATGTCCAGGCAATGAGCCTTCCATAGAGCCTCCTAGTACGAAGGACGTCCAGGACTATCTGACTGCCTTCTATCATGGTCTTCCTGTCAAGATGATGCCGCCATCTACCTTGCGGTTTATTCCATGGGAAGAACCCAAAAGAAGATCCCAGAAGAAGATAGGCCCCCAATATCTGGGTCTAAAATTTGGCAATGAGTGCGTGCGGATTCGCTCACGTACCTTGTCAAATGGGGTATATGGGGGCCAAGTCAATCTAGACGACCTTCTCGATACTGCGATTAGCATTTTACCGAAAGATGCTTATGCCCTCTTGATACTCGTGGACTTTGATCTATATGAGGACGAGGATGACGAGTTTGTATGTGGCCGTGCATACGGAGGAAGTCGCGTTGCAGTGGTGTCCAGTGCAAGATACAATCCCAGACTGGATATTCCTCAAGGTGTCGAGCGTCTCCATGCATGGCCTGCGTCACATTGTGAGAAATACCTGTCTGCATGTTCTTCGACAGAACCAAGTGCCAAAAGACGCAAAGGATCCCAGGCCAATAGCCGAGGATCACAAAATTCGACGTCGGAGCTAAACGGACCTGTGAAGGATGCAGTTTCGGTCTACCGCTCCCTCCCCGAGGTAGATTCATCGCCTTCATTGCTTTCTGCCCTCTGGTTGGGTCGTGTTTGTCGGACGGCGAGCCATGAATTGGGGCACTGCTTCGGTATTGCTCATTGCGTGTACTACGCGTGCTCAATGCAAGGCACCGCGTCTATCTGCGAGGATGCAAGACAGCCGCCTTATCTATGTCCGGTCGATCTGGCGAAGCTTCTCTGTGCCACCTCCACGTCTGCGTCTCAGCGATATCAGGCTCTGTTGGAGTTTTGCGAGCGGCTGGGTAATATTGATACACATTTCTTCGGACCGTTTGCTACTTGGATCCGAAGTAGACTAGGCCAGATCAAGGATTCAATTTGAGTTTCTCGATCAGCACGCTGGTCTTTGCTTCGCCATGCTGATGGGAGAATATGGATGGGAATTTGGACGTAGATAAACAGAATCTTGTTCTCCAACTATGCGAAGATTAGCGCCCATACGATTAATACACTTGATCGAGAACCTTTGAATAGGGGAATCCTCAAATGACGGCAAAACTCTCAGCCCTCGCCTGGTCTACATTGTAGTGTGTAACGTGGTACTCTGTATTCCGTATATACTCACGTGGACCTGGGCAATTATTGCAAATCAAATCCAGATAGGGGCGATCCACTGCTCTTCGCATGTGATATCAGACGTCATGTTTTCTCTAAGCCGGTGAACTCTGAACATTCTTTGGCGTTGGTTTTGATCCGGAATAAGTGACAGTTATGGTGGGGGATGTGTTTTCAGGGTGCTGTCAATGATGCAGGGGCTCACAATGTGGTGGAAGTGCTTGGGTTGCTGTATCGGAGTATAAGGGCGCTGATCGATTGAAGAGACTCGGCAGGAATAGAATCTCCTATTTAGTTCATCTCAGTAAAATTGAGACGTCATTCTCCCATCAGTGATGGTGAGAGCCATCGATCTTACCAACACTCATGTGTCCATGGGCAGTGGGGAACTTACCGGCGGGCTGGATATTTATTTGCCGGTGCACTTCTTTTCCATAACGGTGTGTACTGTCTAGATCGCGTGTTCCTAATGACAGATCTTAGCCCCAGCTCATATTTCAAGTTCAAAATACCGGGCGTTGGGTTTGAGTACAGAGTACATCTTGAGATTTTAAGGCTTCGAGGCGTTTTACCGACAGATCTTACCGTCAACTGGTGAGTCACTGATTATCCGTGTAGGAGAAAACAAAATCGACAACTATTTCAAGGAGAGTCGCGAACCGGTGGACTATAGATCGGAGCATCGGGACTAGGTTTTCGAACATGTCCGAACTCTTTTCTTCCTGGTTATCGAGTAAAACATCCGACACCTTCCGAAGGTGGGGGAAATATTACACCTCAGATATCTAATAGGAAAGGAGTATCTTTGGCTCAACGGTTTTCCACGTTTTATAATTTCAATACATCTACTCTAGCCAGAGCGGCCTTTCAGCGGCTTTTCTTCTTCTAGTACTCGGTATAGAGCATTAAAAGATCATATAGCACATTGTAGCTATAGTTCTGACACCATTCTCGGCCAATTGTTCCGAATGAAAGACTATCTCAGCCAAGGAGAAAGGCGCTAGACTAGTTGGATCCTTTGATTTTGGGGGCTTTATATTAAATGGTTTTCTTTGTTCTACACCGTACTCCTTACTGGTATCACAGATATTATTAAGCGTTGTGTTGGTCGGGTGGAAGTACGGAGCAGAATTATTGGAGAATCAGGGGGCCATGAACTCAGGGATGAAAACGCGTACTTTGCGTGTGCTTGTCCTTCGAATCACAACAAGATATCTCGAACAGTGGATCTACAAATGCTTGATCCAGGATTTTGGGGTTCCTTTGAGTCATTTTCTCCGACATAGACCAGAGCAAACATGCGCTCCTGCATTGGACCGATCCCGAAAGTTGGTCGGACAGATGCAGCTAGAGATGAGGAGCTGCAGCTTACAGTTCCACATCTCTCGCCTCTTGAAAATCAGCCCGAGCGCAATTTCCATGGCGCAGGGGCTGGGAGGTGATCCAGTCGAGAGACTTACCATCACATGCACTGTCTGCAGTGCTCGTGGGGCTTATCCGCGTGGAACGAGACATTAGATACAAATCGTTCCAACTCGCCATTTTAGTGCGTTCAATAATAGCGGTTGATCGCCATGAAATCCCGCCTCAAGATCCGTAAGGCGTCAAAAATGGACTGGTTCCCGAAGTGGATTGGGGTTAGTGGAAATGGCGCTTTTAGTGTTGTTTGAGGACAGGTAGTTTGTGGAGCAGTAGTTGGAAGAGAAGTCCAATATTAAAGAATGATTAGGATCATTTCTTCTAATCCATTTAACAGCCCCTTACCAACTACTTCGTACTATTTCCATATTTATCTAACCCCTATATGGAACATCCGAACATCCGCCATCAGGATAAACGAAAATATATTTACGAGTTCAAGGGATATGTATCATATGTATTCCTTTCTCCACTATGGGGGCTAAATAATTCTTAGTACAATCTTGATATTAATCTATCTTTAATATATAGATTATTCTTATTTGACTTGCATCCCACAAAAGTGGAGATTTTCCTATGGACCTGCATAACTTCATATTCGTATTATAAGCCCGACTAAGTAGCGCCTTGACTAGTGCAGGACACTCGAAGGGCCTAGATGCTGCTATCCTTGTGTTTATGTCGAGCAGCTCTATCTCAAACAAACTCTGGAAAATCGGATTCGACTGTAACCTAGAAAGTACGGCCCAAGTGAGTTCATGTGCCTTACAAAGAGCAGACTCAAAATTCAGTTGGTGGCTGAGAGGGAGTCAATGGCTTTAAATTCTTCGATTAATACGTCCTGCGTATTCAGCAGAATCAGACGTGTCTATCTTTACCTGATATAGTCAAGAGTATGCATAATGTGCCTGGGCTAATTCCCCGGGGCTGTGGGAGCCACTCGGAATGCCGCATACACTTCCTACGTTCAGGAGATTTAGATACTCGGACTTGGACTGTAAACTGTATGATGTATGGTGTAGTACATCCCAACCATGTCAGTAGAGCACAATATATTTTAGAGTGTGGAGGTGGAAAGAGGGTGGCTCGAAATAATACAAAAGAGTTGGGTGTTAAACGTCCCAACCGTTGATCACGTTGATCCTTTTCATGTGTCCGACGATCTACGATGATTGTTTCCCCTTACGACTTGGCAGTTCTCTTTTCTTTTTGTATACTTTCTTTTCTTTTTCGTTCTTTATTTCCCTTTTTGAACTTCGAGAGGGCATATCTTCCAGGGTTCCCAAATGGATTTACCTTAATGAGCCGGATGACGTGGTTGAGATCCGGATTTTGATATGAAGATGTGATACTATTTGCAACTCTCTAACTTGAAATAGATCGCACGGATGAAGGGCGGTCCACAATGCGGTAATGTGCCTGTTGTTAGCCTCTCACTGGCAGGAGTCATGATCCACATGTGGAAGATCCAAATCTCCATCTCTCATTATCCCTGAAGCCTAAAGGGGGCAGATATCTCCAAATATTGAATTAGACACCGGGGTAAAACCAGTATCGATCTGTTCCGATGCGGTGGCTTGAATCAATGCTAGGAAGCCTTCCGGCTAGTATAGTTGATCAGGGGTATATAAACAATGGCGATCACCTCTTCTCTTGATCTTTGATCGTTCAACTGTCTTTCTCTCTCTTCACTCTTTCTACCAGTCTATCGTTAATTTTTGTTGGCGGCTTTTGCCTGCCTGTCCGATCTCTCGCTTCTGTATATCCTTCTTTCAGAAGCCTTTATATTCCTAATAGCTTTTCACATACATTCGTTAATACAACACGAAACTCAACATGCGTTCTTCTCTCGTTTTGCTCGCCGGTCTAGCGAGCTCGGCTCTCGCCTACCCTACCGAAACGGTGGCCGTTGAGACCCGTACCCTGGGTCTCCTCGGTGAGCTCCTTGGTGACCTCACTGTCGATGTGACTGCTATCCTTGGTGCAGTCCTCGATGTCCACTCCTCTGTTGAACTTCTTGCTGGTCTGAATGCTGAAGCTGCTGCCGCTCTCGAGGGTGGTGCTCTCGGCTGCAAGTCCGGTGCTATCAAACACAAGGCTAAGGCCGCCCTTAAGCTTTGGTTGCTCTTCCACGCCAAGCTTGATATCCACCTCAAGAAGTCACTCATCTCTTGGTGTGATGGCCACGACGAGCTCGTCCTCTCTGCTGACGTCCTCGCTGCTCTGTCCGTGTACATCCCCGGATGTGCCGACATCGCTGCCAAGGGCCAGCTTTACGTGACAATTGACGGTATCTTTGATGCCGCCAGCCTAGAGTCTGCTCTCGTTCTGAGTGTTGATGCTCAAGCTTCCCTTCTCGCCTGGATTGAAGCTAAGCTTGATCTTGATTTGGATGTCAAGGTCGGTCTGCATGTCTGCGCCGTTGGTGGTGTTGTCGCCAGTCTGTCGGCTGACATCAAGGCTTCCCTTCTTGCTTGGATCCACAGCAAGGACTGTGACCTTAGCGCTCACCTCAAGGTTTCGGTCCTCGCCTGGATCAACGGTCATGCCGGTGGCGATCTGATTGAGATTGGTGCTCTTGCTGAGACTGCTCTCTCTACCGTCTCCGTTGGTGCTTCCTTGGGTGTACACGTTGAGGAGTCCGGCCTCCTCTCTATTGGCGCTAAGGCCTCCCTCGCCGCCTTCCTGGGTCTTGATCTCTCTGTCGATCTCGCTGCTGATGTTAAGCTCGCACTCGAGGCATGCGCCAAGGGTGGGCTCGCCGTTGCCGTGGACCTTGATATCCGCACCAAGCTTGCCATCTGGCTCGCCAGCGTCGACTGCTCTCTCGGCGTTGAGCTCAAGGCCGTCGTCCTTCTTTGGCTGTCCTTCGGTGTTGAGGCTGATGTCTCAGTCTCGCTGGACCTGGTTGGTGGCCTCCTTGGTGATGTTACCGGTCTCCTGACCGAGACCCTCCTCCCCGGTCTCAGCGTTGACCTCCGCGGTGCCCTTTCCCTCATCGGTGCCGGCGGTAGCCTCATTGACTTGACCCTCGACGCCCGTGCTGAGCTTGCTGCCTTCCTCGGTGGATGCACTTCCATTGACATTGATATTAGCATTCAGATCATCATCCTCCAATGGTTCACCGGCTGCAGCATCCCCGGTGCTCCTACTCCCTCTGGCCCTCCCTCGTCTTCCATTCCTAGCCTCCCCCACCTGCCCGGCACCTCCGTTGTGCCTTCCGGTCCCGGTGTCTCTGTCTCTGTCTCTATTCCCACCGGCACCTCTGTCCCCAGTGGCCCTGCTCCCTCTGGACTTATTCCCTCTGGACTTATTCCCTCTGGACTTATTCCCTCTGGACTTGCTCCCTCTGGACTTGCTCCCTCTGGACTTGCTCCCTCTGGACTTGCTCCCTCTGGACTTATTCCCACTGGGCTTTCTCCTACTGGCCTTGCTCCCACTGGACTTATTCCCACCGGAATTGCTCCCACTGGACCTGTCCCTAGCGGCCCTGCTGCCACCACCACCTCGCAGACTGTCACCTCCACTGTGATCCCCAACCCCAACGGCTCCGGCTCTATCACTGTCACTATTCCTGTTGTGCCCACCGGTGCTCCCGGGGCTAGTGGTCCCAACGGCTCTGGCCTCACCGTCTCCGTCCCAGGTCTGCCCACCGGCACCTGGCCCGCTGCATCTGGCCCTGCGCCTACCAGCCCTCCCACTGTCCCATCCGGTGGTGACTCTGGATCCGATAAGATCACCATCACCGCGACTGTGACTACCACCGCCACCGTGACTGCCACCGTGACCGCTACTGTCTGTGATCACGAGTAAAGCAGACACCATACCTGGACATATTCCAAAGCCACGACTTTAACTAGAAGGTCTCTCATATAGAATTTCATTCATCGTCTCTGTTAAATTTCTGTTTCTTGACCCCGTTTCATGACAATGGTTTTCAACACGTGGGGTGTCGACGTGGCTGTCCATGCACAAAACGTCCATCCCACCCTGCGATCTGCTGTCTCCGCCACTGGCGTCTCTGATGTCTCAGTAAATATCAATTATACTTCTGATCAGCCTGTGTGGGGATTGAAATACCCTGTTCATGATGTATATCGCATGTATACATATCGCATGTTCTAGTATTCTTATGTATGGCTCTGGGTGTCAGAAGTTTTTTTTATCAACTATGAATGACTTGGGCATATATGGATACCTTCGTTCACTTCTATGAAGTATATTCATTTGTAGTATCGCGTGACTTTTGAAATTATTTCAGCTTCTATCTTAAATCTTCCTAACTGGGCACGTCAATCATGATTAAAAAAAGTAATTGGAATTGTTACAAAGTACATGTACAGCGCTAAAACGCACACATTTCGTTGGCATAAATCTCAAAGTTCAAGTCGCACATGGCCAGTGTTAATCCCTCTCACTAGTTTTGCTGCTCTCGTTTTTAGTCCTGCTTTGGCTACTAGGCATTGCTCAAGTTCTCGCCAGATCGGCGATGCATAGCAATACATCTCTCACGAAGTAATTTCTCACGAAACTCAGATGAATGTATCCACAGAGAAATCGGATTCTTGGTCTAATTGTTATGAGTTTGTTAGTATCCGATTCAACAGAGCAACTTGGGAAACAACATGATAAGTGAAATTTTTAGACGAACATTAAGTAGGAATTAAATCTGGGTGGTAAAGGATACAAGGTGAGTGTTGCACCAGGAATTTCAATTCTCAATGACCAACCTGCTCGGCATCTTTTGTTTTTGTGTCATCAGCTTTGGACAGATCATCAGCTTTGGGCGGGTCATCCGCTTTGGACGTGGGTCGGGTGGAGTCCTCGTTCTCATCAGCCATCTTGCGTCGTTTCTCATCGGGGTTGTATATTTCCATAGAGCGGCGCCGCTTGCCGTCAGTATCCTTCTTGGGGCTGCGGCTGCGACTACGGCTCCGACCACCGCTGGGGCTGCGGCGTCGACGGTTCTCACCACGATCTCGTGTACCAGTACTGTCAGGGCTGCGGCTCAAGCGACGAGAATCGCGGTCTCGAGCATAGCGTCCAGATGAGCGGCGGGACATTGCGGGAGATACGGACTTAAGAGATTGGCGCCGGGCGTGGCGAGGCGACGAGGATACACTGCGGCTGCGAGAGACGGAGCTTCGTCGACGGCGGTCTCCTCTGGGGGAACGTGAGCGCGGGGAACGGCTGCGGGAAATGGGTCTTGCTTTAACACGGTCACCGTAATCCGGACTGCTGCGCCTTCTCGCTCCTCCACGGTTGCGTCGGTCGGGGGATACTGAGTTGCTTGGGGAACGGGGGTGTCGTTCGCGTCGCCTGTGGCGTGGCTCATCGCGGTTTCGGCGAGATGGCGACGACGGCTTTGGGGAAGATAGGGAACGGGTGCTGTGTGGAGACACGGATGGCCGGCGGCCGCGACGATTACCGGGTGGCACGTAGGAGTCAAAGTCACGTCGAGGTAGAGGCTCGCGGAATCGGTCTCGGCTGCGGTCTCGGTCTCTGGGAGGTGGAGATCTTCTGTTGAAGTCTCGTCCTCCGAGGGAGCGACCTCCACGGCCACTGCGGTCACCAGCTCTTCCTCCACGTCCGCGGTCTGGTCGCTCGCGCCGTCTCACATCATCCAGCTCTCGTTCACGGTGTTGGTCTTGTTCTCTTTGGCGTCGAAGTGCTTCGGCAGCTTTCTCGGCCTCGAGCTATAAGGTAATACGATTAGACAATATCCAAGCTCGAGAGTGCGCTTACAATCACCTTCTCTTGTATGAGCTCAAGCTTCTTAGCCTCCAGGAGCTCCTTCGGGACGCCCTGTGGATTGGCCTGACCGCTTAGACACAAGGACCATAGCTCTTGACAGAACTTGGGGGTATCTTTGTCTAGGAATCCGGTGAGTTGGATTTGGAGAGATTTGATATCGGGCTAGGATCAGAAACAGATGTCAGCAAACTAGGGTCGAGACACCAGATATCCGACAGCCCAACATACGTAGCGTGATCTCTCCAAATGAGCGAAACAGAGCTCAATAACGACGTCATCTTCATTCCCCAATATCTTGGAGATTTGACTTGCGATCCATCTACAGGAGGTGGGGGAAGACCAATGTCAGTACAGCGGAGATACCGAAAAAACCCCGAGGAAAGCCACTTACTTCTTCATAACTTCGACATTGACCTTGGTCATGTCCACTTTCTTATTAAACTCAGGGGGGAACTTAGTCCGCCGAATGAGCTTCGCATCCACGCTCGACGCCATTTTCGCTAGAATTTGGGGTGAGGGTAGGAAGGTTCATTGCGAGCAAACGCAGAGCGAGATAGATGCCGCGGTGTTCGAGACTTGCATTTGTGGTTGCTCGCGGGTGCCGTACTTTCGTTGTCGCCCGATTTATAAGGCGCCGATCTCGATGCCCAGTCAACTTGCCAAAAGAATATCTACAATATACTACCTACATATGTAGGTAGGTTTAAAATGCTGGTGGGGTCTTCCATGGCTATTTCTTTCTTTTTTAATCTTGTATAAAAGAACGAAAATGATATGCTGAGCTGGTTCTTTACCCGTGGGCCTTTTCCCTACTCTCATGTCTTCAAGTATATATGTCTCGGCCCCTACGAACAACTACCATTAATGTTTTTTTTTTTTTGCTTTTTTGTACACCATAAGGTGATGAAAATTAATTATTAGCAATTTCACTGCACTATACCCCGTAAAGGCTATATAGGTAAGCTAAGATGCACGACAAGTCCTCTATTTGGAGTATCTATATGGACTTTTAGTGGTCCGACAACTAGAGGCGACATCTTTATGTGATTTTCTTTTCTAGTTACAGTAGTTTGTTTGATGGTGAAATTTGATAGAAACATACACCTACACGATAATGTCCCTCTTGTCATTGCCAATTTTAACCTAGTAGTCTATAGAGCTGTGGACATACAAAGTCAAGTAGTAACTAACTATAAGTGGGGGTTGATCCGGCCGATCCCTTATGTGGTACGGAGTACGGACTGTGGCCTTTGGGGTCACTACAGGCATGATAACCCTCCTACTAGAACAAACCGGGGTATTATCAGACTAGAGCTGTGTCTATCTTTCTTTTCTGCAATTTCCTTCAAGCCCAGAATCACTTCTTTCATTGCTCTGGTATGTTGTGGGTTGAACGTCGCCATAGCAACAATAAACACGTGACTGTATAGCGCGCCCGCGACGGACTCTCGAGACTGGGCTTTCTCCAGGATCAACAAAACAATCGACAACTTTGGAGGGGGCCACATTGATCCACAACTTCAATGTAGGTATTATCGCCATGGCGTCCCCGAATTCCCTCCCAGCATACAACGAGCTGTACCGACAGCCACCTCGACCGATGTCCCGACCCGCGGTTTCACGCTCGGGTTCCAGACGGGTATCTCCATCAGCTTTGCCCAAACATTACTCTGGCGATAGCTCCGACGAAGAGGTACCGGAACCTAAATTTAGTGCTTCTGTAAAAGCCTTATTGCATGGAGATGGATTAGGTTCTTCGCCTCATCTACAAAAGTCACACTTATCGCACGAACCTCGAATTGGAATATCTAGACAGCAAAGCCGCTCACCCCGGAATTCGTCCCCACACGACTCATCTAATGGTAGCCCGGCTCCAAGAGTCGTTCGTATAGGGGCCATCTCATCCGGTTCTCGATTTTCACGCGAAGGCTCCCCACTATCAAATAGCCAGAGCGCAGAACCAGAGCACCACAACCGCCGCGATGATTTTATCACTCCCGCCCCACGCCAGCGCAGTGTTCGTATCAATGTTTCGCGCAGCAACACACAATCCCCTGCCTCTGCTTCGCCCTCCGGAAACCGCTCATCGGAACGCAACTCGGGTGATGAGTATGGTAGTGTAGATCGCTCGGATAGTGATCGGAAATCGCAATATGACGATGACCCAATGTCACGATATGGCCCTTCTTCTGCATTGCGGGGCCGTGGCGGCGAAGAAATCGCTCCACACAGCTCACTGCGTGTGAAGCGGGTTGGTCGACTTGCCGGCACTTTCTTGAACGGCCCTGCCCGGAGAGGCGTGCTACGACGCCAGAGCGAGGAAAGCAACGAGGAAAATCACCACTATCTCTCAGCCGACGGCATCCGAGAAGACATTGAAGGAGAGGAGGAGAATATCGAATACCGACCTCACAACCCAGCAAAACCCTCATCCCCCAAGGTGTCATGGGCTGACCCAAGTCCATCTCTCGTCCGTGAGCCTAATAGACCAGAATATCCGCTCCGCCCTGCTGAGGTTGAAGGACCGTTCTCGAGGTCATCTTCGCCAAAATCATATGGCTCAAAGTCCACCCCTGCTACATCAGAAATGTCTTCCAAATCCTCGATTGCGAAGGAACAACCTGTATTCAAGGTTCCTTCAATGCCGGCTTTGCCATCGGTACGTGACCAAGAGAATGAACCACCACCAACTTTCCGGCGCACAAAGCCCCAAGTATTGAATGTGTTGGATAAACCTGAAAAGTATAATGTTGTTTACGATATCGAGAAGAAGGACGCAGCGGAGACGCCAGCAACGAACTCTGCGCGAAAGATACTTGCCACGCGGAGCAACAACACCCCTCATAGGGCTCCTCCTCCTCCTCCAAAAATGTCAGTTCTTGAGACTGCTACTTCCACAGGAGGCGCATCGGCATCACAATCACGAAAAAAGAGGAGTCAAGTCGCTATCAATGGCAAGCATTTCACTCGACTTGATTGCATTGGTCGAGGCGGTAGTTCGCGTGTCTATCGAGTGATGGCTGAGAATTACAAGATCTTCGCTCTCAAGCGTGTCAATCTTGAAGATGTCGATCCAGTGACTTTGACTGGATATAAGGGTGAAATCGACCTGCTGAAAAAGTTGGAGAATGTGGACCGTGTCGTGCGCTTGTTTGACTGGGAGCTGAACAATGACAAACATGCTCTTAGTGTGCTTATGGAGATTGGAGAGTCTGATCTTGAAAAGATTCTCACATACCGCTTAAACGCGGAGGATGCTGTTTTTGATATCAACTTTACCCGTTTTTATTGGAAGGAGATGCTCGAGTGTGTCCAAGCTGTCCACGAGTACAACATCGTCCACTCGGATTTGAAGCCGGCCAACTTCCTCATGGTTCAAGGCCGGCTGAAGCTCATCGACTTTGGAATTGCAAATGCGATCCAAGATAATACGGTCAACGTTCATCGTGAACAGCAAGTTGGCACACCCAATTACATGTCCCCCGAAGCATTGGTTGATTCCAACGTGTCCCTCGGTCTGCCTGCAAGTGTTGGAAAAGTTATGAAATTAGGAAAACCCAGCGATGTCTGGAGTTTGGGTTGTATTCTGTACAAGATGGTCTACGGACAACCACCATTCGCAAAAATCGCCAAATATTATGAACGCATCATGGCTATTCCCAACCCCCGTGTACAAATCGATTTCCCAGCCTTTGGCGTCGGTGGCATTCCAGTGCCCCCTGGCCTTGTTCGGACTCTCAAGCGCTGTCTACAGCGCGACCAGACTCTCCGACCAACTATTGAGGAGATGCTTGGTCCGCGCGATCCATTCCTGCATCCAGATGCCCAGCTTGAGGGTGCTGTTCCGGTCACCCAGGACATGCTCGGCCGTATTCTGGCCAACGTCGTTAACCACTGCAAGGCCCGCGGTGTACCTAGGGAAGAGGAATTGGCTGCATGGCCAGCAGGATTCTTTGCAAAAATCAAAGCCGCCCTTGAAGAAGAAAATGCATGACAACACCCAACCACTCCTTTCACTTTATTTCCTTTGTCTTGACTGCCCTATTGGCGTTTTCTCATTTTCCATTCTTGGTTAGAACGACTTAATGACTGGTGTTGGATGTGTTGATCTTTTTCTGTCTGGGTCTGGTTGATTAATTTGCGGGATATCTGACTGTTTGTGTTTCTTTGCATTGTCTCTTCTCTTCCTTCTACATCATCCTTCGGGTTGTTTGTCTGCCCCAACTACGTTGCCTTGTGGTGGGTATTTCATGACGAATTTCGGTTCAGCGCAGCGTGTGTAAATGATTTCATTAGCCTTTTCTTTTTTTTTTCTTGCATCCGGATGGATACTGTTTCAGTGTCAGTGTTCCTGGAGTGACAATAACTCTCCATTTGATCAAATTGTTTATTTGACAACCTTCCTCTATCTTCTTTACTTGGATACTGCATGTTTCTTGCTCTGTGGGCTACTTGGAAATTGGATCAAGTCTTTGATCCATCATCTTATGATCTCTACAATGGAAATGCGGCTTGTCTTCATAAAATCATAGTTGATAAATTCCTGACTATCTAAAAACTAGCTGTGTCCATTCAAAAGCCAAATATGCGGAATACTTTTCGTTTGAAATCAATGGACTTGACTTTGCGCCATTAACACCGCCCAAGAGTAGAACAGTCTTGATAGACTGTATGTGTCAAGAAATGAAAATATAGAACTGCCTGAGCACGGAGGTATCAAAGACAGACGGGTTGGTTGTCTGCCGGGAATGTAGAGGAAGTGCTTGTGGTCAATTTAGACAAGGAGGACCCTAATATAGGTTAGTTTGAGATATAACATAAGAAATAAGAGTGATCGAAGGAACTTACGCATTAACACAACCATCGTTCTCAGGAGTGTTGGTCACCTGGGCCCACTTACCCCAGACAACCTTACCGGAAGTGGTAACGAGACCCAACTCGGAGACGTTGACCTCAATGATGGTTCCCTTGGTCAAGACACCCAGCTGGGTATAGAGAGGGTTCTGGGGGTTCTTCTTGACGGACAGGATGGGGAGTTGCACGGTGACAGCCAGCTCGGGACTGAAGTAGAAAAAGTCAATATACCATATCCAACCGAAATGAGCTGGAGGGTGAGCATTCTCCTCCCAGAGATAAAACATACTGTGTGACGTTACACTTCTTGTAACGCAGACCCATGGGGCGAATGAACCGCTCGTACTTGACGGGACGACGGGTGAAGTCGCTGCCAACGAAAGTAGGCTTGGTGATCATACGCTTCCAGGCCTTCTTGTGAGTCTTCTTTCCGGTGTTGATAACCTTGAACATCTCCTCTTCACTGATACCCTTGACCTTAGGCAGAGGGACAGCGAACTTAGCAGCCTTCTCATTACGCTTGTTCTTGATGGCACTGGAGAGGGCCTTGGCGTTGGTCTCCTGCGAGCGATCGAGCAGGTACTGGGGCAGAGGGGTCTTGGAAGGCTCGTCGGGTGCGGCGGACTTGACGTTCTTCTCCTCCTGGGCCCTGATGCGCTTCTTCATCTGAATCTTCTCCTTGTGGCGATTCTGCTGGTACAGCTTGGCCCGCAGACCACGCAGGTTCTGGGCATCGTGCGACGCCTTGTGTCCCTCACGGGCCTCACGCTTGCGCTTGCGCTCATCGTGATCAAGGCGCTTGCCGTGCTGCTTCTGCCAGCGCTCGATATACCTGGTGGGAAAATGTCAGTTGGAGATCGGGTGGTGGCTGGCGGGGAGAGACGAACTCGTTCTGAGGCTGTAGGTAGGAAAATAGTTAGTAAATTGATGGAATTAGACACTGAGAGATTGGAAAATTATTAAAAGCATACCATGATGAACGAAGAATGAACAACACAAGGTGAATGGGTGATGAAGTTCTTGCCTTGAAGATCTAATCGAGACCGAAAAAGTTGTGATGCGGAAAAGATAGTGAGACACGTGACGCTTCTTATCGGTAAGGCCGTTTCATCAACTTTTATAGATTCAAGGAATATTGTAAAAATTGGATATCAAAGAGTAGCAATTTGAAATAGGGATGATACAAGAGGTTTCTTTACAGTCACTACCAAAATATTGGCCTCTTCTCGCTCCAAATCTGCATCTTCAACTTGCATTGTAATCATCACGTGATACTACGGGTGACAGAGCGGCCATTTGCGCAAGTAGTGAATTTCTCTAGTTACGGGGAAACCGCTCTTCTATCTTGAATATCAACCACCACAAACCACTTCCACACTCGATCATTGAGCATTGGCAAGCGGTCAGTCAACATGTTCTCACGCTCTGCTCTCCGGAGCCTCGCCTCCGAACTGCGCTGGACTGCGCCGTCTACAATCTCATCCGCAGCTCCCCTGCAGCAACGAGCATGCCTTCACCAAAGTGCATCTTTGATGAATTCGCAACAGCCCCAGAGCCAATCGGCATCCAGCCACCCTGAATCACCTCTCAGCGCCACTCCCCGGGCACAAGATACCCAACCGAAGACTTACCAGGGCGTCACGGCCGCCAATTTCGACGAAAACACCATGACACCCCAAACACGCGCACACGTTCCCATTGCTAAGCAACCCGTTGCCCCGACCTTCAACTCCCCTCTCAAAGTGACAAAATCCCTCATGTCACAGCTCCCCCACCTTGCCGGCCAGAAGCCACACTACATCGTCGCTCAACTACACGCACGACCATACCTCTTGACAGAAGGTGATCACATCCGGTTGCCCTTCCTCATGCCCAAGGTTAAGGCAGGCGATATTCTGCGATTCAACCGTGCTTCGGCACTTGGATCCCGCGACTTCACAATGAAGGGCACACCGACTATCGACGAGCGTATCTACGAGTGCCGGGTCCGTGTGACGGGTGTGGACGCGGAGCCGCTGCGCATCAAGGAGAAGACGAAGCGGAGACAAAGACACGTTAAGCAGGCTAAGAGCAAGCACCGCTATACGCTCATGCGTGTTATGGATGTGCGTGTGAAGACGCCGGATGAGTTGTTGGCGGAAGGTGCGGTAGTCGTGGAAGACTCAGAGGATAGCTCAGTAATTGAACCCAGGTCATAATTGGGTTGTTCGGTGTTTGGGAGAAGCTTTTTTTGAGGCGAAAATGTGATGCCGGATCATGATCCGATAGTGGTTCGAGGTATTGACAGTACTATTTGGTCGAGATATGGTTTGATCTTTGGGCTGTTGGTAATTGTTTGCCGTGATGCATTGATATCTCTGCGGCATATTGTACGGATAGATGGATTTGGACTGTTCTCTGTATGCATTGTATTCTATAGTATTGAATTTTTTTTCTGAAGATCTCTCTATTGCAACCTTGGAATAGTGTAGGGCCTCTTTACACAGGCTCTTCCCAGTGCTTGGGTCGGCTTGAATTACCATCGCGTCAACACTGAGTTTCATCCGACAAAGCCCAATATCTCATCCGCAATCTTCTCAGCAAATGCATACACAATAGATTGGGGATGACCTGGCGGCAGAAATGGGAAACTACTGGCATCGACAACTTTCAGCCCCCGCACACCATACACATTGGCATGGCTGTCAACCACAGCCATCGTGTCATTCTTGCGTCCCATCTTGCATGTTGCTGACGCATGGTAAACAGTAATCATACTCTGATGGATGAACTCGAGGATCTGAGCATCAGTAGAAACATTAAAGCCTGGGAAATACTCCTCATGCTCAGCCACGCCTAGCTTAGCCAATTCCGCCCAAATTTGCCGTTGCCGCTTGAAACCCTGAATAGCAAGGTCTACATCGGTTGGATCTGTAAACCATTGCGGGTCGATCAAGGGTGGAGTGTTCATGCTAGGGCCGGCGAGACGGACTGAGCCTCGAGATAGAGGAGCAATCAATGCTCCACTGAGGGTTGCATACTGATGTCCATCCTTTGGATCGGCTGTGACTTTGTTGAGATTATAACCGTTGAATGCACTGACGGGTAACCATTCTAGTTCCGGCCAGTCAGGTGGGAAACTTGATAAGGCGAGACGAGATTCGCGAGTCAGGTTTGAGCGGAATGGGTCAGGCAATTTCTCCCAACTATAGTAGCCTGGCCCAAATATAGAAAGAGGCCCTGTGGCATTTTCTGTATATTGCTTCACATTAAGTGCTGCGATAGTTGCGTTGCTGGCTGAGGCTGAAGTTGTGAGAACATTCACGCGGTGTGAAATCGGAAATGTTGGGTGGTCTTGCATGTTCTGGCCCACGCCTGGGAGGTTCTTGATACAGGGAATGTTAAAGCTACGCAGATGGTCGCATGGTCCAATGCCCGAAACCATCAGTAGCTGAGGAGACTGAAAGGCACCGGCTGATATAATGACTTCGGTGCGAGCATGGAGTGTAAAGTTGACCGATCGAGTGCCAAAGGTGCCTCCAGTCGATACTTGGACCCCTGTTGCGTGCTTATCATCGCGGTCAAATAAGATCTTTTGCGCCATGGTATTCTTATACACTGTGGGTCCGACACCTTTGCTCAGCACGGTCTGAAGGAAGCTGGACTCGGAGCTGGAGCGATGTGCATTTCGCGGGTCGATGGTATAGGTCACAAAGGCAGAGCCAAGCAGTCCACCGCTGTTGAATCCATCAATCTGCTTCATACCAAGGGCGAGAAATGCCTTCTGGCACCATGTTCCAAATGCATGCACAGCATTGCTAAAGGAGACCTCTAGGGGCCCTCCTGTAGGACTGAATGCATCTGGAGTCTGGCTGTTCGTGGAATTGCCGTATAACGCCTGGTTGGGAGGAGTATAGTGAACAGACTTTTTGAAGTACGGCAATAAGCGCTCGAATGTGTAGCTCTGGTCATCTACCTCATCGGCCCAGCGCTGCATGCTGTCAATCGTCGGCCGTTGATAGAGCATGTAGTTCCTAGCCGAGGAACCTCCTAAAGTCTTGCCTCGGGCATAATGCAAGACCCGGCCTCCCGATCCAGGCTGGGGCTGCGTACTGAAGCCCCAGTCGATGAGCGGCTGGTAGTCTGTTGGGTCTGAGCCTGTGTAATGGCTGGAATATCCAGGAACTGTGGAGTAATTGCCATTGTCGGTTTCATAGAAGCCGCCCGCCTCAATAACTGCAACGCTCACGGTTTGATTCTCTGCCAAACGACTTGCAATTGTGAGCCCGGCATTGCCTCCGCCAACGACCACATAGTCGAAAGTCGCATTCGCGCCAGAAATGCCGAAAGACGTGCCAAGCAATGACCCCGAATTACCGTAGGCAAAGAGGTTCAAGTTCGGCGGAGTCGCCGATGCAAATCCCAGCAGGGATGAGGCGAGGAGAGCACACACAATATCAGTAGGGTGCATCACTGGAGCAGGTGGCTAGATTTAGAATGCTGTCGTGAAAGAAAAGAAAAATGTCTACGGAGTATGTTGCTGTAGATTGAAAGCACACACCGATCATTCAGATATCACATGAGCTCGCGCATGAGTAACCTTGGAATTTTCTTGTGCATATTGGATACATCCAGCCGGTGGGACCTTCTTTGGACCTTCCAATGGTATTTCGTGTGAAAGGAAATTTCGATAGAAAGCGCATTATTAGGGGGTTCCCTCTGTGGCCAAGAAAGGAACAAAACCTATGTACTCCGTATGCACCGCAGGGAATCGTTGATGCAACATTTATATGGTTTCGGGTTTAGGGTCCAAATGCTTGAAATGAAATAATTGGAGGTTAGAAAAGTTGTTAAAACAAATCTTTGAATATAAAAAATAAAATGATGCAATGATATATCTTGAGACCTGGGTATCATACAACAAAAGACCACCACTATAACGCCAACAAGACCTAGTAAAGATTCCTCACAAATGCAGCTGCAGAGGCCGCTCTGTTCGCTCTGTGCATCCTATAAAGACTCCGACTCAGGATGCTGATGAGTTTCATTGAAATGTTGGACTGCGATATCCACCCGACAATTCATTTAGCTGGCGTATGGAAGCGGGACGGTTGTGCTGTTGTGTCGAACAAGATGGATTACGGCTCATGGAGCTGCTTTCCTCATCACAGAACGACCTTCGGCCAGATATTGAGGGCCGATTCTGGGCGAAAACAACATCAGCGCTATTATTTCTAGTTGAGGCTACTTTTGTTGCGCCATAGAACCGGCGAAAGAGAGGTCGAAGCGTTGGAAGACAGGCACATATTATCCCGACGGATTGCTCAACCGTGGACCAAGTGGCCGGGACAAGGCTTGTATAGGTCGGATCGGGGATGACTGCTGATTTGACACTGACTATACGGAGAATCGAGACGATACAGACGCTGGTGTATAGTTAGTGATATATCCCATTTTGATATGCGAAAGAAACCTACAAGCCACCAAGTAAGAAGATTCCGGATAGAATAAACTTTTGTCGAGTCGTTGTATTTAGCCGCCAGGCCATTGGAAATGGGAGGCAGAGCACGATGAAATCAAGGACCATATTCCCAATGCCATTCGCACGGAAGAATGTCACTTCGTTGATGCAACGATCCGGCTCGCGTGTATCCCATGCTTTGGATAGTGGCAAACATCCCACAAGCGCAGTAAGTGAACATGCGATAAAGTAGGCAACAGCCAGAAAGGCAACGACCCAGATGGCCCAACGAAAGCTTCTGACAATACCGAAAATGCGATAGAAGAGAAGCAGTAACGACGCCTTAGTAAAGACGGTATTGGTGAAGTATAGAACTTGAACAGCTGTGAAGCTCTGTATACTGGTTAGAAATTGTATTGATAGCCAGGTTTGGATGGAATACCTTTCCAAATTCATCAAGTTTATCTTGTGACACATATTGAGCGTGATGACCATAATCGTACAACGCAACCTGCGCCCATCGTAAAGAATCCATAGCCCAATTGATCGTCTAGCCTCGTTACCTCGTGTGTTCGTTTTGGGATTGAGACACTAAAGCTCAAGGGCATCACTTACTAGAGCCCCCACAATGGTATAGTCATCCCACCACAGGCTAGCACGAGCGATATGACGGGCAATAAATCGCAAGATTACGCAAATGGTAGCCGGGATAATGCTGACAATTGTACCAACCAGGATGCGCCATGAAATATCATCATTTGGCTGATCCTGAACTGGTGCCATGGAGGCAATTTCATTAGCTATAGAAGAAGCAGTTCTTCATTTCCAACACCACCCATTTATAGGAGGATGTACTTTATTTACTCCTCCTGATGGATATAGGATACAATCTGGAAAGAGTCTGGAGAAACTGGAGCCGATCGCTGGAGCCGATCGATGTGCACGGTCATGTTGCAGGGCCTTTTGCTTTTCTTCCATTTTGCAAAATGGATATTGTCCGGATCGGGCGACATGATCTCACAGCCCGAATGTCAGCATCATCAATTGTAATTGGTCTTGGCGGAATTAGGCGAATCACGATTCACCGTTTCTAAAAGACCATGAAGATTGCAGATCGTACGTATGTTCTGGTTTGAATGTTCTCAAAGAATAATTTAGTTGAGAGGGACATTCCACAGGGCTTGGAAGAGCCGAACAAAATGATCTATAACATTGGATTTTCGCGTTGAATGAAAAGCTAATAATATCCTAGTCAAGATTAAATAAAATGATTCAATATGCTCTGCTGGAAACATGAATATAAAACTAACACTAGAAATTTGAAGCCATGATCTGCCGAAAAGAATATAGTAGAGTGTTCAAACATTGAAACAGGCGCTATTAGTATAAAGCGATTCATCCTATATAACCTCCCTTAACTGCAGTTTCTGTCGGCAAATTTCCAATGATTTCTGTTGCATTACGGCATATAGATGGAACTCATCAGCCACACATGCCCCAAGGAGCCGCTGGAAACCATCGAGGTCCGGATCCGCGCTCATAATCAATTGCTTGGACTGGGAGACACCACCCAAGTTGGAATTGAAAATTCCTCCCGCAGATAAAGGAAGGAAGTCTTCGTATGTGATAGGCTCATAACTCAGGATCTGCTTGTCGAGGAGATCCTGAAGTGATATTGGATGCAGTTTTTCCTCCGATAATAGGCTTTCGTTAACCGACTGGTCATTCGGTGATGTCAAGCGATAGATGAAATATCCCAGTCTCAGATCGTGAAGCTCTGACAGGCTATCGGGAAACTCTTTGAAGCGCTCTGCCAGTAGCGTGTCATAGGCCTCTCCTTTCAGCCCATTCTTCGCGGCTTCTGCATTGACTCGGTCCAAGATTTGATCATAAAGCTGGCGTCCTTCTCGAGTCAAAGCATAGCCTCGTTGCTCCACTTCGCCAAATCGTGCTGTGTGGGAGCCCTTCACATAGGAACCAGACGGATCCTTGAAATAGACAGTTTCCTCCAGCGCCTTGAAGCTTGTCTGCCGCAGAAGAATTGGGCACGATCGTTTCGGTGGTCCCTCGATACGCTCTTTGACAGGCATTCCGTGATCCAACATCAGTTTCTGTACAAGATCGATATCAATCGTTCGAGGCGTTAAATGGTTGATATGGGAGCTGGGAAAAGAGACGACGTCCGCAATCAGAGGATGCTCAGCTTTCAGCTCCTCGTATTCTTCAAAGGTGACTGTTGCTTTCGAGTGCCACCTAAATGTCTCCAAGCCATTGCTGATGAGCTCTGTGCATTGATCCGATGCCAAGAAGCCCTGGCTTTCCGCAATATCCAACAGGGCAAGAAGTCTGGGTGTGAATATATTTCTTTGGTCCAGCGCTTTCTGCGCTAGTTTCCGAGTTCTTTCTGTCAACAGTTCCATCCGCAATACTGTCGTGAACACGCGAAATGGGTTCTCGTCGAGCGCCTCTTGGGTATTTGGTCGGAAGGCTGTGGCGTGCATGGGGAATCCAGCGAGGCTGAGGTCGTAGTAGCCCACAGGATGCATTCCCATCACAGCAAACATACGCCGAATTGTAGCCAGCTCATGGGCTGTGCCCAGTCGGATGGCTCCGTGTCTCTCAACGCGATGCCGGGCGGGTAGAACATCATCTGGGTTTATAACGTGGTTACCCTCGATATTGTGGCTGTCTTGAACTGTTTTCGCGTCTGCATTCCAGACTACATCTATTAGGTCGCCGTAGAGAGGAACTTCGCTCTTGTACATTTCTGAAAGGGCATGACAGAAGTGCGCTCGCAAAACGTTCTGGTCGTAGGCCATCTTGGAGGGTTGTTTAGAGAGATTATTTGACTGGATAATGAATGTCGAGGAGCATAGAGGGTCGGTAGTAGTGTATTAGGATTGAGTAGGAATGAAGGCTGATACGAACTGTAGTATTGAATTGGCCAAGCCCCATTTTATATATCTGTGAAGGTGCATGGAATGTCACTAGAGAAAGCAGCTGATCTCGACTCGCCATGCTTACTCGTTGGTTATCTCCGTCGGGGTAAGCCACAGATAGATAACTCCCCAGACTGGGCTACTATATCCGTAAACCCGCCCCAAAAGTCAAAAATCAACCTGAACATCTCATATATCTCTATGTATCTATGTATCTTTGTATCTACTATATTTATAGATAGATAGATAGATAGAGAATTTCCTATCCTATACAACCAAAGGTACTATAATATGATAAGCTGAAAGTTCATAGTAATACAGAGGGGAGGGTAGTATATCTTATACAACACATCTATTTTGTTGATGATGGTATGATTTAATAAAAAGATCGGGTTTATTTTCCATTTTCGGTAGTTGCGGATATATGGATACTTTCCCGGTAGAACTATACATCAACAGGAATCTTAATCGTCCCAAACAGCTGCAGATGCAGGCCCATTAGCACGAAATCATTTAACGGCGAGTTCAATGTCAATAGGAGGCGAGATCGTCTCATCAGCCGCAACATTGCCTACACGGACACATGGATTGTCCCTCGACACACCATGGTCTATTCTAGTATAACATATTGATCTAACAAGATGACGGGGACTCCTTACTTTAGTTTCCGGCAACGGCACAAACACAACGTGTATAAGTATTCAGATGAGCGCTGACCCCATTATCGAACTATATGTACGTAGAGAGTATGTTGCGGACACAAGAGTTCGTACGGTCAGCTGGCATGAGCCCAAATAAGAGAAGCGAAACTGGGAACCCAATTTGGTCTGCGTATACTATTAGTCATAGCTTCGTGTATTATATGAAGAAATCGCCCACCTGCTATTCGTGGAAATGGTGAGAAGGATCATGCTAAGAAGCCACAGGAACTTGAAACTACTGTCCGTTACAACAGTGATCTCGGAGGCTGATCTATATGATATGAGGGGGGAAAGGGAGGAGGAAGATGGATTTAACAGTGAGAGAAGGGCAGCATCATGCATCTGGACTTGGTTAACGAACAATCCCAATAAGGTGCATATGTATATAGGCAGGCACTAGTATGTTTGGGCTTTCAGCAGAAGGATCCTCAGGCAAACAACTAGATCACCTGCAATGGTCCTCAAACAGAATAGGATCAATATTTTTCTTCAAAGCGAGAGATTTGGGCTATTCAGCATATTGGAAAACGGGTGTCTAATTAGTTAAACATTATGTATTTATACCCGTCCACAGGTAGACTTCATCCATATCCTCTTCCAGATGCCCTTTTGTACATCTTTCTAGTCTTTCAAAAGGTTCTTGGAGTGTTACGATAATCTATGCTACATAAATCTATATATTATAAATACTGTTATATTGTTATACTGACCTCATCACGGAGGCTCAGAATGACGGTGTGAATGTGTTCAGGGAGCGCACCTGCCCAGGCGTACAATGAGACCTTGGAGATCCCCAATTATCTCCAAGCCCCTGACTAACTGACAACACTGCCCATATATGCAGACGATAGGATCTTGAAACCCCGGTTCCTTTGATGACACCTCTAGTGATGAAATCCATCCACAATTTGATATCACCACAGAGGATCGAGATGACAGTGCCGATACGCTTGAAGTCAACAATGACCGGGATCATAATCTATTCGCCGCTGATGTTAAAGGAGACCTGGTCTTCTCGGACTCTGGTTTCCGTTCATTTCACATGTCCTGCTTAAAGACGAGGACCAGCCGCCTAGACGGTTGGTGACCGGGATGAAGTAGTCACGCTTGAATCCAAGTCTTACACGTCTCCCACTTCCTTCCATGGTACGCGTCGACGTCGAACGTGTGATCAAGTGCAAAGAGGGTGATGGTATGCAAATGCGACTCGGAATTTTCGACCAGATCCAGTCAATCAACTCGGCTCTTGCTATGAACGTAAGTTGCATTTGCTTGTTTCTTTTTTCTATGAATACGTATTCGTCGAGCATTACTAACTTCGTCTTTCTCAGGATTCTACCCAAGAACCGCGGATAGTCGACGATGCCCTCAAATCCATTATTGCGGGCAAGGGAGTCTCTGCGTTATGTGAGCTTGTTTTCGGGAATGCAAGTTCTAGAACACCTACGTTTGGTCGAGATAGGCTGCTTTCGATGGTCTGCATCAGCATGAAGAGATTGAAATACCACCAGAGATCATGTACCAGCCCAGCCAACGCCGAAGTCGACCTTGCTACATACCCTGCGCTTGGGTGTTAGTTTATTCAGTCATACACATAGCGATTAAACAGCCAAATCGTGGGCGATACGTGATTCCGTCTACAACGAAGAGGTCTCTTATTTGGTCTCGATGGATCCAATGCGAACCTAGATCATCAATGACTTCAGATTCTCCGTGGATAGCGCTCTTCGCTTTCTGTTGCTTTCCATTCACTGGGTATTTCAGAAAGGATTTTGATACCGTCTTTCTGCAGACTCGAGTCATACACCCTAGGAAAACAGCCAAACATCAAGCCAGAAACGAACATCGCTGTCAGAAGAGATCATTTCTACACTGTCCCTAAAACAGCCGCAAAATTCATCAAAAGAATAAAATCATAATTCGTCATCCAATCTATATACATAATCGATGTCTATAAACATTGGCGGAAAAGAAACCCAAAAAGCACGAAACACAATAATCCGGTCCAATCTAGATATTCCAAGCCAGGGTAATTCCGTCGTGACAAAGTAACTGGTTTTAAGTCTGCTGTGCAAGCAGACTCGGTACATGGGGTACATGCACCCATAATCAATAAAATTTCAAATTAAATCAAGCGCTTCATGTCAGAAAATCAAGAACAAATTCCCAAGAAAACGCCGCAGTAGAAGGGGAAATCATGACAAGACGTGAGGTAAATGCGAGGTCGGGGCGGATTTTAGAAGTATAGATGGAGCCGAACCCAGGAGAGATAGTAGAGGTGAAGGTTATCACAGCGGCGCCATGGAAGCTTCCCCATCCTCCATATCACTAACAGACGTAGCTGGCGATGCAAGCCCCGACATAACCGAGCTCGAAGGCCCGGCGCCGGCCGCATCCATCATAGCATCATCGTAAGAACCAGTAGCCGTAGACGGCATGCGCGGTGGGGCATTCTTGCTATTCAACGCCATGAGCTCTGCGATTCCGGGCTTCGCGGGGACGTGCTTATGCAGCGCGGTGGCATTATCGAGACTTTGTAGAGCGAAGCCCATGAATTCAGCGTTCTTGTGGCTGACACCTAGAGTCCAGCGGTATTCACACAGTCGGACGCGGTAGAAGTCTGCTTCTTCGTTTGTCGGGGCAGTAATGCGCAGGAGCATGCCGAAGGAGCCAATGAGGGAGAAGTTGGTTCTGGCCGAGGCGGGCCAGAAAGAGCGGAGATGAGCGGGGCGGAGACGGTTGACGAAGTCCATTGCGGAGATGAGGCGGGTTTTGGCGGCGGAGCGGCAGATGTGCGCGAGGTACTGGTCTGTGCCTTCGGCGAGGAGGGAGCGGACGATGCAGCGGTGGAGGGTTATTTCGGTGGCGAAGTAGGCGAGGTGGAGGGCGCCGTTGCGGGCGTGTTCGTCTGTGATTGTTTCGACGAGTTCGCCGGTGGAGGTTTCCATCTTGAGTGATGGTGGGAGCGAGGAGAACCAGTCCTTGAGCCGGATTTGGGCTGGTTTGGCCTTTTCTAAGATCATGCGTGTACGCTGGTTTCCGGCGGCGGAGAACTCTTCAATGGCGTGCAGTGTGTAGAATCGGTCGAGAATGTCGGAGAGGATGGTTGTTAGTGCGACCATGTGGCAGAAGAGGAGAGGGCCGTGGCCGACGGCGGTTTCATCGTGTGATGAGTCAGTGCCGGAGGCAAAGGCGTCTGAGAAGTCCTGCTCCACGAGATCCTTGACTGTCCAATTGAAGGCGAAGATATGTGAGGGGCGGCCGTGCACCAGCGACGACCATTTATCCTGCATATACAAAGCCCACGCGAGCCGTTTCCGCAGACCCTTCTCCCAGGTCTCCATGCGCCAGTTCGTGCAGTCCTGATGCAGGCCCAGTTCGAAAGCGGCTGTAACCAGCTGACCATTTAACGATGCCGTAGCTAGAGTCGATTTCTGTGTCAGCAGGAGCCCGGCTTGGATAGTCGAGACACTGGGGAATTGCAAGGACTCCATCAGCAGCTTCAAGGCGGAAGCCTCCAGCCGTGCGGCATCGGGTTTGCGTGCAGTTTGCGAGGTGGCACCGACGTCGACGAACTTCAATGTCAAGACGTAGACTGCGGCGAGTAGGAGTGGTGAGAGGTTACGACGCTCACGGTATGATTGGCGGAATGCTTCTTCTATCAAAATCGGGAACGAAGGGTGTACATGGTCGAAGAACTTCTCGATGAGTGTTGAGCCGTAGGGAGCGACTAGACTCTCAATGGCATCGAGTGACAGGGCCTGTGAGTCACCGACGGGTACGGTATCGACAACGCGCATGAAGGTGCCATCGTCGGCACATCTCCGTATGCGGGAGTTCGAAACGGTACATTCGTCATATTGGTCTAGTGGTAGATAATCCAGTAAGGTCGGTTCCAGCTCGGTGGTCATGCCAATATGCTGGGTTGACTGGTTAAAGAACCCGGGGCGAATCATGTTCACTGCTAGCGGGTGAGACTCGGTCTCCGGAGCAGAAGGAGCCGGTTGAATTGTGGAGGGTCTGAAGATTGTTAGAACATCATCTTTCTGCCTCTCTCTATAGCTGAAGTATATATCCCCCAACTGGAATTTCCATACCGCTTAATTGATTCTGTAAGTTCCGGTTCATCCAATTTCCTCTTCTTGGATGGCAGTTCGGATTGAGTGAGGCTGAAAGTACACTCCTGGCGGTGAAAGTCGCATGAGTAACATTTATTGACCATTTCGTTCATTGCACATCTGCTCTTTCTGCGGAGACAAGCGTCACAGCTAGCTCCATTCCGTACGCGGGGAAGGTTCGAGTTGACGGAGATGGGGGATGGAGAGAGCGTTGGGGTCGAGGCCGTCTTTCGGCGAAGATCAGGTGAATGGGCTTGGGAATAGCCTGACTGAATGATAACGGTAGCCATATGTGGAGCTAGTCAGGGTAAGATAGAAAACGATAGGGTCCGGAGTTTCCTCTCTCCGCAATATCTCTCTATCTAGGGATCTAGGGATCTCTAGCGTCAATCACTTTTTCTGAATATATACCGAGTCAGTCATTGGATAAGAATCATAGTGATAAGACACACATACGCTTATCAGGTAAGAAAGAAAAAAAAAAAAAAGGGTGTTATCTTGAAAGATCACGATAATCCCAAGCCGGCACCGGAGATCTATAATATATATAGATCTTATATATATTCAAGCACATGAACCTGCAAGTGATTGTAGCAGGATGAGATACTGTATAGTTCGCTCCGTCATTCCTATGGGAAATTCCGAGAGGAAGAGGAAGAGAAAGGGAAAAAGTAATGTATGCCCGGAATATAATGCGATGACATCTACGATCCAAGTAATATGTAATGTAAACTACGGGTTTATACCTGTGAGAAGATCATGTCTTTTGCTCTCGTAACAAAAACTAAATGCAATTAAGAAGAAAAAGGGAAATTATGACACTTGGAATCGTTCAAAGATAAGTCGGACTTTGCTGATTGGTTATGAAAGGAGACATGGCATTACGTACAATATCCATTAGGTCAGCATCTTCATTATATATTTAACATACATATAGCTATATATATACCTAGTTATATACAAAAGTACAAAGTAGTCGAATAGAAATCAAACTAGATCAAATAGTTAGATAATAAGAATATAAGAATATTATTTAATCCCCCTTTGCATGGCATTCTGACTGGTCAAAAGGGATATCCCGAACCAATCATCACCCAGTGATAACGGTCTTGCACCTGACCAATCACATTGTATTCTTCTACTAAAGTCGCAGTAGCGCCCGAAGTCTCAGAGAAGGAGACTGTGGGGTGTTTATACTTTGGGTATAATGTGGAGGTGCAATATATGCATGTGTGTACGGAGTACTATATGTGTACTATATGTGTGCTATATATGTGCTATATGTGTACGTTGAACATTCCAAGGTCTACTCCGTACTCCGTAAATATGCAATGTATCTGTATCATATTCCTGAAACTTCCTATTTAAGCTAGTTCAACCCGGAGTCAATCATTCCTTCCCCGGTACTTCAAACGGAATGGAACGGCCTTGGCTTAACAGCCTAGAGTGTAATAAGAAATGAGTGGCAATGGTTGGCTCGGGAGCATTTCTATTATGAATCATCAATTCCCCCATATGTACCTATGGTATGTTAATCCGTCGGATTCTCCATTGGGAAATCCTGAAATTCAGAAAAAAAAAAAAAACAAACGCCTTGAAAACTCCATGCTCCTAAAATGAGAAACCCCCATTCCAACGGTGGAAATGCGATCAACTTGGCTTGGTATCCGGGGGTTTTTTTTTACTCGGTGAAGTTCCGCAGCTTGGTCAGCTCATCCAGCAATTCTTGCAAGTCTCCATCGGAGATCTTGTTCTGAAGACTAGGGATGAGAGACTTGGCTTCCTCGGCATTATCGCAACAAAGACTACCTGTTCAGAGGAAGATCCAAGTCAGTAAAATCCAAGTCACTTTTTTTCCTCTTCAACAAAATCCAGGTACAAGTACCATGGATTTGCATGGGGGAGCACGAAACAAAACTCACCCAGCTGCGACCGCTCAAACATCTCCAGCTCCGTGTGAGAATTCAACAGACGTTCGACCGCCTTGATGTTCTCCTCATCCTTGAACCGGGCAAACACATCCAGGTAATCCAACGTCTTGGTCAAGTTTCTGTAGAAAAAAACATCACAGATAAGTATTCCATCGCGATCTCGATATCGGGTGGTCCACTCACTCCGGCTCTTCGTATTTGTTCCCCCCACGCCGCTTATTCTCCAACACTTTGTGGATAACAAGTCGGGCCTCGGAAAGTGAGAGGGTGTGTGTGTTTTGATCAGCGCCCAGCTTGAGCGTGGACGAGGCTTCGAGCTCGCCTTGCGGCAGCGCGCGCTTGCGGTTCGTAGGTGGGGGCAATTGCACACTCATTGTGCAGTTTGGGGGAAATTCTGTGGGTTCGGGTATGCGGCCTAGTGCGTCTGAATTGAATGTATCGATGAAAAAAAAAACTTGTTCGAAGCTATTTCGTCAACGCCGTGGATCTGCTGTAAAGAAGATGAGGTGACCTATTTAGCGCGAAACGTTGATCTCTGCAGTTTGACATCCGGCATTTCAAGGCGGTGACGCCGTTACCGCCTCTATCTTCAGAAAACAATGAAATCCCGAAGCCAAAGTCATCTACATATCCATTATTACTACTAATACTATATGCATTCAAAGTTTCTTAGAGTACCAGAGTCTTATTTTTGTCAATGGACCAAGTAACAAGTCCCAAACGCCTCACATGCAGTCATGCAGCTATTCAACTATGCAACTCTATACCTTCCGAAAAGCGACCTCCCGAGGCAGACGGAAGCTAGCACAGAACATCTGCTTCTTGGGACTAACCAGTCTCACATTGTGAATAGCAAGTTCCACTTCCTGGTTACCCTTGCCTCCCACACAGTCATCAACAGTAATCTTGTACCCGAGACGCTCAGACATTCTCTCGCAGATATCAATGTGATCATCCACTTCGTTATCGGAGTGTCCCGAGAAACAGTAAACATGGACCATGGGCAGTTTCTGCTCCGTATTGGGCGCAAACCGTTGTTCCTCCCCAACATACAGCCCGGGGAAGGCATCAAGGAATTCAATGGCCGTAGCAGGCAGGTTCATAACATAGTGATTGACAATGTTAGGACGGGTGTATATCTTCGGCGCGGGTAGCGGGGCCCCTTCGCCTTTCGCAGCCTTACGCTGCTTCTCTCTGCCCACCTTGGGTTGGATAGTGATGGTAAGAGGTTCGGCCGCGAGCAACGACCGACCCGAGGAACGGATAAACTCCCGACCATCCTGGTTGAAAGGCGTAACGAAATCTTGCACCTTATTACGGGTGACAGCATCCTGCATAACCTCAAATCCATGCGGGTTGAGATCGTTGGCCCAGACGAAGATCTTCTTCCGGCCTGCCGGCACGGCGAAGGGGCCGACGCCGGCCATCACGTCGCAGACCATTTCGCTGGGCTCGAACTTCTCGACCAGCCGGCGGTGCTCGGTCTCCAGGCGGCTGTTCCAGTAGACACGGGCGTAGTCGAAGCGGAATTCACAGTCCTGCTCATGCTGGATGACATTAAGGTCATTTTCGCCTGCTAGCAGTTCGAATGGGAAGGTGCGGAACTGGCTGTGGGAGCCGACGTCTTCGGTCTTATTGATGACTGTGCGGATCGTTGGGTTCTTATCCATAAGAACCTCGGCAACTATGTGCTTATATGGCAAGTATTGGGAGCGGAGATTTAAGTGCGCTGTTTTTCGTCAGTATTGCGGTTTATAGTCAGTGACTCAGACGAACATACAGACATGCCCCACCTGAGTGAAGCCTTGAGGAATCTCTTCCATCAGGTCCTCAGGTAGAATTGATGAGACGATCTCAGCTACGAAAATGTTAGTATGATATACTTCCTTGAAAAGAAAACACGATGGCAAGCATACCGTATGACCAATGGTCATATTCCAATACCAATTCATAAGGTCCCAAAGCGACCGTTCCCTTATTTACGAGTTCATTGACAGTAGGCGACCATGTTGCCTTATCTGTAAACTCGAATTAGAACCTATCCATCAAGATTGCGGCCGGTCCAAGCCCAGTAAACCTACCATCAAACTTCAGGTCTTCGCGCAACAACATAGCCTTCCACACCTTGCCATCTTGATCTGTCACCTCACGGACAGAGCTAATGCGTGGCACAAGGAGTATATCACGGCTCTTGGTCAAATCCTTCCGCACGTTCGAAATATCGCTTGGTTTAAAAATTCGGGCGACGGAGAGGGGCACGTTTCGTCGGAAAAATGACCGGTCGAGTGTGCGCATGGCACGGTTCACAGGAGGTCGGAACATGGCGGGGGTCTCGTGGAGAGTGGCCTGCTTGGAAGCGTCGTCTGTCGGTTTCATTGGAAGTAGAGGGTGTTTATTTTTGGCTTATTCGGGATTGTCTCCTTGTTCGAAGCTCGAGGCGCATTGCGGCGCGATAATTTATTTCTTATCAGCCACGTGACGCCCTTATCTAGATCTAGATCTATCTAGATCCCAGATGTGGAATGTGTCGGAATCAGGCTTAATACTAATTTTTTTAGTGTTGTGATAATTGCGTCAAGATCTATCTTGGCCCACTGAGTAGTATCAATATACGGGATCTTTTACGACGACTGAGTGTGGTAGCGTGGTCAAGTCATTTACTAGACTGATAAAGCTCATCATATTTTCTCATTTGAGCATCCTGGTTTTGTCTGATGAAACAGGGTTATTATTTCCCTGCTTTACAAAATGTTGAAACGATAACACAATAATCGCATATCGCAAAGCTATCATATCATCGTAACAGTTCGTGAGATGGGTGGCCAACGCTGAGCCAAAAGTATACAAGGATATCCTAATGTCCTCTGAAACCAACATCGGTTATGTCTGCTGCATGTGCAATCCGATTTGCACCCCTCAGTAATAGGGCTTCATCCCTTCAATAAGAGAGCGATCCAGTTCCTCCTGAGCTTCCAGGTTTGAGATACGGTCTTGCAGCTTCTTAATATCGTCATCTTTCTTCTTTAACGCCAGCCGCGTCATATCCCGCCCCCGAATAATCCCCTGCGTCTTCAAGTCCTGCCGGTTAAGCAGCGAAACAATTTCATCCTGTGCTTTGTTTGGCAAAACAACACTATGCTTTTCCAGAATATCGAGTAGACTCTTTGCAAGATCCGAGGTGTCAAACTTCGAGTCTGCGCAAAGTACATTGCTGTATTTGCTAGGCGTGGGTGTCATGCATAATTCCACAGACGAGGGGGGGAATATATCGGTGCGAGAGGAGCGGGCGGAGAAAGGCGTCGCGGGTGTATACTGGCTGTGGAAAGGATTATCATTTGTGGCTTCTGCCAGTTTGTGTTTGCCGGGTGAGGTCACTGTGGAGGTGCGGGGGGTCTTGAACGGGGATTCGGGGTGGAAGTTGGGCTGTGAGATGAAGCTCTCAGTCTGGCTGGAAGATAGTGCCTTTACAAGCTCCTCATTGCCATCTGAGTCGTCATCCCAGCCAAAATCATCCGACGCTTCTGAGATCATTCTAGCCTTGGCTGTCTTAGGAGGCGACTTGAAGTTGCGCTGGGGAGTATTGATGTATCTGCGCTCAGTTTGTGGAGTGAGTAAGCCGTTGTTCATACGTCCTGGGGTATGCCTTGGTGGGGTGGGCGAGATAGGGTCGAGCTCGGATCGAGAGTTGGCAAGAACGGCTGCTTGCTCACGCATTGTAGCCTCATCTGCCCACAGGAAGAAGCTGCATTTGAGATGTGAAGGTTGCGCGCAGGTCCAAACTATTTTTTTTAGGTCAGTCATTAATCTATCTCAAGTTATTTCCCAGGCATCATCCTTGAAAGCCTGAGCAAGATTTGACATACACCATTTCCCGAAGTTTGCTCCCTGCTTCTTAGTTTGACGACGGGCGGCAACTGGGCGGTCTGGGCAGTTACAACACCAGAGGCCATCTCTGAAGAGGCCACGGCGCAGAGGTGCTGTATTCCCTGGCGAGCCTGGGTATTTCTGAGGGGACGACATTTTCCACTGTTTTTCCCCCGGATTGTGGTTCAGAGGGAAGTTGAAAGTTGCCTGTCGCCATGGAAACTTGCTTATCTTATCACCCCGCAAGGTCTTGGCACTTCTAAGACATCTATGGGGTCCTACCCAAGTGGATTATAGCAGTGCTATGAATAGAATATAGCTAAGATATGGGGAACAATCCGAGACAATATCGCATATATTGCATTATCCCGGTCACAGATGACCTCATGCATTGTTGAGGCTGAGGTAGGATCCCCACACATCCAACGCCATTGTTATAAGAAGCTTAACCCCACGTCAAGTCAATTCTTAAATACACTACTCGAACCACCCCCCAAATGATCAACCCCCCATGCTTCAGTGCCCTTTTAAAGATCCCAAATGCATACACTATGCATCCACCCGCAAGGGCCCCTCTCAACCCTCCCTAAAGAACTATACCTCATAATATCCGATTTCCTCCCATCACCATCAGACCTGAACGCCTTTACATGCACAAACACAACAACCTACAACCTCCTCAACAAGACCCTCTATAAGCGCGATGCAACCTCGCCAAATCCAAAATCCCTCTTCTGGGCCTCAACAACCGACAACCCCTCAACAGCCCTAAAATGCCTCTCCGCAGGCTTCGACATCCAATCAAAAACAGACACAGACCCACGGCTAAAAGGCTGCACGCCAATAATGCTAGCCGCCTTGCACAATAGCATCGCGGTACTCAAACTGCTCCTATTAAACGACGAAGCAAACCCAAACGCCCGCGACAGAAAATGGATCCGCCCGCCGCTATCCTGGGCCGTCAAAGAGGGCCACTCGGCCATAGTGCAGACCCTCCTGAATGACGACCGTACCGACGTCAACTTGCAAGATAAGTCGGGTGATACCGCACTTATGATTGCCGTCAATCACCAGCCCAAGATGATGACGATGCTTCTCTGTAGCGGGCGCGTGGATCCGCGTGTGTCAAATCGGCAGGGATGGACGCCGCTCAGCCGTGCTGCGCGCGAAGCAGATGGGGACGTGGCCTTGCTGCTTGCTCAGCATTTGCGGTTGATTCTTGACGGTGACGATGGTGCTGTGCACTGTCAGCATGTGTTCTTCTATGCGGCTATCATGGGGCATGTTGATATTGTGCGGTATCTAGTTAATTATTTTGGGGAGAAGCTCGATCCCAACGCCGAGGGACAGCAGTATGGGCGGGGAGCGTTTTCAATTGCGGCTTCGGCGGAGCGGGTGGATGTTGTACGGTTTTTACTGGAGTGGGATGTTACAGATCCTAATTTGCAGACGCATTGGAAGAGACAGACGCCTTTGTTTGTTGCTGCGGAGAATGGACACGAGGAGATCGTGGGTTTGCTGGTTGGATGTGAGAGGGTTGGGCTGGAAATTCCTGATATGCATGGGACTACGCCGTTGGGGGTTGCGACAGAAAGAAACCACGAGGGAGTTGTTAGACGGTTGTTAACTGGCTCTAGACGGGCTGATCCCAATGCTCGGGATGAGAACGGTCAAACGCCGCTGTTTAATGCTGCCTTTTACGGTCACATAGGTGTTATGGAGCTACTGCTCCAGGCGCCTGGAATTGATACACAAGTGAGTGATACAGATGGGAAGACCCCGTTAGAGGTGGCATTGGAGAATGGCAATCACCAGGTAGTGAAGGCACTGCAGAGGCACATAGGCAGTCCATCATGAATATTTCTTGTTTTAGGTATCGTGACCTAGTTATCTAGCGTGTGGGGTTCCTACCCGCTATATCTATCTAATCCTCTCAAGTACTCGGCGGAGCCATGAGTGAGCCAGCAGGTAGAAGCAAACGATCAATGTATCGGTGTGTAAAACAAAATCGGATAATGGCCGGGGGGAATCAAACGGGAGAGGCCATGTCTATGGCGGTATCACGAATGTAGCAAAGCAATTCTAACATGAGCATCTAATCCGCAAGCACATGCCGCAACATGGCACTAAACGGCTCAGTAAGCTTGAGAATCTCCGTAACCTCGGGCTTGACTGGTTCACCCGCAGTGCGGCGAAGTTGGTCCTGCTTCTTTATCCGGCGCCGGCGCTCTACGGCGATGGGGTCATCCATGTCCTCATCTGCAGAGTCTTCATCAGAGGCATCAGATGCTTCATCTGAGATGGTGAGGTCCTCCAGATCACCCTGTAAACCCCGGGTTAGCCTTAAAATCCGAATACAGTTTCGAAGTCGAATAGGTGGAAAACACATACCTCGTCAAGACCGAAATCACTGCCCCTGAAAGTTGCAACTCCTGGAATCGTCTCCGCAGAGTTACCTTCAGCAGCCATCTTCTGGCGGGTCTTGTTCAAATGCCAGCGTTTCCGGTCTTCGTGCCACTTGATAAGCTGGTTGATTTCCGTGAGAGCAAGGTCTTTATCGATTTGACCAACTGCAGCAGATCCTTGGAACAAAGCGTTGATGTCCATTTTACCTCCGGTGGGGCCGTTGCGCAGGAAGTCAAGAATCTCCTCAATCCAGCCCATTAGAGATTGGAATAGGCCGTTATCGTGCTGGTGCACTTCGTGGATGAACTTGTAGAAGTTGTGCTCATGGCGGGCGCACAGGTCGATGAAGGCCTGTACTGTTTGGTTCGGATCAGCAGAGGCATCCTGGCGCTGGGCACTCTCGATCACATTAATAGCATCGTCGGCAAAGTGAGCAAAGTCCGTAATGCTGCTGTATACATTGGCAGATTTGTAAACTCGGACAAGCGGCTCGTAGAAGATAGTGAACAGATCGCGGAAGAGCTGCAGTGTGACTGGCTCCTCGATAATGCCGAGCATCATCGCCTTGTCGCGCTGGCGGGTGTAGAGCTTCAGAAGCTGCTTCATGTGGGCGAACCATTGTGCGCCCTGCTGCATTTCCAGATCTACATTCTCCACGGCATAGTTCCAAGCCACATAGCCGTTGAACACCTTGCCAATCTGTTCCACGGTGAGTTCGGGTGACAGTAGTTCGGAGCGGAGAATGGCCACGATAATGTCAACATCGTCGGTAACAGCCTCGTCTCGGATCTCATTCTTGATATCTTCTGGGGCATCCGCGAAGCTCTTGAGCTTCTGAGTAAGAACTGTATCTCCAACCTTCGAAGCCAGAGAATCAATTGATCTTTGGAAATCTTTGATACCTTCATTTAGTGTTAATGAGAAGATGCGTTGCAAAAGTGATCGCGAGCCGAAGGGCTGGGCCATGAAAAGGTCAAGAACACCAGACATGACTGCAGCAGGGTTGGCGATGCGAATTACATTCTTCATTAGCGTGTATGGGACCAAGCCGTGGATTCTCTTCGCCTGTGCAAACAGTTCGGGGGAGTTATCCTCGGCAAGGAACAGGTGGTATATGGTTGCAGCAACCCTGTTCAATGTTAGTAAGGCGAAGCGCTCAGGAAATCATACTACCTACTCAATGCGGAGCCACTCAGCGAATTTCTGATATTGCGGGCTGAGGTCTTGGATTGAGGACTTCTCCCGGATCTCGCCGAACAGCTTTGTCAACCCATCTAAAAATCCAAGTGAGATTAGCAAACCATTTTATGCAGGAAGAAGCTCGCAACTTACTGCTCTCCACAATGTCCCGCCGGAACCGCTCCATGTACACGTCCAGCTCCGCCGCTCGCTGCCTAGCAATCTCGTAGAATCTCTTCTGTTCCTCAATTCTCACGGCATCCATGGCTTTCCGTTTCTGAACATCATTCAACTCTTCCTCATTTAACTCGATGGGGTGAGCAGTCAGGAATTCTTCCATGGCCTTGGATTCTGCAATACGCTTATTCTGCAATACAGTGCGCAAGAACGCGCGCAGCGACACACGCTGCTCCTCTCGGTACAACACACTCGCCCTCGACACGTCGCTCGTTGACGTACGCGGTGACTTTGTTGATCGCATTGATCCTCGGGAGATTGACCGGCGGACACTCCCTGGGGCAAGAGTTGGTGCAGAGAGCCGGTCCTCAGGAGCATTCGTTTCCAGTGTTGAAAGAGATGAAATAGACGAAGCGTCATCGTCTGCACTAGAGCCCCACCAGCTCGAGGTGGAAGTCTTGTTCTTACGAGGAAGAGGGGGGAGTTGCTTTCCTGGCAGTTCAGTCCTCAGTCTCTTGTGGAGCTTGACAAACTCTCCATATCTCCTCCCAATATGAATCTCCTTTTTGTCATGGTGACGAACTCGAATAATGAATTCCTACAGCAGATATTGTCAGCAAAAAGTCCCAGCTTCCAAAAGAAGGCAATTTTCAGAATTATGAAACTCACTGCATGCTGATGGTATCGCACTGTCCGCTTGACAGAGGTTGTCCGAACAGCGGCCACGTTCACATCCCAACCATTGATTGAATTACCCTCGGGCGTATTAAACAGTAGGCCCGAATCCTGAGCGCCACGCTCGACAATCTCCATCTCCGAGAACTGAATGCGCTCCTCGTATCCCGACGCCGTCGGCACACCCGAAACCATCATCAGCTCCACCAGCTTCTCACATTTCCGAGCCAACTTCCGGCGCTTTGTCTCCTCCAGTCGATCCTCCGAAGACGAGACATGTTTATTAGCAAACGATTCTAAGAACTATATCCCCAACTTGTCAGTCACTCTGTTCCTCTGGTTTCCATTCAGTGAAGCGAAACACCCACTACTTGTAGCTTATCCTGCCAAAACTCTTTCTCGCGGGCCTGATCAAGAAATGGGAAATTGCGAACGTGGTGGACGAAAATATACCGAAGGATAGGGAGCTCCGAGTCGACTGGTGCGACCTCGCCGAATTCCGACCTGAAGGGGGCGCCGAATCGCTGGAGCGCGGTAGGGGAATTTAGCTCGGAGATTTCTCCACGGACTTCACGAGAAATGAGCTCGCGCTTGAGGTCTGCGCAAATTATCTACACGTCAGCAACTATGAAATCGGAATATGAGCTTGGGATCATCATATCCTGCAACTTACAGTGTTCTTGCTTGCCCGTCAGCACCTGGCCAGGCGGGGTTGCATC